GATACAAGTATGTGGTATCTTGTTCAATTCACAGATTAAACGTGACTATATTTTGATTTATAAACTTGAAATATTTTTTTATTTAATTGGAATTTTTTGTAACGTAATTACTCTCGTCCTGGGAAATTTTCTCTTGACGTATTTCCTTTTAAATTTAAAATGATGTTACAATAAATCAAAAATTAAAATCACATTTCCCAATAAAATTTTAATTATGTATTGCTCTACGTCATAGATATTATTACATGAACAATTTTAAATTACGGTTATATCTATTTCAGCTATGCAACTACAGCGCAAAGCCCTACCAAAAGAGAGTAAGTTGAAAAAGCACTGACATACTTAACTCATAAAATTTGGTTAATAATATTAAAGAAAAAATCTAGTATAGTAACGTTTGAAAAAGCGTTTTTTTAATACATAAAATATTAAACACATATTAACCAGCATTGGGTGTAATAAAACTCAAACATTTATTGCTCACTCAATGCATTTATTGCTACTTATATCAAAGTACTCATTTTAAAAATACTTATATTTTTATTATAAAGTATGAGCATAATTACACAAGAGAATGAATATTTTTTATGATATAAAAGTATTGGAATGCAAGTTAATCATATCATTAACTGTTCTGATTACATTTTATGCAATCAAAACAATTCTAAGAATTTAGACATAGTATTAAACATGTATGGTATTCTGCGTATACATGGTATTAATTATAATTGATACAATATAGTTACACAACCATTCGTCTTCTTACACACAAGTTTCGGTTAAAAACTATAAAGATGTTTTTTTTTCTTTTTCAGTTATTCAGTTAAACTTACAGAAAATGAAAAATATGAGTAAGTGTTTCACAAATTATAAAGAAAGACCCTTGTAAAAGTAATTTTTAAATATATATTACTTCAGTAGTTTTTTTTACTAATTGAACTCTCTTAAAAAATCTTTTTTTAGCGGAAGCTGACTTACAGAAATTGGAATTGCTGAAAAATATTTCATTAGGTAATTCTTTGCTTTTAATTAAGGAAATGAAGAAACTTCCACATTTTAGTTTTTAGATCAACTTCACTGAGAAAAAAGTATGGTCAAAACTATCACAATATTGTAAGATATACAGAGCTTTTAGTCCTATAGGTGCACCAAAAAACTCAGTCATTTTTACAGTAGCGCTTTAGTAATGATTTTAGTAAAATAATGATATATTTTGGTTAAAATAAGGAGAAATTTAGGTAAAATTAATGTTAAAATGATTTTTTATTGCGTGATAAAATCCCATAAATGTGTTGAATTTGAGGATTTTATTATAATACCTTACAACACGGCATTAAGAAAACATTTATTCGGTTATATTTACTTTCATTTATTTTTCGGTTAAAATTCATTTGTATTTTTTAACTGAATGTGCTGTAATAAGAACTGAACTGTAATTTTGAAAATCAGAATTTCCGATATACCGTTACGGTATGAATGAAAAAATTACCAAATCAATGCTTTAAATACAGTATATTTTGGTTTCATTAACCGAAATTTAGTTTTTTTTTTTACCAGAAATGGGATTATTAAAAAGGTACTGCATTTTATCTGGATTTTTTTAGTGTTCAAATAATGTTTTTTATTAAAAACTCACTTCTTTAATGTAGTGCTCGGAGAAATAGTAAACAATTTACGACAAGTAGGTATAATATTTTGATAGCAACTTCAACCCGAATAATTTTTTTATAATGCGGTTATCGTATGTGATATATCGAAATTTTTTCGTGAGTGTCGTTTGACTTTAATGGGGACCGTGATACAATTTTTCCAAAATTTTATATTTGAAAAACAAGTTTTATTTTCCTATTATTTGAATGGTGTAAGAGATGTACACCTTTTTTAATTTAACGTTAAATTCATTCTTAAAACTCTAGATTTTTAAACTGTATTGACAATTATACCAAATTCGCTAATTAAGAAGAGACGAAAAGTTATTAATATCATTTATTTTATCCTGAACTTTTTTACAAAACTCACTAAAAATATGTGGTGTGTTATGCTGAAATATACATAAAATGTTTTCCAACATTTAAAAATCGAATTATTGTCTCCTTTATTCTTCAACTCTCTTCAACAAACCTTTTTTGAAACAGAGTGCAAATATCAACCTTCTCCAAGAAGTTGAAAAAATTTTAAATTTTTTTTATAGCAGGATAAAGTAATATAAAATTATAAAACAAATATTAATAGCTGAAATTGTTTGCTGAAATCTCAAGCATAACTGAATATTTCTGCACCCACACTTGAAACTTCACGCTTTAAAATTGCAAATTGTGTGTAGTTTGAGTTTAGTTTATCCTTAACTTATCAGTAGCCTGACGAATGATCACGGAACACTTTTTTAATGTCCTTTCTCTCTCATTTTCTTCTCATTTTGCCTTTATTGGTCTCTATTCCTGGGAAGCAAAACTACATCCTGTACTCTATACACACTTATTTTTAGTAATCCTGACCTCGGGAAAACCCCACTGCCTCTTCGTGCGATTACTTTTATCAAACGAGTGGATTAAGTGATCATTGTATGGTAATGCAGTGATGTTGTTCAAACAAATTATATTCCCTTCTAAAGAGTTTATTTTATTTTATTATATTATGCATGAGCTTGAATTAAAATATTTCATTTTAAGAAAAATTCAAAAAATATCAGTATATATCTTAGTGGATGAAATGCTATAAAACATTGATTGCAAATGTAAGCCTATTTTTGTTAGTATTGAATGATGTATTTAATAAAAAATGTACTGCATCTATTGAATGTTTTTCATTTTGATTTTTTTTTATTTTTCCCAAGGGAAAAATTGAAATAAAAGCGAAATTGAGATCGATAAATTAACAATGAGCAAAAAATTACAAATATTGGCCGAAGTCATTGAAGCATCACGCGTTCTCTAGCTCTCCAATATTGGGCGGACTCGGTGTCTGCAGAGCCACGAAGTGCCTCGCATCTAAGCGGATGAGCTCTATTCAGAGGTTCTCCCTGATCGCATAATGAACAAAGAGGGGAGTCAAAAATACCAATTGTATGGAGATGTTCACTCAGGCAGTCATGTCCCGTAACCAGCCGGAACAATGCCACTGCCTCACGTCTTGGGCAATCGGGCATATTAGCAGGATCCTCACTTCACCAGGTCTTGGATTTATTCCTATCTTGTATTTGTGTATTGAATCTCGACTTAAAAGCTTGTTTCCAGAATAACTTTTTCGAGTGAAAAGGCAGCCCAGAGTCATTTGTTTGTTGCAGAAGAGTACCTGATATATGAAAATGTTAAACTTTTGAATTTTATGAATCAATGTTTCAGTTTTTAGATATTTAAAATCTATTTCGGTTTTATGGGAACACTCACTGAATTTTATTAATAAATATCTGTTATTTATTAAAAAATTTTATTCGTCGAAAATTTCTTTCAAAATTAATAATAAAACGGAAGAAACTATAATAAAAATTCAATAATTCATTGTTCTGTCACGATAGAATAAATAGGTTTTCATAAAATTTTATTCCTGATGTTCGTATTTCAGCTATGAAATTACATCAAGAAGAATTGCCAAATGAGAGTAAGTATTAAAATATTCTGATTAGAATTTAAAAAATAAATTTATGTGAAGTTAGTGTAAATGTAATTTAAATAAGCAACTTTCACTGCAATTTTTATTTTATTTGAAACTTCAAGTTGTTCTAATTTGATATTGGTTTTACTAAGCTTCCGATTGTCCCATTCCTATCTCTTCCAGTTATCCAGCTAAACCTTCAAAAAATTAAGGACTTAAGTAAGTGTATAAATGTATGATCTAAGTAAGTTTATTAAACTATTTTATTTTAAACCTCAGTAAGTTTTAACCAATGGAAATCTACTGTTTGTTAACGAATAACTCTCTTCACAGCGGAAACTGAAAAGAAGAAAATGCAATTATTGAAAAATATTTCATTAGGTAAATTTCTTAGTTTCTCAATTATTACTACGCAACATACTTGAAAAAATTTCTAGATTTTGTTATCAAAATAAAACTTGGGTTCTATAAAAGTCTTAAAACATTATGAAAATAGATGTGGTTCTAACACATAATTAGATTGCATCTTTCTCTTAATAAATATTACGTATGTATTCTAAGAAATATTTAAAAATAAATTTGAATAAAAGTCGTTATGAAGCATTTAATAATGTATATTTTTAAGAGAGGACCAGTTTTCTTTTCAAAGAAATTAATGCGTAGAAGAATAACTCTTTAATATAACTAACAGAGTTCTGTTTATATGTGTTATTCTAAAAGTTTGCCGTCTGGTATATCCTAGGATTTACCAGTCTTCGAAGAATATATTTATCAAATGTTAATTGAGGTATTTGTTGAGGTATTTAATTGAGGTTTTAAGATAATTAAGTTAAAATTTATAATATTCATTTTATTTATTGCAATTGCACTCATTATTTATAATTGCTCTCATGAAGATTAGTAGAACAGAAAAATCAATTAAACTGCAATATTTTTGTGTTCAACGACTCCAGCCAGCAAGTGATTCTAATTTAACGAAATTTTAATCAACATAATTTGAAAAATCAATAATTCCGTACTAAACATTGAATTTTGATTAACAGAATTGTAATTATTGGTAGATACATAGTTATTTCAAAGAGTAGTGAAATTATCAGAAGAAGACAGATTCTATAATGAAATAGACTTTTTTTGTTAGACTCTTTTTGTATAATGCAATGAAAGACTCTCAGCAATTGACTCTCATTAGAAAATCAACTGTAAATGACCTGGTCACTAACAATAGAGATGAATATGTTTTAAAATGTAAGATTAAAATTCGTTGTCATAAAACAAAAAAAAAAGGCAAAAATTTGTTGCATATTAAAAAGCAAAATAACGTAGGATATCAAGCAAAATGTATCTCAAATTGCAGGAGAATTATGCAAAAAAAGTTTTCCAAATAGTAGTCACAGTACTGTAACAAAATGTGCTTATATGATGTTGCTTTGAATTTTCGAATGTCTATTAATTAGTTAAAAATTTAGATTTCTATATCATAGTTTACTTTAGAGTTCTTGAAAGGAGAAAAAAATATGTTTTTCTGATGAATATAAAATCAATTTACTTGAGAGCTGGGTTAGTGATTAATTATAATAATTATTAAATTTGCATAAACTGCAACACATCCTTAGTATAAGATGAAAACATTTACAAAACTCACTAAAAATNGTGCCTCGCATCTAAGCGGATGAGCTCTATTCAGAGGTTCTCCCTGATCGCATAATGAACAAAGAGGGGAGTCAAAAATACCAATTGTATGGAGATGTTCACTCAGGCAGTCATGTCCCGTAACCAGCCGGAACAATGCCACTGCCTCACGTCTTGGGCAATCGGGCATATTAGCAGGATCCTCACTTCACCAGGTCTTGGATTTATTCCTATCTTGTATTTGTGTATTGAATCTCGACTTAAAAGCTTGTTTCCAGAATAACTTTTTCGAGTGAAAAGGCAGCCCAGAGTCATTTGTTTGTTGCAGAAGAGTACCTGATATATGAAAATGTTAAACTTTTGAATTTTATGAATCAATGTTTCAGTTTTTAGATATTTAAAATCTATTTCGGTTTTATGGGAACACTCACTGAATTTTATTAATAAATATCTGTTATTTATTAAAAAATTTTATTCGTCGAAAATTTCTTTCAAAATTAATAATAAAACGGAAGAAACTATAATAAAAATTCAATAATTCATTGTTCTGTCACGATAGAATAAATAGGTTTTCATAAAATTTTATTCCTGATGTTCGTATTTCAGCTATGAAATTACATCAAGAAGAATTGCCAAATGAGAGTAAGTATTAAAATATTCTGATTAGAATTTAAAAAATAAATTTATGTGAAGTTAGTGTAAATGTAATTTAAATAAGCAACTTTCACTGCAATTTTTATTTTATTTGAAACTTCAAGTTGTTCTAATTTGATATTGGTTTTACTAAGCTTCCGATTGTCCCATTCCTATCTCTTCCAGTTATCCAGCTAAACCTTCAAAAAATTAAGGACTTAAGTAAGTGTATAAATGTATGATCTAAGTAAGTTTATTAAACTATTTTATTTTAAACCTCAGTAAGTTTTAACCAATGGAAATCTACTGTTTGTTAACGAATAACTCTCTTCACAGCGGAAACTGAAAAGAAGAAAATGCAATTATTGAAAAATATTTCATTAGGTAAATTTCTCAGTTTCTCAATTATTACTACGCAACATACTTGAAAATATTTCTAGATTTTATTATCAAAATAAAACTTGGGTTCTATAAAAGTCTTAAAACATTATGAAAATAGATGTGGCTCTAACACATAATTAGATTGCATCTTTCTATTAATATATATTAATTCTAGGAATCCTAGAATTACATTCCTGGAATTACATTCTAGGAAATATTTAAAAATAAATTTGAATAAAAGTCGTTATGAAGCATTTAATAATGTATATTTTTAAGAGATGACCCGTTTTCTTTTCAAAGAAATTAATGCGTAGAATTGTAACTCTTTCATATAACTAGCAGAGTTCTGTTTATATGTGTTATTCTAAAAGTTTGTCGTCTGGTATATCCTAGTATTTACCAGTCTTCTGACATTATATTTTTCAAACATTAATTGAGGTATTTAATTGAGGTTTTAGGTTAATTGAGTTAAAATTTATAATATTCATTTTATTTATTGTAATTGCACACATTATTTATAATTGCTCTCATGAAGATTAGTAGAACAGAAAAAATCAATTAAACTGCAATATTTTTGTGTTCAACAACTCCAGCCAGCAAGTGATTCTAATTTAAAGAAATTTTAATCAATATAATTTGAAAAATCAATGATTCCGAACTAAACATTGAATTTTGATTAGCAGAATTGTGATTATTGGTAGATAGATAGTTATTTCAAAGAGTAGTGAAATTATCAGAAGAAGACAGATTCTCTATTGAAATAGACTTTTTTTTGCTAGACTGTTTTTGTCTAAAGCAATGAAAGACTCTGCAATTGACTCTCATTAGAAAGTCAACTATAAATGACCTGGTTACTAACAATAGAGGTGGAATTGTTTTAAAATGTAAGATTAAAAGTGGTTGTCATAAAATTAAAAAAAGGAAAACATGTGTAGCATATTAAAAAGCAACATAACGTAGGATATCATGCAAAATGCATCTCAAATTGCAGTAGAATTATGCAAAAAAAGTTTTGTAAATATTAGTCACAGTACTGTTACAAAATGTGTTTATATTATGTTGCATTAAATTTTCGAATGTCCATTAATTAGTTAAACAATTTAGATTTCTATATCATAGTTTACTTTAGAGCACTTGAAAGGAAAAGAATTTTTTTTCTGATGAATATTAAATCAATTTATTTGAGAACTGGGCTCGTGATTAATTATATTAATTATTAAATGTACATAAACTGCAACACCTAAAATCCTTAGTATAAGATAAAAACACAAAGATAACAAAAAAAGAAACAAAAAGGAAAAAGAAAAATTTAACTAAAAGTAGAAGGAAAAAAATTTAAAAACTTTGAAATTACTAAAAAATTTTAAAAAAAATATTAAAAATTAGAAAAATTAACAATTATTAAATATAATCTCGCCATCAGCTTACGCAATTATATACGCAAAAATAGTGATTCCTGACATTGTATTAACGTAGCCGAAGCAAAATGTATAAATGCAACAGAAAGCAAAATGTATAAATACACAAAAAGAGAACAATTCTAAAATATAATTTTTCAAGTAAAAATATCATTAAAATTCAAGAAAAAACATCTCAAATAGGTACCAAGAAGGGAGCAAAATGCCATGTACTCATTACTCGCAAAAATGATTTTTAAAAAATTTTCCCTGACTACAAAATATGAAATTAAAGTTTAAATAGAAGATAGTATGATACGCTTTGATGCCACGTTTATACTGAATTTAAGAGCCACATTGGACTTGTCCGATACCTTGAATTGGTCCGAAAACTGGTATAGGTACTTAGAATATATTCAAAATTGTAATGAATGAAAGGTCGCGTTCACCACATGAAATCAATGATTTTTAAAGAAATTATTATCATTCATTTAATAATATTACTTATTTAATGAAATATTGGAAGAGGTTGTTAATTAGAAATAAAATCTTAAGCTACTTACAATAACATACAGATAAATTTTTAACATTCGATTATCACGGATTTTAGTCAATGATTTTGTATAGAAGTTAATTTTTTTTGGTTGGATAGTCATAATTTTTAATTAATTTTTGTAAAATTATGTCTATTTATTTAAAAAAAAATATTATTATAAATTATTTATATTCTATTTATTTAATTAAGAATATAATTTCCTCGGATTCAAATAAACGTTTTTAGAAACACTCTAATTCCATGCAATATTAACAATGCAGATATTAGCATATATATTAAAAACACAATTTTTTTTTCTTTTTAAATACTTTATCTAAAAGATTTAAATTAATATTTTAGTCATTATTATGAAGCAATATAATTTCCTCGGAGCAAAGATTATTTAATAAAAAACATAATTCTGTAAATTCAAGATCATTAAATCATTAATATATCTAAAAACAAATTTATTACCTGGTGTGAAATTTTTTTATATATTATAGTATAACAGTGTAAATATGAACTATCCAGAAGTACGAAAAATTAGATTCTTAAGGTATTTCATCTATTTGAGTAAAAAATGGCAGTACAGTGGCAGTACAACATTCCATTTCCATTCGATTGATCTAATACTCAGTCATGCTAATTTCAAAGTGTGAAAATATTTTAACCCCTTAATAATTCCAGTTTCTCATCTGCAACTAATAGTGACGCATTTCACATTTCAGACGCATTTCAGAAAATGTGCCTTAAGCATAGGTTCAACGCGTCTACTTGATTACAAAAAAAATATCGCAACTAAGAATGCATTTTATTTAGAATTAGAATTTCATATTTTGCTACTACATTTAATAAAAATGAAAAAAGCTAGCCTTCTGAAGGTGCAATGCAAAATTTGTGTAATAAGTAGTTTTTAGGAAAGTATATTTAAAAAAATTGTTTTTTAATTATAGCTATGGATTTACAAAGCAAAAAATTACCCAATGAGAGTAAGTAATAAATAAATAAGATTTTATATATTACCAGATAAGTAAACCAAATATAGCACTGATAAGCGTTTAAAATATTCTAAAATGTTTTTTCATCAGGGAAAAATTAAATTAAGTCTTCAATTTATTCTCTTTGTATATAGTAACAGGTGAAAAATGTGATTCGAATTTAATACCTCAGATAGTTGTCCTAATTAACAATGTCTATTTCAAGAATACATGTTCATTATATATTTAGAACCCTTTTACCTAATATGGGTAAGCACTAAAATTATGCAAGAGAAACTTATTTTTAATTAAAATCATCACTAGTTGGATGTAACAGAAATCGTAAAATCTTCTTTAGGCTAGAAAACTGCTCAAGCACTCAAATATGATGTTTTAATCACTTATGCGTATCATGCCGAACTGTAACTGTATCATGTACCACTGCATCATTTCTAACCATTTTCCTTGACAAAACAGTAAACAATACAAAAATTCTTTCGAGATGTATAAGCCAGTGCAGAGTGGCCGAGATGCTACCTTAATTATCACTTATTTAAGACTAAAGACTTAGGTGAACTTTATGGTTTAGCAGATGGTTTTTGCATTTTGCAATGACTATATTAGAGCCCTTTTCAGAGCCCATAATAAGCTTGATGACCAGTTTTACTTTACTGACATGGAAAAAAATTCAAAACTCGCAAAATAATTATTTAAAGATAAAAAGATAAGGAACTCCATCTTACTTTTCTCAGTAAAGTTTAATGAACAACGCTAGCCTATTTAATTTAAATAAAAAAAGACACGTTGATGCTATACGAAAATTACATCGTCGATTTGCTGCGTTGTGCTAAATTACAACAGTGGAAGACTCTTATCTCTCTTTCACTTCATTTAAAATGCTTAAAGCCGACATATACATCACTGTCTACATTAAAAATTACAAGTTGAGCATGCTTTTACAATGGTGCCTATATTAGACGCAATGATCATATTTGATCCACTTACCTTATAGGTTTATAGAATAAGGTTAACTGCTAAATATTAACTCTGATTAAAAAAAATTTTCATCCTAATCACATTTTAGAATTATGAGGTAAAAAATGAATTTTGGAATTTTTTTAATAATGTTCACATTATTATTTTTGGTTACTTGCTACATTTTCTCATTTAGGAAGAAAAGAAGCTAATTATTTTTATTAGAAAATGTTAATATCAATATTATTAAATTTTGAAATATGACTTAAAAATATTTAACTTTTAGTTCCCTATAGCTTTTGATGTTTTAATCACTTATATGTAGTTTGAGATAACTGAAACTAGTATTTCGAATCGGGTTGATTTTAATTTAAATACACTTTAAAATAGACTTAATCAACTTCTACTTAATTTAAAGATAAAATAGTGGTTAATTCAATGTTATAGTTCAGTTTAGATTTTAGAAGTTTTTAACGTAAAATGGAACAATTATATTCTTTGCTTAGTTATAATAAAACTTTTTTTCAGTCATACAGTTAAGCCTGAAGAAAATGAAAAATCAAAGTAAGTAAATTTATTAATTTAATTAAAACATCCTTTTAAAACCATAATAATAATAATTTTATGCGAAATTCAAATCAACTATATTTTTTCCTCTTTAATGCAGCGGAAGCTGAGATGAAAAAAATGGAACTGCTGAAAAATATTACGTTAGGTAAGAAAAAAATAATTATAATAAAAAAATTCATTGGTTTCAAAAATTCAAACATTTTAATTTATTTATTAAATATATGCAATCTTTTTCAAAAACCATTCTAAAATTTCTTTTGATTGGATGTTTGAAAATAGATTTTTTTTTTTTTTAAAATTGACTTTTTTTTAAAAATCGACTTAAAATTGCAGAAAATATATTTGCATACCAGTAGTAATAATATTTTATTATGTTATGATTTGTTACAGTTATGATTTCTATAATTAAATGTTTTCTTTTCTTGAACCAAGATTTTTCAATTGAATTTCAGCCAATATTTTTTGCAGAAAGAAACAATTTAATTTTCAGATTTCTTATTCAATTTGTTTACTAATATATATATAAATTTTTTTTAAATTCTTTTTCTCTACATTAAAAAATTTTAAATTTCACCAACTCTGCTTTGAGTGTTCAACTTTATGTTGAATTTGTTTTGCTGGATAAAAATTAATGGGAATTAGAATTTGAAATTACGGAGGTGTGTAGAAAACTGTACAATGGAATAAAAAAAGCTTAATTTTCAATAAATAAGTCGAAAATTAGTAACTGTTAAACTTGTAAAGAAAATACTACGTGAGTCACTCCACAGATCGCAGGAATGTAACGTTAGAGTTAAATTCAGGCAGGCTGAAAAGGCCAAATTCATTTATTAGCTTATTATATATATTTTTTTTCAAAATTCTAAGTTATTGCAATTTTAAGTGCTCTTTTGTGAATTGCTATTCCTTTTTTTTACTTCATAATATATATTGTTTTGCTGCGGAAAAATCTATGAGACATAAAATTTGAAATTATGACAGTGTGTTAAAAAAAAGTACAAGGGATTCGTTAGAATAAAAAAGTTTAACACTCGGTCATTAGCTTAGAATTATTAACTGTCAAACTTGAATTTAAAAAAAACTACTGAACTACTGAAATGTAACTTCACTTAGAATTGAACTTGTTGAAAAGGGCTTTCTTCAACTATAAACTTTTTACCGATTTAAATGATTTTGTGCTTCAAAATGTTGATTTGTTCAAAAGTTTTTGCTATTTCAAGTGCGTCTTACGACTATTATTTCCCTTTCTTTGCTTTAAATAAAGACTATTTATTTCTTCGAAACCTAAAACTTTAATTTGGATTTAAAACAATTTAGTGCCGTCAGCCTACTTTTTGATAAAAACAATGACTCGATTACTACAGGAAATGTTTCACACATAATTAAAGCAAGTAACCTTTTTATGAGGAAATAAATATTTGATATTTGCTTTCAAAATTGATTTAAAGGATTTTATCTCCAAAATTCTGGTTTGTTCAAAAGTTAATGCCATTTTAAGTGCTTTTTACGAGAATTGATTACTTATTGTGATCTATTTTTCAATAAATCGAAATGTTTCAACAAACGGGAATAAAGTCTATTAATACACCCCTTATGTGTTTTGTATTTCTATCAAATTTACTTAAAGAATTAAAAACCTTTTCAGCAATGCAATTGCTAGAAGATTTACCAAATGAGGGTAAGTAATAAATTATTCTTAGCAATTTTTAGGCATTACGATTAGGTAAAGCATTTAGTAAATTGGCTAGAAGACGGTAATTTTCAAGTATAAATTTTGTTTCAGTTTGAAATTCGGAGCTTCTTTTACAAATTTTAACTTTTTGATTTGTCATATTCAGCTATTAAATGCATTTAAGAAAATGGAAGTCATAAAATGTTTACCATAACGTTAATCATTGAACAAGGTTAAAAATTAAATATAATAATCATTACGTGTCATAAGCAGGATGTCTCAATTAATTGCAACAACTTTTAAATTACATAGAAAGGGTTGAGAATTGCATCTTAACCCCTTAATTGGAATGTCATTGTCTTCTCTCACTTGCTAGTCAGAGAGTACCACCTATCTGAACACCATGGTGCTCTGCATTTCACTACTTTATTATTGGAAGAGTCTGTGCATATAATACTGGTCTCTTCCTGGTATATAAATTGAATAATCAATACTTCTAGCATAAGACTCATTTTGGCTGAGAATTAGGGAGATAAGAAGCGTATTCTTCTAACACAACCACTGTTCTAAATGACTTTTCACTCCTTGTTTCACAGCAATAACGATAAAAAAAATTGCCAAAGTGAATTCCTTAAGTTAATGAAAGCTAACCTTAAACTATAACAGAAGTGTAGACGTTAGAAAACCTGATAAACTAAATCACTTAAAAACTGGTTACATACATAATGATATGCTAAAATATCTTTTTAGGTGCGGAGTCACACTTATAGACATTAATGCTAAAAGTAATAACTAAACCTAAATCTTAGTTGAGGAAGTTTTTTTGTTAATTTCCTATGAGTTGCACAATCAGTCTTCCCGATGAGCAGACCTAGTGCGTTCTCCAGAAGTGGTATCCACTCTTTCAGGACCACTACAATGGGTGAGATACCGTTGGCCATGTTAATTTGGAAGTCTAATTTCTGCCACACTAGATGGCAGCACCGAGACTCTATTTGGATGCTAAAGCACACCAGGAATTTAATTTTGCCGGAAATGCCAAGAGCCAATAAAGCACTCCAGGGATCTTTACATGCCGCATAATCATACGACATGACCTCTGAGGATTTTCTGCGTCCAGAAAATCCGGTGTCGGGGCCGGGTATCGAACCCGCAGACTTGGGCTCAGAAGGCCGACGACAAACCAATTCCGCCACCCAGCCACTAGTTGAGGATGCCAGATTTGTAGACTTCATTTCTGTAATTCAGGTTACTTTTTACTAGCAATACAGCAAACTCAGCAGAAATCAGTGGTCTCTAGCATAATGTCTGTTAGGTGCTCTTGTTCTCCGAGCCTTTTTTTAATGCAGATAGATCTGAAAGCTGTCGCATATTACAAGTTTATGCAGCACTCAGTGACTCTCATGGCAAGATTTCTCTAGCGTTGCTGCTACATCAAGGAAACTCCCAATGTGAGGTTAAGTCCGGCAATAAAAATCTTCATCCACGTCAAACATATATTACGTCTGATGATAAAACTTAAAAAATATGTAGTAATATTTCAAATTGCATTCACTTACTACGCCATTTTTACACAATGTCCAATATTTTCTCAATTACTCACAATCTTGTGTCTTTTCAAAGCTTTTACTTCTTCTACCAAATTCTCTTGATGTTTCGAGTCGTGGGTTGATATGCAAATCTCAAACCTTATGATGTACTCTACACCCTCTAAAATCTGCAACATTTTTGAATCACACTGCCTCTGCCTAGCATTAGATGCTTCTACTGTGCCAAAACGAGTGTACATTATATATTAAATAGTTATTAGTAAAAATAAAGCATATTCTTAATTAGATGCGATTTTAAATTACCATTTCTGAATCATTCATTTCGTTTAAAAATAATTTTATATGTAGCAATACATTTCTCAATTGTTTACCCCTCCGTGCAATAAAAAACAATATATGGTAAAATTTACCAGTTGCCGGCTCCATGGGAACACCAAATTGATCTATAATCAATATGCCTGCAAGGCTTTGGTAATGATTCTAATAAAATTAACAATAAATGGGGGAGCATTTCAGATGTGATGGATTTTACAATTAAAAGCTCGTTTTGTGAATTTTTGCTATTAATGTTTCCTTTTACATGTGGAAAGTTTGCCTTAAATATTTGGCAATTATAAATACATAAATTTCAATACGGTTGTATGTTATATATATGGAGCGGACTTAGTACTTATTTTTCAGAAATTTCAATAAACCTGTACAAGCAATAGTTGCTCAAAAAATTTTCCTCAAAATTCTTTAATGTCCTTGAGTCAGAAAAGAACATTATTTTAGAAAACTGTTTTTTCCTTTCAAATGATCTAAAAACACAACAATACAGAATATGTGAAATTCTGAAATCTAAAAGAATTGCCAATTTGTTCCAACAACCGAACTATTTGTGCCAATTTTTTCGGTTTCTAAAAATATTATTAAAATTTTTATTTTCTGAACATTTTTTAAATTTTAATCATCAGTAGCCATACTATGATTACGTTAATATATCAGTAGTATACATATATTAACGTAAAATATTATATAGTTGCATAATAGTTGTATACATGGAATTATATAATATAATTTAGTCATATAAATTAATAAAATTAAAATATTATATAAATAAATTAATCATTTTATTATTTGCATTTATTAATTAATTAATTTTAATTAATTGCATTAAATAAAATTTAAAACAAATTTTACAATTTTTAAGTTTACTACAGGTATTTTTCGTTTCTTACATACAAATATTTTCATCTATTTCAGTTATCCAGCTAAATCTACAAACAATGAAAAATCTAAGTAATTGTATCTCAGAATTCAATTAAATATATACATATATATTTCAGTAGATTTTGTGCGAATGACTTCTAACGCATTTTTTTAATCATCTCTTTCCAGCGGAAGCTGAAGTAAAGAAAATGGAATTGCTGAAAAATATAACATTAGGTACGTTTTTGTTGTTTAAGGAGAACTTAGGGAAGCTTATTATTGACATCAGTAGCTATCTGTTGACTATTTATTTTATTTTATGAAGTTTGAAAATCACCATTTTGATTGTGAATTATTTCACTTTCAAGTAAATTGATATAGTACAAGAATTTACCAATTTTGCACATTTTTCTTATTTTTTTATATAAATTAATTATAGAACAATTTATATGAAAGTGAAGAGTGATGTGAGACGTGAAGAGTGCTTTAGTTGCTACTGATATTACTTAAAAGTGTGTTAAATCAGAGTTACTTTGTCATGTTACCAATACCTGTATACTTAGTTATAACCGAATTAATGGACATATGACATATCGACTTCCAGCTGACTTCAAAAAATTAGCCTCAGTTTTTATAAATAGGTTCCTTCTTGATTGAATTCTAGATTGAAACTGTTCATCATAAAACATTTTACGGTGTTTTCTGTTGTTTATGTTAGTTTGTAGTTAAATCAAAAAATTAGCCTCAGTTTTTATAAATAGGTTCCTACTTGATTGAATTCTAGATTGAAACTGTTCATCATAAAACATTTTACGGTGTTTTCTGTTGTTTATGTTAGTTTGTAGTTAAATAAATATCTAATTTACTCTATATATACTGACGCTGATCATAAAATCCTGTATTGTATTTTCAGAGAGACATTTTAGCTTATAATCAGATAAAATTCGAAAATTATCTAATGTATTTCGTCTAGATTGAAACTCTTCAACATAAAATGTTTTCAATATATTTAAGATATATTTAAATAACTTGTAAACACCATTATATTTTTACAAATCATCTTCATCACCATTTTAAATAATTAACTGATTTGCATTGCTATGATAATTTATTAAAAAACAAAATAGCTACCAGCCCATAGAGTGAAAAGCAATGGTTTAATGGTTGTAATAAAGGTGATCAAATGACACTCATTTTAATTTTTCTAAAACATATTTAACAGTTTAAAATTATAAAATATGTCTAAGAATATAGTAATAATTATTATAATACTAATCATTATCATCATTATCATTACCCGGTTCAAAACTATAAAATTACCAAATGTAATGCCACAATACATTATTAAAATTGAAATGGCTCTTAGATATCAACTTTCCCTTAATTAGAAATCAGTTCTGTCAGATATTTATTTCATTTTATTGCCTGTATTATACGAGTGTTTCAGTTCAAATTAATTTATTTTTGAGTATCAAAGTTGTATCTTATTGAAAAGTTGAGAAATTGTATACCTAAAAGGCCAAACATATTAATAATCCACATGTCTCGGTAAATATTTTTTTCTTTTCCGTGCAGCTAAAACTCTGCATCCAATAATAACTCTTTTAACATACACGTTTTTTTATGCATACTATTCAAAAAACCATTATAAACTATCTTGTTAAAATCATAATGCACTTATACGTGTTATAAAAAGACGAAACACAAGAAATTTCAATTAATATTGTTGTTTATTATTTTATTTCAGCTATGCAATTGCACCAAGATGAACTTCCAAATGAGGGTAAATAAGATTTTTTAAAACATTTGTACATAATAAATTTAGATAATGTAAAATAGAACATAATATATTTTACTAACTTTTTTATTAGAAATTAAATTTTGTTGTGACTGTTATTTGCACCGCATTTCGTAGTTACTCAAGTCACTGATGTAAATAAAGTCATTTCGTTGAGCAAATTTAAATCATGCTTTGAGTTTGATTGTCTATTTTCATGTCATGTTTTAGATAAGTTTTCGAACTCATATTTTTAAGATGGTTGTGCGTGTTTCAATGAAACTTTATGAAACTTGAGAATTTATTGCGAATAAATGCGTTACATAACTTAATTAAACAAACTCGTACTTTGAATTTGAAATCCAATAAGAACAATAATTAATTTTTATTTCATTTTCTTTAATATTTTAAGTTATTGTCGTCTGCTGTAAAGAATAAGGCAGCAAAATTTTTCCACGAAACTATAGATGTTAATATTGCTAAACTTTTTTCTCCACTACAGGCAATCAAAGGAAGTAACAAATCAAACGAACAAACAAATCAAAAGAAGACACTAAACTTCTCGTTTTGAACATAACTGAACTTCCATAATTAAATAAAGCATTTTAAATTTTTTAACGTAAATAAATTTTCTAAAACATTATAAAAATAATAAATAAGTAAATAAATAAATAAAAAATTTTTTTATTTTAATTAAGAATGTTTTGAGCAGTATATGTTGGTTTAGGCTAGTTTTCTGTTATTTCCTCCAAGCAACATACTAAACTAAACGACCAAGGCCTACTGTGCCCATCTCACTTTTCTTGATGCAGGAGCACATGTTCCTGTCAGGTGGTCAACCGAACGCAGAACCCCCAGTGTTTAGTTCCCAAGCATGCTTGGTACTCATTTATCGACCCACTGAAAGGATAAAAGGCTGAGTCAACCTTGCCCGGCCCGAGGATCGAACCAGGTACCTGTGGCACGACAGAACGAAGCGCTACCGCTCAGTCACTGGGCGTCCCAAGCAGCATACGCACAACATCTAATTTTTATTATATATTTATTTACCTAATAATGAGCTACAACTTGAGTCAATATTTTTTTTCTTTTAAATTACAGAGTTTAGAAAAAAATTGTACATTTTAACATAGAGTATAATTGCAGACTCAAGCTTTACGACAATTAAAATATCCTCTAAAGTGCATGTTCTTGCATTGATAGAGGTCTTAAAATAATGAAACACGTTAATCAATCCTGAAATACCTTACATTATTATTAGAACTTAAGTGATATTTAAAATATTGGCTAAAGGTCACCTAAGAAATTTTCCTAACTGAAAAAATAAATATAGAAATAAGGAAATTGTATTTAATTTATAATCAATTTTTGAATAAATCAAGAAGCTCAACAATCTTTCAAATTATTTAGAAATAACCTTGTTTTTTATCGAATTGTATTTTAAAATTAATATCTGGAAAGCAATGATCCATTTGTACAAAATATTCAGAAAATGCATATGGGTCTTTTAATTATAACTTCTACATGATTCTATTATGTTCAATACGGCTTTACGTAACTTTTGAAACACCACCATTGACGATCTTTTCTGTTTCTTTGCTATATATATATATATATATATATATATAGCAAAGAAACAGAAAAGATCGTCAATGGTGGTGTTTCANTATATATATTTCTCTTTTAGTTATCCAGTTAAACCTAGAAAAAATGAGGAATCTAAGTATGTGCATCAAACCTCGTAATTAATTCTTTAAGTAGAAATAAACTGCTTTTTTTAAATAAATAAATTCTTTCTTTACAGCGGAAGCTGAAATGAAAAAAATGGAATTGCTAAACAATATTACCCTTGGTAAGATAAATACTTATTTTGGACATTTCTGTGTTTAAGCTTCTCGTTTAACTTTCTGATTTATTTTTATGTGTTTCTTTTTTTTTAAATAAAACTTACTTTTCTATTAGGGTTCTTAAAAACAGAAATGTCTAGAAATTATCCGTAAAATGTTTTTCTTTCCAGTTTTTATAATGTATTGGTTCACTGATAGAAAAAAACAGGAACTGTATTAACATATAAGCTGTTTCTAAACATGCTTCATTTTAACTGTATAACTTTTATATCCTTAAAAATGACACCAACTTTTTGGTATAAATTATTTCAGCATTATTCATTTTTTAAAGTAATTAAAAATGATTACAAATGTTTGCTAAACAGGCAGCAACGGTTTCAGGTTTTAACTTCACTTTGATTTCAGGAATTCTGATGTTTAATTTAAATTCAGACATAGTTTAAAAATTATTGTTAATTTGAAAAATTATTATTGTAAATATTATATAATTGAATGAACCATTTTGATTCCTTGATTTTTTTCTGCTACTTTTCAAATTTTTCTACACACTGTTCAACCTATACAACTGTATGGTTTTCTTTTCTAAACAAATTATATTCACTGAAGTTAATTATTTCATGAAATCTCATTTATATGCTTTAAAACGTTGTCTAGACTAGAGTAAAGAACGTTAAAGATTTTTTAATCATTATTATTATTAACTGTAGAAGCATTTAAGAACAAAATCGTCCCCCCAAAAAATATAAGTATAAAATTTTGCAAAGCATATTCATTGAAGAACTATACTTCCTAATTGATTAAATTTTTAAATTAAAGTTTGCCATTCGTTTCTTAGTACAGTCGTTTTCTTAATGTTACCCAATCCGTTTCATCAATGATTCCCATGGAATTGTTTACATAGACATTAGTATTATCGAAACTTTTGAATAAAAGAAAAAATTCTATATTCTAATAGCCCAATCTAAACAGACGACTCTTGTCTTCGCAATAAGAGACGACACGACAACTATAGAATATCTGATGCAGTTATTTTGTGACTGTGCATGGCTGATACCTTCATCGTAATTAGCCTACATGCCTTGACTTCATTATGATCTTCATTTGCCTAATAAAGTTAATTATGAAAGAGAAGTTCTTCGTGAAATATCCACTTTTCTCCTGGGATCATTCGTTTCAAATGTCTAGATATTCATACCTTCTATTTGAGCAATAAAAGTTTAAATTTTCTTGCTTCAACATGTCTCAACATTTTCTGCTTTCCCTCTTTGAAGTAGTTTCAGATGAAATGAATCTGCAGCTAAAATTCCACATTTCAAAACGTTTATCTAAAGCGCTTTTTTCTTACACGTGAAACTGAATAAACTAAACTTTCTGTAATTAATATAGCAGATACTATAATGTTTTAGATTTTATTCCTTGAAAAAGACTATATTTATAAAGTCTGTATCCGAAAACAACTACTGAAAAAAATTGTTTATTTTATATTGCTGTTCGATAAGACATTGCTAAGCATAATAAGCAGATTTGAAAAGAGAATTTTTAATTAATGTCACTTTTATTTTAGCTATGCAGTTACATCGCGAAGAATTACCCAATGAGGGTAAGTAATAAATATTCTGTAAAATCTCAGTTTACGTTAACATAGTTAGGAGGTATAGCAAACATTAAATTCTAATTTGAAGGTATAAAAAATACGCTCAATTATTTTTTAATTAATTTAAATTCATTTAACTATTATTTCTCACTGTCAAATGTATTAAATACTCAATCAAATGTAAATTATAAACAAAATGTCATTCCAATAAATCAAATGTCAGTTTATTTTTTAATTGAAAATAAATGTTCGTAAAATATAGATTAATGATGAGTGCACCAATGGCTGCTCAAGTCAGTTACTTGTTTTTTAAAAAAACAATACTTGCATACAAATATACAAGCCTCACTGTATAAAAGCGAGCATTTAGACAACTCAAGTTAAAGTAATACACGTTAAAAATAAGTTTAAAGTTTTTTTACTACTAATTTAAGTATTTTTTTAGAAAATAAAGTAAATAATAATTCTTATTGTATAATAAGAGATTATTTGGCATACGATAACTGCGCAGCATAATTTGTTATTAGATCCATTGCTTATTTTCACCAATAATACTAAAATTTTAAATTAATTTTCGGTATTTTTTTGTTCTTAGATTCTTACAAATCTGCATAGCGAATGAGCTCCATTTCATGATAATTAAAGAAATGTCATGTTGCTTCTACCGGATAACGCAAGCCGCATTAGTGCTGCTTAAATACATTATCAAACTTATCAAATTGGTCGAAAGTACTTAATTATGATGTTGAACATAGTTTAAAAAATAAGAATTTATTTCTCATACATATAAAATAAGACACGCAAACATTATTGAAATTTATTTAACTTCCTCGGTATCTAGTATCTAGGTCATTACCATGATTGGGTTTCAATGCATATTTATGATAGATATGCAAAAGTGTAACAATCTAGAGGCCATTTTGTCTGCTTTGAAACCCGTGCCTTTTCCGTTTAGTTATATCATAAAACTGACAACTTCAAAAAAGTTTTATACAAATAGTACTGTTATTTAACGTATCAATGATATTTTTGTGAATCGAAAAATATTTTTTTTTCTTTTCCTATTTTAGTTATCAAGTTAAATTTGCCAAAAATGAAAAATATAAGTAAGTTTAATTCAAATTTAATTAAATATTTTTTTTTTGTGTTTTATTATTCGTTTCTCAACTGTTTTATTTGAAAAACTCTTTCTTAACAGCGATGGCCGAAACTAAGAAAATGGAATTGTTGAAAAACATCACATTAGGTAAGCTGAGAGTTGGGGCTTTGAACTTCACTGCAAAATGCGTGTTCTAAAAGTATACTTTAGTATTTCAATACCAGGTTGGAGAAATAAGGATAAATTTATACCGTAAACATGTAAGAGGTGTGCGTTGTAAAATGCATGCAGTAAACATGCGTATTTTTAAAACTTTTATTTTTAGTTTCGTAACTGGACATCAGTATTGCTGAATAAAATTAATTTTTTCAGAGTTTGATGTCTTTGTTATTGGATTATTGACACGAACTTTGGTTTATTATGGTAAAAATACAGAGCGAAAAAAAGATTTACAATCAAATTACGTATGCTTTTGTCTGAACTCAGATAGGCCTCATTATAAGAGTTACGGAAAATATCTATTGTTACCAATAGATTTTTTTACTTGATTCACACATTCGATGTAATTGGTAGATTTTTCACCTACCAGGGCTTTCGCAGGGATGCAATATTCAGGGTAAAATCATATTGCTGGGTGACCTGATAGATTTTCGCTTTCTCTGATCGCATCTTAGTAAAAGCTCGGAATCCATTCTAATGTCCTCGGTAATTTTAAAACTGTAAATTATTTTAATGTCTAAGAGCCGGAGAGTTATTTTATTTTTATTGTTAGGTTTCTATTTTATTGTAAAAAACTGACTTTCTTGTTAATATCTTTGCAAAATCTGAAATTTTTAAGTTTCTGTAATTTTAAATGAGAGTCCCGATACAAGTTTTTTATGGAGATTTTCTTATATAAAAGTTTAATAGAATCGAACTTTAAAGTAGGGAAATAAAAGTTTTTATGATGGTTTCAAATCCATTATCTAAGTTTTAAATTTAAAAAAAAATTCTCTTTTGGGGTCGTGCTTGTAGGAGAAACATAATACGTTTTTAAATCCATTAAACAGGTGGAATATTGGCTGAATAAAAATGTGGTAATGCTTGATTCTTTTCTGTGAAGTAATGAAATATACATAAATTTTTTTAATTTTGTTTGTATTTTAGCTATGCAACTGCTAGATGAATTACCAAATGAGAGTAAGATATAAATTATGTCATAAATTATACATTTATACAATTAACTTTTATAAAATAAGTTAAGATTTAAAATATTAGTTGCCAGACTGCTTAACAATGAACTTTTGTTTAATTCAGAAATTTTTAACTTCATTTAAAACTTAATTTACAATTTTTACAGTTCCCACATGGATTGATTAAAACTAAACTACATTCCAAATGTAAATTATACAACCAATAGATTTTTTTACAATTTTTTCCTTCCTATAAACTTGAATATAAAAGTTGGTTCACTTGCTTCGTATTAAATATTTTAGTGCATCAAAATATTTCTGTGTTCTATAAGCTTAGATAAAAAAGTACATTATTTTATAGCATAATATTACTTAATTATGGGATTATCCCAGTCAGATAACTAGCATATATTATACAGATTTAAAAACATTAACTTACTTAAGAACGTGATTATTTTTTGTTTTATAATTACAAGTAAAAAAATTATTACATCTATTTTAGTTATTCAACTAAATCTCCAGAATAGGGATAACCTAAGTACGTATATTTTAGTATAAAATTCGATAAAATGTTTCATTAACTTCTTTTTCCTAAACTTTATTTGAAAATTTTGAACTATTCATGATTATTTTTTTTATTTTGTTCTCCTTATAGCCCAAGGTGAAATTAAGAAAATGGAGTTGCTTAAAAATATTACAAAAGGTAAGATTTATTAATTAATAAAAAATACGTATTTTTTTTAAATGGCGAAATACTAACAACTAAAAATTTTTTACCAGTACTATAGTCTATAACTACCATTTCTGTATTTTGATCTTTTTCTTTTGTTTTTTAGTCTATTTTTTCTGCTGCAGAAAAATGTTTAACTTAGATTTTTTTAAATTGTTAGGCAGCATATGCAGGTAACTACCCAACTACCAAAAACAACTGTGTTCAACAAGTTTTCAATTATTCAGCAAGTTAATAAGTTATTAATTATTCTTTTAATAAGTAAAAATGTTAACACTAGACTTAGTTAAAAACCTAGTAGGTATTTTTAACACATTTTAAGGTTTAATTTTTAGACTTCGTTGTCAGGTAATTCGATAATCTAGTCACCCTTTTTGGAGGTATATCGATGTTATTATAAATTCATAATGTCAAATTAATTTAACTAATAAAAAAGCACTAAGGGAAGTGCATCAGACTATTTTAGCGTGAAAATTAATGAAAAGTGATGTTGATTTAAGCAGCTTTATTTAACCGTCTTTCTTGTGTATTGCTATTGTATCGTATTATCACAAATGTTTAAAGGTCTTAAACACTTAAACACTCTTGTTTCTCCTCTACTTATATTCAAAAATTTGTATAGTGATAAAATATGTTTTGAAATTCTTACTCGAAAGTATTTCTAAAAAGTGTTAAGCGTCCTGAAAGACTTTAAAATGTATTTCACGGATAGGTAAATTACAACATAAAAATATTGAAAATAAAATATGAGAGGAAAAAGTCAACCAAATTTAATTTTAATTATACAAGAAGAAGCTGAAACTTAAAAATGTTCACACCTGCAACAATTTTATTTTAAAATAATGTATCGCTATAATTACGAATTGTATTTAGTATTGAAAAAACATTAAATAACATACATTCTAAACAAGAAGGTTTCCAAATGATTTTTCTTCTCAATTTTTCATTTAAATTATTTTAATATCATTTTTCTATTATTTTTCTATTTTGTTAAATGTGATTTGCGCTAATGTAGATTTAGGTAGCCAATAGCTTAAGGACTTCATAATAAATTCAGTAAAATTCGTTAGAAACACCAGAAGAAATATTTTTAAAATAAAATTTAAAGAAAAGGGATATTTCAACGAAAATTGATTTTGAAATTTAAAATTTATACCCCTATAAAATATTTAATTTTTTAATTTATTTTTTCACTTTCAAAAATAATTATTTTTTTAATGATTATTTTTTCGATTTTAGCAATTCATTTGAGTAAACATTTACCGAATGAAGGTAAGTACAGACTACCACAAACAAATTTTTGGGTAATGAATATTTGTTGATATCGTATTTTGATAAAATAATATAAATTCAAATTGTAATTTGGAGAAAAAAATTAGGTATCATTAGGTTGTATACAAAATGTTATCAAAAAAAATTTTTTTCAGCATTTCAAACATTATAACTTCTTACGAATATGAATTTCTGGCTTACTCATTTATATATTGCTTACTGAGCATATATTTCAAACCAAAATTTATTCACAGTAACCAAATTGTTATTCATTTAGCAGCCAGGTTTTAATTCAACTTTTAAATTCACTTTTAATTGAAAAACATTGTCAAATATATTAATTTCAGTGCTTCGCGACGGTGTATCCTAATTTTAAATATCTTAGTAAAATGAATTTAATTTATTGCGTGCATTTGAAAACTATTCTAATTCCATTAAGAAATAATTTAAAAGGCTATTCCACTATAAAAAATACTGCCACAAAACAAATTAAGGATAAGAAACATTAAAAATAGTTTACTACTAATAAAGTTTTTAGATGTAATATAGCTTAGTGACATTTTATTCCTTTTTTTCTAATAAAAAATAATAGTCTGCTATTTTTTCTATCCCTTTTAGTTATTCAATTAAACCTACAGAAGATGAAAAATCTAAGTAAGTATATTTTTGCCTTTTCTAAGTTTCCTCTATCTTATTCTCGATACATTTTTATGACGAAGGATATTAGAAATTCTTAACTAAACAATGATTAACATTAGATTTTTCTTTAAAGTGAATGCTGAAATGAAAAAGATGAAATTACTAAAAAAAATTATAAAAGGTATGTATGTGTTACCATTAAATAAAATACATTAAAAATTTCCTCATAAAAACTTTTCTTTTTCACTATTTTTGAATAAACGTTTTGTAACTTCGCACGATAGTTTATTTAAAAAAAAATAACACAAAAAATAAAAAATATAAGGACTAATTTTTATCAACCTTTATTAATAATACATGATAATATTTTTTAATAGAGTGTGTATGAAATTAACAATACCTTTATCAAATATTTCTTAATTTTCATCAATTTGAGTGCACTTTCGAAAAATTTGAAAGCGTTAAAAACAATTTATACTGGCATTAATGAAATCATACTTAACTGTGTGATTAATGATAATAGCGTTTTGTTAAGGAAAAAAATATGAATTCCATCGAAAGGAGTACAAAATACGGTACTTCACATCTTCATACGAGCTGACAAAGAAAAAAAAATTTCAAACTGAAGCGAAAAAAAAAAGGTTAGGATAAAAGTTAAAGGGAAGTTGATGCAGGAACGTTAAATTACTTTTTATTCATTTTCCATCCAAATAAAATAACATGATTTTATTAACTTATTTATTGTTTTCGTATGTTGTTTCTTTTTACTATTTATTATTTTTCTTATGCATAAAATATTTTGCAATAAAATGATTCTATAATATCTTGTACTGGTCAGAAGAAAATAAAACACTTAATGCCTCTAAGCAAATTAGAAATTGGCCAAACTTTAAAAAGCAAGAAAGAGTGTAATTTTTCTAGCTTGATGTATTTTTATTTATTTTAAAACAAACTTCTTAATCAAATATTAGTTAAATTATCAAAATTTAAATCAGTTATCATTTGCCTTATGTCACTAACAACTTTTTAACATTGAGAATTTTAAATTTTTATTGTTTGAATTTCAGCTATGCAATTACAACGAAAAAAATTACCAAATGAGAGTAAGTAACTTACATTAATAAAAAATTGAATAATATATAGCTATAATAAATATTTAAACATTCATACGCATTTAAAAAAAAATTATAACAGTATTGACTCGATTAATAAAAAAGAAAATTTCGAAAATTATTATTTGTCCAATTGTCCCTTATTTTATCTAAATTTTTTGCCTGATTTGTTGTCCGTATTTTTTTTATTAAACTTTATTTATAAAAAAGATATGAAGAACGTTCATAGTTCGCTTTATCTTAAGTTATGCAAATTTGATTGACTTTTATCGTTTAATTTTGCTCATACTTATCGTATCCTGTTTACAAATAAAATCATGAAACATTTATTAAAAACTACTACTTGTACATTTAACCGAAAACAAATTCAAATTTACATCTTATTTCACTTAAAAAAATAAAATTGATTTTGTGAAAAATTTCTACGATTCCATGAAGGCCAGTAATTTATGAAACACTTTTTTTTAATTCTATGATGACACAAAATCATAAAAATCAAAAAAAATCAACGGTTTCTATATTTACTTATGAGTGCCTTGTAAAAACACATAATCATAAATTTGATACACAATTTTATGGAATTTTATTTAATCACATTTAATTGGAGAAAATTAAACAATAATTTGAGAACAAAGGTTAAAACTATTTCACTCTACTTCTTTAGAAATCCAGGAATTTTAGTTGAACAATTACTAAAAATGTACGATTATTGAAACTATAATTGCGGAATAACAACGGATCCCTAAAGAAAGAAATGATTCCTACTTTATGATTTCTACTTTTATGATTCCTACTTTTATGATTCCTACAGAGAAAATCTCGAGAAAAAGTTCTAGGAAAATTATCGCACTGTATGGTAATGACATATATGATAAAAGAAAAATAATTCTGGTTATAAATCCAATATATATGCTGTTTAAACTATTCATTTGGAAATTGTTCTGTTCTTATGGCAATTATTTACCTTAAATTATGCTTTTCTGAATTATAGTTCTCATGACCACACATTTAATACAAGCGTGAAAAGTAAATTTAAACAAATAAATGGTTTTTATGCCATGCTCTAAAATATCATAAAAGAATTATGCATTTTGTCACATATTATGTATGTATTTTTTATTGTTAATTTTACTGAAATCATTACCAAAGCGCTTCCGTTAAAATTACGGAGCCTTTTGATATCCCTAGGAAGCCAGAAACATGGTGATTTTTGCTATATTCTGTAAACAATACTTCTATCTCGAGTACAATACTTTTATCTTTAGTAGTACAATACTTTTATCTCGAGACATGATGACTCAGGGGATAGAGTGTTCGCCTTACTATGGGGTTAATCAATACAAATTCTGCACCCGGTTCGCACCAATTACAGTGCTGACTTAAAATATCCTCAGTGGTAGAAATATTATGGGTTAGAGTCACCTTGCAATCAGGGTAACCGTGGGAGGTTTCCATGGTTTTGCCCTGCACGTAATGCAAATGCGGAATAGTTCCATCAAAATATCCTCCGTGAAGGCAAATTTTTTCTCAATACTATACTTTGATCCAGAAGCTCCCTTGTCTTTTGGATTTGGTTCAAAAATACAAGCCTACGGAGTTGAACACTAGTAGTCGGAAGCCTAAAATTGAGTCAGCTGGTTATAAAATTAAATATATTTTTCTCGGAGTTCTATTAAATATCAGGATTTAATATTTAAACTCATATTTCAGTCATATTTAGATTCTTTTAAACTCATATTTCAGTCTTTTTCATCAATTTCATATTCAACAGAAATGATGTAGATACTTTCTCATAACGTTTTTAGCTTTAATTTTTATTTCTATTTAAATTTTAAATTTTAACTCTTCTTAAAGAATTAACCTTTTTGAAGAAACTATTTAAAATTTCATTCTAAACATGAATATAATCATATAATTATAATTTTAAATTTGGAAAAAAAGGTCACAATGCTTAAGATTAATTCATCATGTTTCAATTTACTTAAAAAATTAAATGAATGCAATGCATTTAATTAATTTATATTTGCTTAGTAAACTTTTTAACACATTTCATTTTTACTATAATTGAAATTAATCTTCAGAGACTAAAAAAATATATGTTAATGAAAATTTAAAAAAAAATAGAGTTGTTTTATATTATTTAGATATTTGTGACCAGATCAGTAAACATGCAGAACAAATATTTTTTTCCCTATAGTACTTCTAGTCCCTGTTCAAAAGTAGTATATTGCAAGAACGAAAATCTTTTATCATTTCAAATCAGATAAGCATTTTCACAATATCTATTAAGGACAATATCATTTTAAGTGTATTCTACTAGGCTATATCTATTTATATACATTTGTTTAGGCAAGATCTATTCATATCAATTTATCTAGGCAATATCAATTAATAAAATTCGTTATGTTTCTAATTACTTCACCCCAAGTATCAGGCAACACCATTTATTTTTAAGTTATTATTTTAAACTACTGTAATCTTTATATATAATACATATTAAAGTAATTCTGAGAAATCTCTTTCAAAATCAGATAATGCTTAAATTAAATTTATTTACTCTAGTAGGCGCATTTTTTTTTTAGATTTAAGGACGTAAACTGTATGCACTCATTTAGCTACTGCAATATTATGGAATTAGACAGCCCAAAATAGTTCGCAGTAGAATTTAATATTCATGCATTTAATATGAGGTCAAGGTCTGCATTAACCGCTATAAGGAGATTTTTTTTTCTTTTTAGTTATTCAGTTAAACCTACAAAACTTAAAAAAACTAAGTAAGTAAATTTTGCCATTCTTTATATTTGTCTAATCTCACTAATAATCTTCAAATCAACGGATATTTTAATTTTTTTTCTGTTTTGAAAGCGGAAGCGGAAATGAAAAGAATTGAACTTCTGAAAAATATAACAAAAGGTATGACAAAAAATCATATTGAAAATTTATATTTATAGGTTTTATTTTTGTAAAAGTTTTTACTACGTAACAAAAGAAAATTTTAAATTGCATGGTAATAGGATTTTTTTTAAATAGACCATTAGCGTTATTTAACATATTCGATAAGGATAATGTGTTTAATTAATCGTGTTTATTTTAAATTTATTTCAATGGCATAATGACGGGTTACTTAAAGATGTATTCTTCTTTTTTTTTTTAAAAAAAAAGAGATCGATTTTTATTTTTGTGCCTTCCGTTTGTTGATTTTAAATTTTCTGCAGATCGGCCTGTGTAGGGGTTAGGTAACTTGCATCAGAAAAGTTCTGGGTTCAAATCCCGGGCAAGGTATGGAAGTTCTTTCTCTCTCTGTTACTACCTATCCTTACTGTGGGAGCAACATTGGCCCACCTAATATGGTGCCCCGGAAAGAGTGGCCAACAAATCTTCCCTTCAGGTGACCGTATGACGTAAGTCATTCTCCAGGTATGCATTAGAAAAAAAATTTAAATTTTCTTTAAATTTTGTTAAAGAAAATTTGAAAAAAAAACGAAAAAGAGAGAAAATAAGGTCAAACAGATCCTGTATATTTCCCTACTACGCTCATTTTAGGACGCGCTCTAACTAAGAATATCAGAATTAAGACAATTTTGAATATATAGGGAGTAACAACAAACTAATAAAATTATTTGATTACGTATATGTTACATTCTTCAATGATTTTTTTTTATGTTTCACGATTGAAATTCAGCTAATTTTAGTCCATATAAAATGTTTTAATTTAAAAAATAGTAAACCCGCTAAAATTATTGGGTTTTACCATTCTCTACGTAATAAGACGCTTTTATCAAATGCGCGATTAAATTAGTGTTATTTGTGTTACAGCTTTGCATCTGCAACAAGATGAATTACCAAATGAAAGTAAGTCATGAATTTTCTCAGCATAATTTTTAATTTAATGGGTATAAATTACACGAAAATATTTATACATTCATGTTACAAAGACGTGGCAATTTTTAAAATTTTTACGGACGAGATGAGGATAACAAATGAGATAAATGAAACACAAAAAAATTATTTTGGAGCCTTTTTATATTTTAAAACAATGTTTCAACTAACACAGTAGAGCTTTAAAAATTTACCTGACTTCCATATTCAAGATTTAAGACATTGCTGAAATTTAAATTTATGATTGGTTAACTTTATAGATAGTAAATTATTATTCCCGTTTTTTTCAGCATTTTTAAATTTTTCGTTGCTTGCTGTGAGGAATAAGACAGCAAACATTTTCTACAAAGATACACTAAAGACTGAAACAATTCATGGAAGGAACTATACTTTTCATTTCGAACGTAGCTGAACAATTAAATGAAGTATTTGGACTTTTTTTAACCTAAATAAAATATATGAAGCATTAAAATAAATCAATAATATATATTTTATTTTTAATAAAAAGTGTTTTGAGCTGTATATGTTTGTTTGATGGATGAAGGTTGGCACAGTCCATAACTCCGTCCCCACAAGATGAAGGGAAGATAGTCAAGGATAAATTTGCTAAAAATTAAAAGTATATGCATTTTGGTGATTGTGTGAATAGTTGCAAATTATGCTGCTTTCCATATTTTCCATATTTTTACGCAATTTGTAAGGTCCTATTTATGATATTGTGTTGTTAGATTACAAATTGCATAAGAAAATGCACAGTAGTTTGTACTGATTTTAGTCATTATTAACATGCGTGAAATTTTGATTACTTATCGTTTTGGTGACTGTGCAATTATTATAAATCAGAACAATTTAAAATAAGCAAAAAGTAATTTTCTACACATTTATTATATAATCACCAACATGCGAAAATAACTTAAATATTTATCGATTTTAAATTCTATCTAAAAACAGTTTATGGATTAAAATCCTTATTAGATTCAAAAACTTTTATTGAAATTAAATAAAATTCAAAACAATGTATACATTTTCGCAAAGTCGCAAAATCATTGGTAAACTTATAAATCTTTCCTCAACTGAAACTTAAGATAATTATTTAGCTTTTTAAGCGTAAAAAACAATTACTGATATTTTTGTATTTTGAATTAAAAAAAACTTTTTTTTCTGTTTTAGTTATTCAGTTGAACCTTCAAAAATTGAAAAATCAAAGTAAGTAATTTTTTTTAAGTTTCATCTCTTAAAAATTTAAATTAAGGTTTAAAAGAGCACTATATTTCAATTTAAAGACATAATTTTAATTTTTAAAAGCATTTATTAAGTAAAGATGCTATTTTGAATTATAAAAAATATTTATTTAAATTCCAACAAAAGGAGGAACACTCTAAATTTTAACAGGAGTTCTCTACTTCGTTATGTTATATTCTAATGGAGTTCTTAAAATATTAAAGAGCAATAAAATAGATTTTAGTAGTATATATAACTATTTTATTCTTTTATCATTGTTTTATATAATTTTTCAGTTTGGCCTAAATTTTTTTGAGAAATTAATGGTTGATTAATCAAGATAATCTAATTTCCCATTAACACACGTAACAAAAGTTTGCATTTTTTTCTGTAAAAACTTTAGTAAGACAGAAAATTTAAAAAGTTTTTGTTTTATAAATTAAGAAGTCAAGATATTCAACTGAAATAATTCTCGAATTAAAACTGCCAATAGTTAAAATTTAAGAATTAATTTTAGTCAAGGTAACACACGTAACGAAAAGTTAAGTGTGTTACTGTTATGTGTGTTAGAGGTACTTATACACTTAATTTATTATTTATTTTCTATCAAAAATAGAAATCATGTTCATACATTTTTAATAACCACCGCTAAACTTCAATACCAAAAATAAGGAATTGTAAGATTGAGGATTTTTTTTTGTAAAATCAGGTCGGTATAAGCATTAATAAAAAAAACAGCATAATATTGGAAATTGTTTTCCTAAACTTCTATTTGTAATATGTTTATGTTTAAGTAGAGTATTTTGACTGCATTTGCTAAACTATTATAAAATGGATAAGTTTAAAATAGTGTCCTTATCTTGAGTTAAAAGAATAAGAGGCTGGAGAAAAAAAAGAAAAGAGCATAGAATTCTACACTTCAAAGGCAAAAAAATAAGGAAATAAAGTTAGACTTGAACTTTTAAAACAGATTGATAATGATGTAAGAGGTTCACCACTAAGTACTCGTATTTCAGAGGAACTTAATTATTAATAAATGAATTTTCTTCAGAAGTGAGATGGTTTATACTATATAGATTGAAGCAAGAGTTGGTTGTCTGGATTATTAAGGGGGAAAAGGGGCAATGAAACAAAAGAACTATCTAACAATGTTTCTAAGAGAACCTTTTACTGCTTTTTGTCTGTTGCATCCTGAACATTGTTAAATTTTCCAAATTTTGTGCTTTATGACCAAAACATGTATTGCTACTGTACCACTTAGAATCAATGCAAATATAATGAAATTTTTATTATTTTACTGGAAGGCTGGAAATATATGGTGATGGTAAAATTATTCATGTAAATGAAGTGACAGAAATCTTGGATCTAATTGTTGGAAGGGTGCTTGTAATACTTACAAAAATTTCTCATTATTTGTTATAGGTTTCTAACCATCTTTTATTATAGTTCGGTAATGATGGGAAAAAGATAACAATAGCTCACAATCAAAAAATATATGATGGCAAATGTGCAAGAAGAATGTCTTGAAATTACTCTTGAAAATCGGACTAACTTTCAGTAATACGTAAGGGTTAAAAGAATCCGAGGCGATACTTTCTAAAAGAACATATCTAGCATTAAAATCAGAGTAATTAAAGTTGACTTTGTTACGGCATATTATTTTGAATATCAAAACGAATTTCAATCAGCATTATGCTATCTGACCTCTTTTCCGTTATTCACAGAAGCTGTTTTCTTAGACGATACTTGTTTTTCATTTACAACATTATCCGATGCAAAAGACGACGGTAAAACAATGTCTGCACTTTTATTTTAAGACTATTTCAAAAGCTGTTCAAAATTATTCTACTTCAGGAGATGAGATTACAGAAACATTATATATTGATCAGCCAAGTTAAGTATGTAAAAATAAATATGGTTGAATTATTTCCTCTTTTGTCAATAAAAATATAAAAGAGAAATTCATTTGAAAATACTTTATCATATAACATGGCAGAAGTGCTTTGTATGAGGTAGGTATGTAGTACAAAATCTTCAGAGCGAAGCAAAAGGCAAAATCAATTTAACAATAGTGTTGTTATACAAGAAAAGTTGATTAGTTATACAGTGTTGTTTACAAAGCTAACCAATCAACTCATGCCCAATACAACAGTATTACATATTATCCGAAATGAAATAAAGATTTTAATTGAATCCAGTAAACAATCTAATTAAGCAATCCATTTCAACGGTAATACAAAGTATAAAATCTATGCACAAATATCTCGATACTTGAATAACATGCGTAGATGCATAGATTATGGCACACGAATAGTCAGTTTCTGTCCCCTCCTGATACGTTGTAATCAGTAGAGCTCCTATAACTGAAGACGAAATGTGCTCTACCTTGGCCACATTAATGACGCAATTGCACATGCTTGTAAACTTAAAATACAATATATGCAGAAAATTATTTTAAAAGATGCATATTTTATGTTTCCAGACAGAAATGATTTTGAGGAAATAGATGAGAAAATAATTTGCTACGTTTTACTCTCTAAAGCAGAAGAAAGAAGGGGTACAACTTTCATTCCAAGCCATTAACTATTTCATTTGCCAATTAAATTGTTTTTCTTCTGTTAATTTAAAATAAACAGATGTTTTACTGCAACATTTATAACTTTTCAGTTGAACTATTCACAGAGGGTAACACACGTAACGTTCAGTTAACACACGCAACGCACCAATTTCACCCAAATAAGGAAGTTTTTTCTGTTGAAAAAAATTTTAAAAATCACTAAACATAGCTTTGATATCGTATCTCTCTATAAAAAATTATCTTAGTTTTACACATTTATACTTCACAGAATTATACGAATATATTTCAAATTCCAAATATCTAGCATTATAAAGGGTAACACACGTAACAAAAAATTCGCCCATAAAAAGAATAAATTTTTTCAATACCACGTGATTCAATAACGACCGGTATAAATAATGGAAAATTACTCAGCATAAAATCAGTTATCACAGTAGAATATTATAATTTTATGTATAGTATTTAATTAATAACGATGTTTTTAAAGTAGTTATTACTGTAAACATTACTGTATATCATATTTTTTTCTGTAACATGCTGCGGTAAAAAGAGAGTTTTAGCAAAATGTACCGTCTCCCTGAAGGCTAATACCCTTTACTGTAATTTAATCGAGATTTTTTTTACCGTGCATAAGGAATACGAAACATTCTCAACAGCACTTTTTTTACTGTCGAGAGATTTCTTTCCCTTTTAAAATTTTCTTTTGTTTAAAAACAGTTCCAAATTGTTCTCTGTACATATTATGTAAGCATTTGAATTTTACTGACAAAAATCTTAAAATCAAAGTCATTTATTAGATTTAATCGCATAAAAAATTCATTTTAATTAAAATTAAAAAATTTCAAAGGCCTTATAACCATCTATTTATGCATTGATCAATCAAAACCGATAACGTTTAGGAATGTTTTTATTTCAGACATGAAATTAAAACAAGGTGAATTACCAAATGAAAGTAAGTCATGAACATTTATAACTTATTTTAAGTTAATTTTTATAGGAAACTAAGTAACTCTTACTATAACTGTAATTCACGATAGAAAATCCACAGGTATTTAATATTTGTGGTTATTTTAATTTTTTACTTCTTTCAATTTTTAACTTCCTTCCTTTTTTTTATTATTTAAGAAGTATGTTTTTATTAACTATAAATTTTGAATGATAGATACAAAAAAACAATGTAGAGAGCCCCGGCCAGGTATCAAAATTCTGATTAAAATGCTTCTCTGAAGAAGGTAATTTTCGTTGAACCAATTTGCATTTCAACTTAAGCATTGCTTCAATTGGAATAATTTATGCTATAAAAATTATATTTGTTATAGTTAAATTAAACCGGACCTTAAATCAGAAAAATTTTATCTTTTCTTAATAATTCCAGTTATTGAATTGTATAATAAAACGATCAATAAGTAAATTTATGAAAAAGTTTTATTTTTCGTAATGCGTGAATTAAAATGTTTCGAAATAATTTACTTGGTTTCATTAAGAAGAAAAAAGGCTCGAAATGATTCTAAGATATTAAAATTTTACTCTTTTAAAAAATATAATTTGCGATTAAAAAATTTGTTATTGTAATTTTAACATGAGTAACTAATTTTTTCCCATAAGATTCTATATTATAGAATTAACTGATTAAATATTGATTACGTAAATAATTTTTTGCTATTAACCTCAAGAAATCCTTACGTTGTATCTTAAATACAATTTGTATAATTCTTTTTTAGCTATTCAGTTACATCTAAATGAGATTAAAAATCTAAGTAAGTGGATTTTTTAAGTCATTAAAATTTTATATTTGAAACCTAAGAAAATATTTTTGTATGAATTGAAATTATCATATATTCCTACATTGTTTTTCTGCTTTCAATTTTAAAGCTGATAAAGAAATTCAGAAAATGGAATTATTGAAAAATATTACAATAGGTAAGTCATTAGATTACTCGCAAATATAAATAGAAACTTCCCAAAAATATTTTTCATAATTTTTCTACATAATCGCTTGAAATGTTTCTAACGTCTAAAAAATAGAAACGCAAAAATTTTTTTAATACAATGAATATAATGCAACGAACTAATTTTCCTACTCCTTTTATAAAATAGAAATCGTTGTAGAGCTTATCTTTATATTTAAATAAAAAGAAAACATTAAAAATAAAATTTATAATTTATAAAGAGAATTTCATGAAATATGATAATTGCAAACTGCTTATTGTCAATCAAATTACTTTAATTACTTCTCCGAGTATAAATTGTTCCTAGTGCAAAATAGTGTATCGTGAAGGATTTATTTTTAAATTTAATTTGCACTTTTTTGTATAAATAATTTATAAATATTTTTTATAGTATTTTTTTTCCTGTAGTAACTTTACTACCTCCTTTTGTGATCATTAATTTTAACTTATTCGCATTTTTTAATTGTTGTTATTTGTATTTCAGCTATGAAATTACAAAGAAAAGAATTACCAAAGGAAAGTAAGTTATAAAAATTGCAAATAAAGTTTTAGTATTAAAATTTTATCTTTTAATGCTTATGTGTGCAGAAAATTTAGCGGAATATTTTCAAAACAATTATAATTCTGTAGCAAAAATATTGTTATTTTTGACAGTTAATAAACAATTTAGAATCTGAAATTTTAAGGAATCAGAAAATCTCTAAGCGTTTTACTTATATTTCAGTACTAATACTCTTTAAAGGAAATTTAATTCGTAAATATTAATCAAAAATCAATTTTCCAATTCTTAAAACAACTTAAAAGATATTTTCTCAACTAGTTCCTGCTAAATAAATCAATTTAGCATATAGCTTAATGTATGGAAAATTTAAATAATTGGAGAAAATAACAATTATTGATATTCTTTTTTAAAATCGGTGCATTTCTTTTTTAGCTATTCAATTGCATCTGAACGAAATTCTAAATATGAGTAAGTACGTTTGTCATTTAATTTAACATGCAATGTTAAAAATGTGCAAAACAGAAACTTTTTCAAAAATCGAAAATTAATTGTTGTTGTATTTTCTTTCAATTTAAAGTGAAAGACGAAATGCCGAAAATGGAACCTTTGAAAAATATCTCCTTAGGTATATCTTTTCATTTGATATCAATCTATACTTATGGTTTTCATGAAAAAAATATCCCATAATGTGCAACGTCCTTTGAATAGAAATTAAGTCTATGGGTGTCAATTGTTTAACCCAAAACTAAAAGAAAAAAAACTGTATTGAAATTTTAAACGTCAATGTTTTATCATTTTCTATTTATGGAGTTCCCTTTTATCTGTTAAATGTAACACAACTGGCATCTCTCAAGATATAAAGATTTTTTTTAACTTTAAGAATTTCTAATGATTAAGAATTAGATTTCCTGGGCATCAGAATGTTTTTATCAGAAAAAGTAACAATTAAAAACTTATTATTACAGAGAAATAAGTTATAAGGAATAAAATTCTTTAACGAAATAAACGTAGTGTAAGATGTCACTAACAGAACAAAACACACATTTCCCAAGTAGCTATTAAGCATCTGCTGCAATGAAATCAATAACAAAAATTAATATATCTTATAAGAGCATGCTTGTAGGCATACAATATCGGTTATGCATAATTCCGCAACCAAGAAATAATAATTAAATAAAGAAAAGGGGAAACAGAGTGGAAATAAGAATATAGTAACAACAATACCCCATCTTTGTGCTTATTCAGCAAAATGTATGCGTTCCGAAAATTGAAATTTAATGAAAATAAATATTACTCTATCATACAGAAAGTATAAAATAAAAAAATGATAATTTACAGCCAATATTATGATCAAGACTGTCTATGTGCTTGTTCCTGGTATGAAAGATAAATATTTTAAATTGGAAAATTGATAATCACCATCTATACTTAAGACCACTATGGCAAGTGGGAAAATTATATATCGTTATTAAATCTTGTTTTTAGAAACTCAGATTAGCCATAAAAACAATTGTTCGTTTTTATGATTCCCAGGATTATGAATCTTCAGGATATTTAAAATAAAGCCGGGGAAGCTTTTCTAACATTTACATCAGAAGCACGATCTATATATTCCAAAAGATATTTCCAAGATCCTTTTAAAATTTATCTTCGAATTTAAATTTTAAATATTCCAGGTTTTTGATTGAATTCTCGTACCATATTTTGCCTGAGGATTTATTAAAGTGGCTTAGGATATTTACCAAGCAATTAATATCAGGTCTAATAACGATAGATAAATACATGAGTGATCCGATAAGTATACCAAATAGGTCATTTCTGCTGTTTGTTATTTCTGTTTTTTCATGAATTTTTGACAAGTTGATTTAGTTAGTTCAAAACAGCTGTCAATAGGAGTAGAAAGAGGTTTGATATCCTTAATGATGAAATTCTTTCAGATGTCTTCAAAGTGAGAGTAATTCTTTGAAAGATAGTCAGTGCTTTTGTCAGTTGTTTCAATTCAATGACCAAGCAATAGTAGAGTATTCTCAGTCCTTTCATTTGAAAATGCTTTGCAAGTTTATCACAGATATAATTGAAAACAGCTTCGTTGGTGGCAAAAACTAACAAATCTTCAACATAAACAAAAATAATTTCCACAGTACCTTCATTTAATCTACATTGTCAAAATCTTATTATTGGATCATTCTCTTAGTCATCATCTTTAAGATTATTCTGTGAAAGATCATTCCTTTAGATTCGAGATTAAATCAGGTAAAAGAATAAGATATTATTGAGGAATATACATGTATATAGATAGCGTGTAAAAGTTTAAACGTACACAAACAGAGAAAATTAATTAAGTAACACGGAATAAAGTGGGAAAATAAACCTTCTATTAGTACAATTTCTCACAAAATAAAATTTATATGGAGAATCAGCACTTACAAACGTATCTTCTTCTGTAAGCATCTGGATTGTTGGAGTATCATATTAGCTTGGAACTCACCAACAGAATTTAAATATGTAATACTACGTTTTAACTAGACAAATGAAAATGAAATAATGTCTACTCTATGTTTTAATATGTTTTAAACTTTTAAAGGCTTAATTATGTCACCTACGTTTCAGCTTTCGGATCCCAAAATAAAGAACTACCCAAGGAGAGTAAGTTATTAATATTTTATATAACATTTAGATAATAGCTTTAGGGCAATATATATAGATGACTTATAAAATTAATTTCAATATTTTAATCTTTAGGTGAGATAAACTTGCTTAAAAATATTATAGTTATATTGAACCACATTTTTAAATGCTTTATATACCATATTTTGAGAACTATGGTTTATCAATTGTTTACTGCTTCTGAACGAGCATTAATGTCCTTATTATTTTATGATATTAAACAGAAGAAAAAGAAAATATTTCTACTTGTGAAATTTCTTGTAGAATATATAACATATATTCTTCATAAATTAATATATTCCTAGAGCTTTTATAAATAAATCTTCTAGTAATGTTGCCTCTCCTCGTTGTTATTCACCAACCTCTGAAGTGCTTCCGTAGTTCATTTCGGATCGTTTTGTGATCCACACTTTTTTACTTCTACATAAAATTACGGATAAATTACTGGCACTCTGAATGCAGGATTCGTAAAATAGATTTTTCCGTGAAATCCATTATTACCAGTATATTTATATTTATCGTATAGTAATATTTATCGTAATATTTATTTAATTCAAATTATTTATATTATAAATTACGGTGCATCGTATAGTCTGTTTATATATATATATANTATATAACTATATATATATATATATATATATGCAGAACTGAGTAAAGAAGAACGTAGTCATTATTTAAAGATCGAATTTAAATCCAGAAAGATTACCTTAACTTCAAATAATATCATGCTGATGTTTGCCACAACTGAAACATGGAATATTTCATTACCTACCATTTCCACAAACAAAAGAAAAATAAATAAAAAAAGAATAAAATTCAACCTTGTTTACAACATTATATTTTAGAGCTATAATATAGATAATCATTATATAAATAATTGAACTTTTAAAGCATAATTTATAAGCGTCTGTTTCTTAATCACAAGTCTTGTTTATCTTTTAGCTATTCAGTTACACCTAATGAAAATTAACAATTTAAGTAAGTGTTATTATTAAGCACAATTTAAATATTACTTTTATAACTGTCCAGAAATCATTAGCAAATTTCCTTTTGTTTTTAAGTGGAAAACGAAATTGAGAAGAAGAAGTTATTGAAAAATATTGAAAAAGGTACCTCTTAGTTCTCTACTCTAGGCTTTATTAAGTGCACAAATTAACTTAGAATTAAGAGTTATGAATTTATTACCATAGACATTTATATGGTTAGAGTAGTTATGTTTAATTAAATGCTGTGTAAAGAAAAATATATTTTTATTTATCTTAATTTAGGGGTTTTAAAATAATTGAAATGCTAAGATTTACAGAAAAATTGAGTTTTTTCGTTTTAAACTTATTAATACTATCTAAAATTTCAAAATTCCTTTAATTTATTTATTAAAATAAAATGCTTGAAGAAATTTATCTGATGAAGCAAACTAGAAATTAATTTTAAAAACATGTAAATCTCTAAATGAATTATAGGATTTATATTGCGAATTTTCTTATTGCTGAGAAATTGATAACTAAAATTAGAAGAAGTGACTCTATATTTTCGAAAAGATTTCTTAAAAATTGAGGAATAATTTAAGCTTTTTTAAAAAACAATTTTTGCAAAAGCATGCTTGAAAATTTGCATTTAATATTAATTGTGTTTCAGCTATGGAATGGCAACGAGATGGTTTGTTGAAAGAGAGTAAGTTACAAAAATTTGATAAAAACATATAGATATAGAATAACCAGGTAATTTTCCTTGTTAATCTAAGCAAACGTTCGGTAGCCTACATAAAATCATGCTTACTGATTTTTAAAATGTATCAACAATGGTGTTGGAAAACCGTGTTAGGTAGAATGTTATTAAAATCAGATTAACAGCTAAGAATTATATTTCATAGAAAGGAATTATCCTATGCAATGCTTAAAAGGAATTAAATTACTCTAAAGAGAATTTTAAGGCAATGAGAATTGAAGTTTAGAGAAATTTTTTCTCAATAACGTATTTAGTTAATTTTTCGTTTTAAAAGTGTATTTTGAACAATTGAATTTGGTTGTCTTGGTAGTAAATTAATTTGAAAAACTTTATTATTATTTTTTCAATTAAATTCCCTGTTCCTTTTACAAATCTTTTAGTTGATAACGATTTAATCATGCATTAGAAATCAATTCAAAACTTTGTTAATTTTTGACCGTTAGAAAACCATTTGAAAATTTGAGGGAAGAAATCATACTTGAGGAACTTTTAAGCATTTTTCACACATAGGTATTTAAATGTATCATAAAATATAAGACATCATTAACATCAAAATGGCTTTCTTGAAAAGATAAAAGATAGTTTAGTTAATAATAAGTTAAGGAAAATTATGTTTCACAACTTTTAATCTTTCAACGTGAGTTTTTCTATTTAATTTTCTTAAATCTTCATAGGGAATTATGTAGTAACAGGAAACTTAGATATATATTTCGAAAAACGTGGTACAGAAAAAAACATTAACTCATTCGAATAATTTCTATTTTTTGTTATTTAAGGTTAGAGTGCTTAAAAACAAGAACCACACAAAATTTTTCAAGAGTTCTTTTTTGTGGTCAATGTAATTTATTAAACTATTAAATAGTATACAGTTATTTTGCTCTCGTAACCGACATTGTTTTAATGTTAAGTTCTGACTTTAAGTAATTATAATAATAGCGCTACTTTATTTGATGTAAAACAGCTAAATTAAAAGAAAATAATTTAGTTCTCTTCATCATTGATCTTTTTTAGCCATTCAATTGCACCTAGATGAAATAAAAAATCTTAGTAAGTATGAACCATAGTAATAAGTTGCTTAATTTCAGAAATTAATATACGATTAATTTTCTACCTGAATTCCTTCTGTAATCTTATTTTTTTATTTATTTACTTATTCATTCTTTTTTTTGCTGTTCAAAGCGGAAACTAAAATTTCGAAAATGGAGTCGTTAAAAAATATTGCAGAAGGTAAGTCTTAGTTTCAGGAAATTATTTTAGAAATTTAAATAAAATATTTCTTTGATCTTTTTTATGAATAGTTTTTTTGATCATTTCAAATATTTTGGTACAAAAAATTTTAAAATTATCTTTTAACCAAATTAAAAGAAGAATAAAGACACAAGTTATGAGATATTACTGAGCATTCGTAAATAATTTGTACTCTAGTTAAAACAGTATTTTATGTTTTATATTTACTGTGATAACAATGTTTACTGTGGTTTCAGAGAAATTTTACTGGTTGCACTATTATACAAAAATTCATTTAAATTTATTGGAAAAATCTAAATTTAAATTTTTTATCAGATGATGAAAAATAAACATACTTCATACTATGTTAACTATTTTTCAGATAAGCATTTACAACAAAAATTACCAACTGAAAGTAAGTAATAAATATTTATAACTACTTTCAAGGGAATTGTTTTAAAATAACTTTATTAGTTTAACAAGTAAACAATTTTTTAAAACTTTAGAAAACAAACTAACAATTTTCGAAAACTTTAGATATTAAACTTGATAAAAAACAGAAAATAGGATTAAGAGAAATTAAAGACACGCTGTTCACCTTAAATTTACGGTAAATAACTGGCACCAGTCTGCCCATCCAATTGACCGTAAAGAACTCTTTAAACTTTTACAGTTTCGAAACCGTTGACATCTAGCATGATTAAAAAAATTATTTGGTTTTTAACCATTTACAACTAGCATGGTATATAAACCGTATTTAACTTTATATTTGAGTTATGGTTAGATTGAGTTCTATCAAATGAGTGGTGGATCGTCATTTAATTAGCTCATTTGTTTGTTTCATCCATCGTAAGAGAGGGGATATACTAGACTTTTTTGTGATAAGCAGTCTTCTTATCTACTGCATGACTAAAAGAGAGAATCGCACTTTAAACATTTAGGATCCTATACTGGAGAGTACAGGACACTGGAATCTCTTCATGTGTTGAGTGGAATGGAGGAAATATTTTGGTGTCAACGCACGGACTCGAACCCCGTTTTGTCAGTACGATGATTTACAGATTAGCCCTCTCGACTATAATATGCGCTCAGGTGCAAGGAACTAAGTGACTTCATTAGGTGGGCCTAGTTGGTAAGATAAAATTTTGGTTGTTAAAGCGTATTAGGCTGAATGATTACCGTATTAAGTAAAACGGCTTTCACACAGTGAACAGTTTGAATACCATATTGTTTATGGTTATTTGACTCTTTTGTTTTATGGTAAAATAACAATGAAATAAATTGTTATTTAACTAGTTTTTCAAACATTCTAATTACTGACAGTGAATATTCTGTTTTTGTAATGCAAATATTTTTATGCTTTGCTAAATACAGTGATTGGATTTATGAGGTTAGAAATTTCGCAAAACATTTCAAAATTTCAAAAAAATTTTAAATTTTTTTTATCAAATTTCATTTGAAAATAATAATACTTTGTTGTAATTTTAGCATTAGTTAATCAAAAATTTTGTATATAAAGATCTGTATCGTGGAAATAACTTATTAGTTAGAGATTAATGTGCAACATTTAAGTTATTTACATCGTAAAATTCATATATTGTCTCTGCAGTATTATAACTATAATTCTTTTATTTTAGCTGTGCAATTGCATCTGGAGGAAATTAAAAATCTAAGTATGTGAACTTTGAAATTATTTCTTATACAAACATAAATAGTTATTTTTGCCGTAATTGAAATTATCTAAAAAGTCTGCATTAATTTTCCTTTTCCAATTTACAGCAGAAAAAGAAGTTCAGAAAATGGAATTGTTGAAAAATATTGCAACTGGTATGTGTTTTTTTAATCAAGAAAACACAAAAAAGATAAATTAAAATCTTTTGATTATTTTTACGTATATTTTTTTTAATGTTTCTAGCTTTTTTGGATTTAAAAAATAGTTAAAAGTATGAAAAATATATTTACAAATACAAAGCACTTGTAAATATATTTAAAAGCAGCGAAGTAGTGAATTTTATTCAAAGACTTAATTTTCCATTTCTGTTTATAATGCACCTATATCATTGTAGAACATTGTAATATTTATCATATTGTAATGTAGGATATTGAAGTAAATACTTATTAAATGTTGATGGTACACAATATTACAGCTCTGATAAAGTGAGTGTAGTGAAAAAAATAAAACTAAATTGAATAAATATTTTAATGGAAAAAGTATTTTTTATTCTCAGGAAATATGATAAGTGTTAATTTTTTTAATTAACAGTTATTTTTATAAAGGAATTTTTTCTATATCAACGTTGTCCAAGAAATGCATTTAAAAAGCAAGAAAATTCTGAAATGTAAGAAATTATGACAACGACAAAAATGATAATTCAAGATTTGCTTTCTGAAAATGAATTTTTTTCATCTTAAAATATAATTCATTCAAATAAATAAAGGTTTAAGTACTCAGAGTTACTGAAAAAACATTTTAGCTTTCTTTTTATGTGTTTATTTAAGTTTTTGGTTTATTTTCGGCAAAATCGATTTAATTTTGCCTTGCCAGTCAGTTAATCTTAATGTTGATGCTGTGGAACCATTTTTCAGCAAATTTTTTTTGCGATAAATGAAAATTTATGAAAATATGTTTTCAAAATATTTCGTTTGTAGAAATAAATGTATTATTTCTCTTTTTTATCTGGAGACAATACATATTATTTCTGGTGAATTGTATTTTATGGACAAACTTCATTTTAAATTCAATCAAAACTAATATTTTAGGATCAAAACAATTCAATTATTATAATAAAGTTATTTCAAATATTTTGAAAATCGAAGTTCAGTCAAGACAAATAAATATATAATGTGCTGTATCGCATTGTTTTTTTAAATAAATCATTTAAAAAAATCACTTTAATCACTAAATCACTTTAATCACTAAATCACTTTAATCACTAAATCACTAAATCACTTTAATCACTAAATCACTTCAAAAAGTAAATCATTTAAAATAATTCAGTTTTAAATATTATCTTGCGTATTTCAGCAATGGAATTACAACGGAAAGAATTACCAATGGAGAGTAAGTTATATTTGTTTAAATATTGTTTATATAAAACAAATGTTTTGATAATAGTTATAAGCAATATCAAAAATACCAGTATCGGCAATAGTAATTATTTTTTAAAAGAACAAAAAAAATTACTTAGAAGTTAGTTCAATGCCCTTTTTATTTCTCTCACCCTTAAACAAATTAAAAATAAAAATCCCTTTATGACAAAAATCGCTACAAACTTTTGACCTCTTGGTAGAATTAGAATTAAAACAAGTATCAAACTTATTTTCTCCTCTACTAAAACATTCGTTAAGCGTACCAAAGTACTAAAATATGTATCTTAAGGCATTTGTATAACGAATTTTAAAAAATTTTCATTTAGGTATTCTTCTAAAATCTTTCTTAAAAATCTTTTAAAAAAACGTCTACAACAAAATTTAAATTTTTGGTAAACGTCTAAGCAAAATATGTTTCTATTAAAGTTTACAAAGCGTCAAATTGAATTTACTGAGATAAATTTAGTTAAAGTAAGGATAAAGTACAGATTAAGTTAAGATAAATGTTACGATTAAATCATTACTATATTTTTTTTAATATAATATTATCATAAATGGAGGATAATAATCTACGCATTTTTGCAGTTACCTAACATATAACTAGTTATGTCCTAAGAGTTTTATGATGCTGAACAGAAAGAAAATTATAAATTTTCCCGAGTGCAATTTTTTATTTAATATATCATGTGCAAATCTCAAATAATTTAATGCAACAAAATACAACGTAATTAAACTTTCGAAATTAGTGTATCATATTTTTTTATCTAAATTGCAAGTAATGTGTTTCCCTTTTAGCTATTCAGTTACACTTAATGAAAATGGAAAATAATAGTAAGTGCAATTTAGTATTAAATTAAACGTATCACTTACACACCAAAATAGAATTTTATGTTACAAGTTATACTATTTCGGAATTATTCATATTTTTATTTATTTTTAATTCAAGCTGAAAATGAAATTGTGAAAATGGAATTGTTGAAAAACATTGATAAAGGTAAATCTAGATTTTTTTTCTAGTTATGCTGATTTGAATATCGAAAAGTTCAGAACAATATATTACAATGTTTTCAAGAATATTTGGAATAAACAAACAGGACTTATTTTTCAAAAACTTATGATGCAAAAGATGTGCTTTCAAAAAATCTTTACTAGTTGTATATTCTTCATATTAATTGTCTAAAAAGGTTTAACATTGTAGCAAAAACTATTTCTCCGGTGAAAATGGACCCAAGTATAACATTTTATGCCTCTAAATGAAATTAATTTCTCAATAAAGAGAAGAATTTATGAATATTTTCATTTCCTAGCTTAATTCTTATGCTGATATTAGTTTTCCTTGAAATTACTCAAGTTATTTTTACCTGTCGAATCAATGGTGACAAAAAAAAATATTGACTATATAAAAATTAATTATAATTATAAAGAATTATTAATTTTATGTTTTTTTAAAATATTTTAGCTTTGAAACTACAAAAAGATGATTTACCAAAAGAGAGTAAGTAATAGACAAAACAATTTTTCATATAATAGTTTTAAGCTAAGCTAATTGAATTCCACAAAAACTTTATTTACGCGTTTTGATTAATATGAAAATGTGCGACTTGTATTAAGTTTGAATTGAAACTACACTCAATTAGCACTGCTTAATTTACATTCTGATTTAAGCTTCTAAATTGATACTTAAATTAGAAGTAATTCATATCACTTCCAAATCCAGTATTAGTTTTACCGGACTATCGGTAAATTATTTCAACGTTAGGTCAGTCAAATGATTGTTTAAATTTGAGGTTGGTATGTACATTATTTACGTCGAACTAGAGAGGGAAAATAGGCTAATAGCAATACATCCTTGAGGATTATCCGAAGACAAGCCATTACAATTTTTTAAGGCTACTTCCTAAATATTTACTTAGATCTGAAAGGGATGGAAATTTTCTTCAGGTCACTGTAGACATGGAATTGCTCAGTGACTGACCACAGGATTTTCGATCTCACAGATTTTACGCTCACATATATCGTACGTACTCGGAGGGTCTTAATGGAGTCGAAGGTCGATCCCCGTATCCTACCGACTGGAATTTTCTGGTTCGTCCACTGGGCTTCCACGTTCCGTTTAAATTTTAGAGGAACAAATATAGAGAAAAGTAAAAGATTAAAAATTTACATATTTCCCTTGAAATTGAATAAACGAGGTGTTGGAGCATTGGTGAATGCCAACTAACTAATTTGAAATGTAAATGATAATACGAATATTCTAAAATAATTATAAAAGATAACTCATATAACTTAATTCGTCTATTTCTCATATAGTTATTCAAGTGCACCTAAATGGAATGGAGAATCTAAGTAAGTATTCTTTGGTAATCAATTAAGCATGTATCCTACTCCATCACCACTGAAAAATCACCAAGAAAAAAAAAACGAAAAAATAAAATCTGAAAGTCCAAAATTAATGTTTAATTTTCTAATTATAGTGGAAAATGAAATTGATCAAATGAAATTGTTGAAAAAAATTGAAAAAGGTAAGTTTGAATTTTTTTGGTAATACATTTGATAACTCTCTTCTATGAATTGTATCTTAATTATTTTTGATGCTACAATTTGCAATTTTTTTAGGAATTCTTTGAATAAAAAGATTAGTGTTAATTATCGAAAAAGTTTTCAAAAACATTTGATGATAAAAGCTGTATTTTTACAAGATCTTTGCCTGTTGTGTCTTTTTAACAATAAATCTAACGATTCAACACAAAATATTCCTTCGTTTTTAAAAAAACGATGTGTTATATAAATTGCTCGCTTTTGTGAGATTAGAAGAAAAAAACTGTATAAAAGTAGTCTACGTAAAACGCAATAAGTTTTAGAGTAATATTAATCTCTTGATAAGAACAATAATTCATGAAGAGCACTATAATGTTTTAGGGTCAAGGAATTTGTTATAAACAAATATTTAATTTAGAAACGTAAACGTATGTTCGAATGTCCACAAGACCTCAAATGAGTAATTTCTCAAGAGTTAATTACATAATTTTTTCTATAATTAAAAATATATTTAAGCCTGGCAGAACAAGGGAAATGAAACAATGTTGAGTTGCACTACATAACAATTTTAGATGAAAAATGTTTAGTGACTTTTTCCAATTTATATTTCAGCTTTGCAGCTTCAAAGAGAGGATTTACCTCAAGAGAGTAAGTATTAAACTTTTAAATAATCGTAAGTAATAGTAAGTAAGTAATAGCAATTTAAGTAACAGAAACTTATAACTAATTTTTAAATAATAGATTATGTTAACTAAGTTAAATGTCATAAAAACTTTATCTACAATTGTTGATTCATATGGAATCCTGTTGTTTTTTCTATTTCTAAACTGAATCTACCCTCAATTACAACTGCTAATTTATGTTTCACTTCAAAATTTTAGGTAATATTTTATAAAATAATAATAATTTATCTCGTCATGAAACCCGATATAAGTTTTATCACTAAATAAATATAATTACAAAATTAACAAATAAAATTTATATTTTTTTAAGAAAATTTGTGGTTATGATTATATAAATATTATATAATATGATAAAATATTTTCTGTTTTGAATAAAAATACCTAAACAGGAAAACTCCATTTCATACAGATAAATAAAGAAAGGTCTAAAGGATCAGCCCAGAAATAATTTTAAAAAAAAGGGGAAAAAACATGCACAAACTTTTTTTCTAACTTTTCTGATTTTTTTGTGTTAAATTATATTACTTGTATTTAGCGTTTACTTATTCTTATCCTTGAAAACTGCTTAAAAATTTAAAAATGTCGATTTATTGGAAAACAAATTTTCCTGTGATAGTTTAAAGTTTTTCCGATTACCCATTTCAAATTATGATGAGCTTAAAAACAATAATCAATACATCCTTATTAAAAATATTACTACTTGTTACGTTAAATGCTTTTTATCTATAAAATATCAATTTGATTGTTTACAACAAACTATAAAAAAGTCATTAAATTCATTTCTTTTTACTCTTGTAGCTATACAATTGAACCTAAATAAAATGAATAATCTACGTAGGTATACTTTTGTAATGTGCATCTTTCTCACCTAAATTGTAAAAAAACCAAATATATTTCTTTTAAATATTCTAAACAATGTTTTATTTTTCGTATGTCAAGTTGAAAAGGAAATTAAGAAAATGAAACTACTGAAAAGTATCACGAAAGGTAAGTATTTGTTTACAAAACCAAAATTATTGACCTTTCTCAAATCATGATTATATGACTGCGTGAAATATGTTTAAGATTTTTGTAAAGGTATGAACTTGAACAAAATTACAAGTGTTTACAAGTGTTTGAGAAATAAAAAATCCTATAAAAAACAGCTAAAAATTACAATTTCAAAGGGAAGTTGCGTAATAAAGTAATAAAGCAGAAACTCCACAAGAAAATTTAAACCAACATCAAATTTTAAAAAAACAAGGAAAATTATGAAAAGGAAATGAAATATATAATAATGACAACTAACGCTGACATCATCAGGGGGTACCAGTCTCGGAAGTCATAAAAATACAATACCATTTCTATATAGAGAGCACGATAAAATGTCTAAAATTTGCTCTCTCTCTCTCTCTCTCTGTAATCCAAAGGTTTCGCAAGAAGTCCAGGACGAGAGAAAAAGGGAATACAAAGTACAGAAAAAAAGAATACAAAAGTAAAATACGTGAACTAATAACAAACGGAAAATTAAAAAGCCTACTTAAAAACATATTCCTTTGCCAAAACAAAAGCACACTACATTCTGAAAACTCTTAAACAAAATGAAATTCACAAGTAAACTACACTCCTACATAATGTGCATAAAGAAGAAAAAAAGAAAATTAAGTTGAAGCATCTGTTTGTAAAATATTTTTTAATGCACCAAAGTTTAAAAAATATTTATGCCCGTGAATCACTTTGAAAGTAATGATACTGTTTTCTTTATATTTCTTTATTTAAATATTAGAAATTTTCACTTTTTTTTAAGTGAACTTAACTTACTCCAACGTATAAGTAAATTTTCTTTGCACTTTAAGGTATCCGACTTGTATCGATAACTTTTTTTAAATAATAATATAAAACTAATAATTTTTATAAAGAATTTTTAAATAATAATTTAAATAATAAATAAACTAATCTACTTGTTTTACGTGTAAAACCTTATAAAGCTAGCAAAAAAAAATTATCTTCAGTATTATATTCTTTTTATATGGCCATTTTTAGGTAAAAATAAGGCTTTTTGATTTGCATATACGCTAAACACTGTAAAAATATTTTTTTCGCCTAAAGCATAAAATCCTTTGAAGATTTTATTTCGAAGGCTAACAACTATGTTTTGAAATATTGGCTTAAAAGCAAGTACATATACTACTGAGTTAGGGATCAATGTAGTTAAAAAAGACATATTTTAAAAAATTTCCTTGCTTGTCTTTACGAAAAAAACATGCATGAAATTCTAATTTTGTTTCTCTTGGTATTTAGTTCAAAACATGAGTGCTATAAAAATAAATGCTCATAAAAAATTGTAGATATTTATTTAGGCAGTGAAAAATATGAAAATATCTGATTTTGAGATAAACGGATTTAAAGACCTAAAACCATTTGTTTATCCACAGTTATCACCTTGCACAAAAACTATTAGAACTTAGTAAATAATTGGAGTTCTAATAAAAGTAAAGTATTTTTAGAAAGTTTAGAGTACAAGAATTTTAAATTTATAGCAAACTCAATTTCGAAAATTTTGCACAAAATCATGTTTTAGCACTAGTTAGTTTATTTCTTAATTAAACGAAAAAAATAATTATATCAAGTCGTACTAAATGACCGTTAAAAATTGCCATACAAAAAGTTATTTTCACTAATCTGCATGCAATAATAAATTTTAATAAATTGCTGATTTAGTGTTTTTTATACAGCTTTACAATTACAACGAGAGGAATTACCTAGTGAGAGTAAGTTTTAAATACTTGAAACAAGTCTTATTTTTGGCTGAAATGACAATTTATTAATAACTTTAACTGCAATAAATGATTCATATGGAAAGGAATTATTTATTGCAATTAAACATATTACACTTGCTATTATTTTTCTGGTTAATTTTAATCAATAAATATTTATATTAAAAACTTGATGTTCTTTTCAGTCTATAGCAATTAATAATATTAATATGGTTTTATGTTTTGTGTAGCAAAATTAAAATGTTTTTTTTAATAATTAAAAAAATGACCAATCTGTGATAAACTTTTAAAGTAATTAATTTACCTTTTAGAAGTTAATTTACATTTAAGTCACATTTCTGATTTAGTTCACTTTTTTATGTGATAAACCGAATTTTCCTTACTATTAGAATTGTAACAACAATTTCCCAAGAATTATTACATTACCATTGGATTTGAGAAAAAAACGGTTAATATGTTTTAACTTTTTAAACTTTTTTTGTTCTATTAAATATTAAACTAAGCAAATTTTTATAAAAAATTCCGTAGTTTATCGAAACATTAGGCCTTTGTAGTTTTATCAATACATGTTTTCGATTGTAATAAAATTTTATTAAATATTATGTTAAAGTAAATCGTTTGATATCATGTAATTTTCAGAGAGTTTTATTTCGATAAATATTATTTTTTCAGTTAAATTTAGCTCATAAGCTTATGCCAATTATAAAGCATTTAAACAATTTACATCAATTACATAAAATAGCTTAGCTCGTATAACTTTTTTCTTAAGCATATTATTTGTCGATAATTATTGTGAAGAAATAATATTTCGAAGCTTTATCAGTTTACACTATAATTTTCGTTTTGCTCCTAAATTAAAAGCAATATATTTTTTTCAGTCATTCAGTTGAACCTAAACGGAATAAAAAATCAAAGTGAGTATATCTTGGTATTCATTTTAATACGTTATACTCTAACACAAACAGTGTATTTTTGCAAAATTGAATTCTTTGATTTTTTAAAAATTTTAAGCGGAAAGTGAAATTGAAAAAATGGAACTGTTGAGGAATATTGCAATAGGTAAGTTCACGATTTCAGAAAATTTTCCATAAAATTTGAGAAATAAATTTAACTATCTTAATAATGAAAAAGCAAGCATAAACATCTGTAACTATTATTGTTTATATTTCAGCAATGGAATTGCAACGAGATGATTTACCGAAAGAGAGTAAGTTATAAATATTACATAAAACATTTAGATGCTGAATAAGAATGTAAGCTATTTAGTAAACAGTTGCCCTGATGTAAAACGTGTTAATTTTATATAAACTGCATACGAAGAATATAGAGACGCTGTTTAAATAGCCTACTAAAAATTATACCTTAAAGAAGCGAATATTTTTATGAAGCCAATGAAATTCATTTGAAGCTGATTAAAAATTAATTCTCTGAAAGTGGAGTTAGTAGATTTTTAACTGTTGTCTTAATTGTTCATGCATTTAAAAACTTGTTATTTTAAAACTTCGTATTTGTTTGTATTATTTTACTTTTATTGTTATATTTTTTATTGATTTCACTATCATTATTTCGCCAAATTCTTTATTTATATTGATTTAATCACGGATTACAAGTCAACGAGAAGCATTGCTCTTATTGTAAATTTTTTTAAAAAATTTAAAATTAAAATTTAGTATCTTTGGATTACTTTAATCCTCCAAGGTTTTGACGTTTCGTTAGAAGAACCATTCAAATATAATAACTTCAAGGGACAAAAAAATATATATACATAATAATATTTAAAAATAAAGTAGTTTTCCCAAAAGATTATTTTCTAAAAGTAGACTAAACTATTCTTTTTCTTCCTAAAATATTATTATTTTTTGAACATTTATACAGCATTAAGAAAAAAAGTATAGTCAAAACTACCTCAATATGCCACCACGGTTGTTTTTTTTTTCTTAATCGAAATTTTTTAAAAAAAAAAGAAATTTCATGTAAGAAAATTTTCTTAATATAGTTATTTGTTAGCCGTAACAAAATAAATGAATGCTTTTGCACATGAAAAAAAACTCTATTTGAAAAAGGAAAATATAAATATTTAAACATAGGTATAAGAATTAATAAATAAAAATTTATATTACTACCTAACAATCTTAAGCATTTGTGTGTTTCTGATGAAATTCTTTGTAATCTCTACCATTGTTATCATTCAAAACGTTTGTTGTTATTTTAGCGAGGTTTTTAACTTCATTAATGCGAATTATTTAGTGTGGTAGAACGTTATATAAGTATATGTTTCTTCTTATCAAGAAAGAATTTTTACCTGCCGAAATGACCTGTTAACGAAATGACCTTTTTAATGAAGTAATCTATTGACGAAAGGGGTCTCAATATCCCTCTAATTCAGGGGTCTTTTTTTTCCTTGCTAATTTCCACCTTCATTCACCTATTTTATCAAGAATCATCCACATTAGCAAATGCAATTGCTTTTGCAATGCTAATCTGCAATATAGTACATTAAAAATTAATCTTGGAAATATATGAATAAAGTAAAACTAAAAATGTGTAAAATACAACTAGAAACCAAATGTAAAAAAAGCTTCGCAACGCATTGTAATCCAAAAGGAGTAGTCAATTTTCAAAAAAACAAATTCTCATTTTTTGACAACTACAACATATTATAATTTTAATTCAAGGTAGGTTTAAAAAATGTCAACACAAATACACTAATTCACAAAGAAGTGCAAATGACATAGCATAAAACGAATTATAAAATTAAATTCGAAATTACGTATGACTTTTACTACGAAATGACCTTGTCTTCAAAATAACCCTGTCAACGAAATTATCCTGCTGTCGAAATGACCCTGTCGATGAAACGACACTGTCAACGAAAAGACCCTGTTGATGAAATGGCCTGTGAACGAAATAACCCTGGCCACGAAATGACCTGTGAAGGAAATGACCAACTCGATGAAATGATTTGTCGATGAAACGGCATATCCATGAAGTGATTGTCGCTAAATGTGCAGTAATTGGAACTATAATTTTGAAAACCAGAATTTCCGGTAAGCCGTTTCAATATGAACAGAAACATTTCCAAGTAACAATTTTCCAAAGCAATTTTCTCTGTGAGAAAACCAAAGAATAACGTTAGCCGCCAATGTAAATTTCTAACCCCTTACACTGAAAAGTAATTTATTCGAAGCTTTCATTTACTTATGATTTTTTGTTCATGTGCTCTAAAACTAGAACGAATCGAAGTTTTACAAGCCTATTTCCATGAACACCGTGATTTATTTTTTATTATGTGAGACGAATTATTATTAGTGACGAATCTTTTATTAAATGTTAGGAATTGCAATAATATTATTATTATTATACTATGCATATCAGAGAGGAAAAGAGAAACACTGCGAAATCCAATAAATTAATAAATTTAAGTAATATGAATGGTCTTAATATTAGTTTAATTTTATATTCTTAAATAAAATACTCATTTAATTTATTTTAGTATTAATCTTTTTTAGCTATTCAGTTGCATTTAGATGATGTAAGAAATCTTAGTAAGTATGTTTTAGAATTCAACTAAAAAAAATTAATCTCATGTAGCTTCCTCAATTAATTTATGATTTTTTATTACAATTACATCTTATCATGTAAATATTTTTTTTCTAACTTAAAGCGGAAAATGAAATTCGAAAAATGGATTTGCTAAGCAATATCGCAGCCGGTAAGTCATGCTTCATGAAATCATCTTAAACTTTAAATATTTCCTCTAAAATTATGATAAAAATAAATTTATAAAAGCATTTTTTAAAAGGAAAGGATAACGATAGAAATCTACCGAACACACACGAATTGCAGAGAACTTTCTTCATTTTTTATTTTTTTTACTTTAAAAATGGACTTAAAATTGCTTTCATACATTGTTTATTTTATGGTTTAAAATGTATTAATTACTGATTTAGATCTGTATACCCTTTTAACTTAAAGAAATTTAAAACAGTTAAAGTTCATTTCATTTTGGCAAAAAGCTTTTAAAATAACCAATAATAGCAAATAAGTGCACGATTTGCTTTTGACAAAGTTTTTAATTTGATTTATTTTTCATCAAAAGCACTATGGAGATGATTAGCATAATTTTATTTTATTATTAACACATGTCGTAATATACATTTTAAAAACCAATTCATCCATCAATTCCTAAGAACTTGAAAGAGACAAAAGCTAAATCCACAATATTAGATTATTATACTTACATATTATCCTGAATTTTGACAGTATGATTTTAAATCTCAAAATACTTGAAATTCTATTTATTTAAAAATGCGAATCAGCGGGTTGCTGGAAGCAGCAGGTGCTGCAATAAATCTAAAACTAGAATTCTAAATTGCTTATTGAATTTGAGTGAGTAAAAGCTCAATTTCGTTGAAAATGTAATTTAATTAGCCATTTCTGCCTTGCTCAATAAAAAAGGATAATATTTCATTATGTTTTTTCAGCCATGCAGTTACAGCAGGAAGAATTACCAAAAGAAAGTTAGTACTAAATATGTAAAATACTTTTTCAGACAATTATTGTAAGTTAATAGTGTTTGGTAGCGTAATAACTTTTATTTAAGTTGAAGTTTTTCTTTAAAATTTCATTCAGTTTTTATTTTTTTATCGTTATTTTTTAATTTGTTGTCACTTCCTACTACTCTTCTTATTTCTTTTAAGTGGTAAATAATAATGGAAATGCTAATAATAGTGGTAGTATTTTTATAATATATTGTAGATCATTAATGTTAAATTGAATAAATTTAAAAAGATATATTTATGGAGAAGTTTTAAATCCTTGTAGAAAAAGGTTCACAGAAAGTGTAAATTTTTGGCAAATTTGTATGCCTTACAGTTTTGTAACGTAAGTATCTGTTACGTATCTGTGAATATAACCTGATTAATATAATCTGATAAAATATAAAATACTAAGATAACTTTAAAAGAAATAAATAGGACTTTTAGAGATCTGTTAAACTTTTGGAGTTCTAATTTTAGCCAACGTTTTAAAAAATAAGTATTTTATATAATATTATGGAACTTTCGTATTTTATAATTACGAAATTAACTATAGATAATATAAAAACATTAAATTATTCATTTCATGAAACTCAAGTATTTTTCTTAGTTAAAATAAGTATAATTCTTTTTTTAGCTATTCAGTTGCACTTAAGTGATATTGAAAATCTAAGTAAGTGTAAATGTTACTTCATTTACTTATTTTTTGCTCAAACATAAATATTTATTTTTAAAAAAATTAAAATTACTTTTAAGTTCTACATTTTTTTTCATTTTTTTAAATTTAAAGTGGAAAAAGAAATTCGAAAAAAGGAATTGTTGAAAAATATTGCAATAGGTAAGTATTCGTTTTCAATTCATTTAAAATATTTATAACTATTTCAGTGCATTATCATTTGAAATGTTTCGAACATGTTATAGATACAAAAATGTAAACAGAAAAATTTAAAAATGTAAATAATCTTAAATATATGATAAAAACTGTTAAAATAATTTATACACTCTACTTTCATTTCCAGTTAATAAAATGATTAAAGCGTTAAAGAATGTAATAAAATTCATCTTTGCATTTAAGTTAAACAAAAGTATTATATAGATATTACTTCGAATGGAATAAATTTTAGACTAAGGTATATATAAGTAAGATGAATACGAATTACATTATTATAACATACATTTGTAGGTTAAAATTTTCCCTACAGCAGAATCAAAATTAAGGAAAAATTTATTGGTTATACATTATTTTTTCTAATTTTAGTAATTGCTGTTCAAAATTTTCCTCACATTATGCGATAAGAAATTTCAACTTAGTTATTTCTATTTCACTAAGCTAAGTTTTTCCTCTAAAAATGTCTTATTACATTTTGTGATAAGAAATTTTTAGATTTATTGCTAAGATTTTTTTTCCTTTCCTTTTCTTTGTGTTTTAGTGATTGCTGTTCTAACTAACTTCGCATCGCATTTTGTGAACAGCAATTTTAACTTTGTTGTTTCTATTTCGACGAAGCTATATTTCTTGATAACTGACATTACTTTTTGTTTTAAATATTATATCCTCCCTCTTATTGTCATTGCTCTATATTTATATCAATTTATAGACAAAAAAATAATTATTTTTATTTGCATTACAGCGATGAAATTGCAACAAAAAGAGTTACCAAAGGAAAGTAAGTCATAAAAGCTAAGTTTTAAAATGAAAACTTCAACTACAATATTCTATGTTACCAAACAATAGACTTAGCAATAGATTTATAAAAGCGTTTGAGATTTCCTAAAAAAATATTGTAATTTTCAACTGTAATTAAATTAGTTCGTACATTTTATTGAATCATAGGTATCAATTTATTAAAGAACTTACAGTTCTTTTTAAATAAATCTTAATTCGTTAAGTATTTAACCAAAAGATCGTTACAGCGTTTATTTTTTAAAATATTTTTATTTAAGCAATTTTTACTGTATCAACTAATTTAATGGAAAGAAAATTTAAATTATTGGATTTAACCAACAATACTGATGTTTATTTTCAAACAACCATATTTTCTTTTAGCAATTCAGTTGCATCTAAACAAAATTCTAAATATGAGTAAGTGCATTTTCATATTTAGTTAAAAAGAATAAACAAAAGTAGTAGTTTTTATGGTTATTGTAAATTACTTTTTTTTTCATTTAAAGTGAAAAATGAAACTCAAAAGATGGAATTGTTGAAAAACATCTCATTAGGTAAGTTTTTACTCTAGATAGCATTATATATTAAAAGTTCACCTGCAATATTTTATCAGTAATATGATTAGAAAAATGTGTTCCGTATCTTTCAAATAAAAATATGTCTAAGATTCTCTAAGTTTTAGAACCATAATAAAAAAAACTTATTTGTGAAAAAAGCAAACTAATTGTTTTTTCTATTTTCAAAGTGATTTTGATTCTAAAAAATGTAACAGCTTCAGAAATATTTCTCACTATTTCTTTCATAATAAATAAAAACTATTTCGCACCAGATGATTTTTAAAAAGGTTAAAACTTTATAAGTAGTTTGTTCTGTACCCATTTTAATTGTAGAAATAATATAATTTTATAATTCTTATAACTAAATAAGGTTCACTTTCTTCTAAGTGTACTGTATTTGTTGCTTTTAAATTCCTTTTTAATGCATCAAAAATAATATTATGATATTTTTAATTGTGTATCCAAAAACTCTAAACATGTTAATTTCTAAATTTAAATAAAAGTAGACTAATTAAGTATAAGAGTATCTGCATATTTTATAAATAAATGAAAAATTTCGAAATAAATAATAAATGTTGTGTATGTTTTAGCTATGAAATTACAGCGAGATGAATTACCAAAGAAGAGTAAGTTATTAAAATTTGTAAGAAACTTTTGAATAATAGTTTTAAAGAGATATAGTTTAATTACTTAAAAATTTTAACATCAATTCCAGATTCTTTCAACAATGATTGTTGGAATTAATTATTTAATTCAATATAATTTTTACTCCTCTACTTACGTTCTAATTCAATAACATATTAATAAATAACGTGCCATTCTACCAGATATAAAATATGATGATTTGTACAGAACAATTATTGCTTAAACAAAGAATTTGTACAGAACACTTATCACATCAGAAATTTTGGGACAAGAAAATCACCCAAAATTTTTGGGAAATAAAATTAATTTCTAACTGATGTAAAATAAAATTTCTTTGTTACAGTTCTTTTCCTTTATATTTTATAAAAAACTAAAAAAATCGGAAAAGAACTAAAACTTTATCTTCAAGCCTCTTAGCATTTTCGACTTAAATATTTTGCTCTCAGGTATAGAAATAGTGTACTCTACGACTTCTAATTACACTAGCTGACTTAATTTCTAAATACACTTAATTTCTAAACTAGCTGAATATTCATTCTCCTTTTGGGGTAAAATATAATCAATGAATCGGGTTTCTGGGTCGTGAATCATTTATGTTTATAAAAACATGCTTCAAACGAGTAACAATAGGTACAATTTTATAAAAGTATAAAGTACTGGCACTCAGATGGCGGTACTTTTTACCACGAAATCCATTTTTAGCGGGTCATGTTACGGAACAAAAAATCTTGTAAACCATACTTTTTACAATAATTACTGTTAAATCACTGAATTATATTAGTTAAATAAATATTCTTGTAAAAATTACAGTATAATATTTTACAGTAAAAATTGATTTTGCGGTAAAATAAATTGTACACATAATGTACCAAAAGTACCGGTACTTTCTATCGTAATTTGCCGGGAGATATTTTCTTTAATGTAGAACAAGCTCGTGATGTCAGATAATTTCCAAAATACAAATTTGGTGAGACTCGTCTAATTTGCAATTCTTATTGATTTTTCTTGCGTATATTAAAGAAATTGCTTCAAAATCCCATTAAAATTCTTTTCGATTGTATAGGACTATAAGTTTGCAAACATCACTAATATTATTTAGAAATTAGATTAGTCAAATCATTCATGTTTTATTCCAAAATATTTTCAAACCTAAACTATTGTAAAATGAATTCATTTAATAAATAATGCTTAGAAATTAGTTATTTATTTTAGCAATCGCTTAGTGAAAAATTTGCTGACACATATTTTTAACAATAACACTTGTATAGACAAATCTATTTAAGAAACTAAATTTATTCAACTTGATACAAATCACTACTCTTAGCTAAAACTGTATTTCAATTTTAGGTATTCACTTACATCTGAAAAAAATGAAAAAAATAGGTAAGAGAATTTTGTCATTAAAAAAAATATACCTCTCTTAAACCTAAACATTATTTATATAACAATTGAAGTTATTTTGAAAAGTTAAAGTATTTTTATCTATTTAATTTATAGCTGAAAATGAAATTCAACAAATGGAATTGTTGAAAAATATCACCATAGGTAAGTTTTTAGCTTTTAAAAATAAAAATATATCGTTCAATATAAACTTTTTTTAATAGTGTCTTAAAAGTCTTGTGACATATGTCAGAGAAAAATGTGTATGTATTATTGAAAACAATACTAAATTTCTTTACAAAATTTTAAAAAATTCATAATACTAATACATTTAATTCCAACTCCAGATTTTTATCTTCTTCATGAATATTAACTTAATCGTTAAAGAATATAATAGAAAATGTAGTTGAATTTACACGGTGAAAACATTTCTGATAAAATTATCGTATAGTATAATGATGTTGCTGGTAAAAAAATATAAAAACATAATTCTAGTAATAAAAACGAATATATACGATGTATTAATCATTCATTTGGTAGTTTTTCCTCTGAAATGGTAATGATTTATCCGAAATACTGGTTTTCAAAATTATTGGTCTTATTACCTCATATTTAGAAAAAACTACAAACCTGAAAATTAAATTCACCTGAAAAATGACTTTACTATACTCTAAAGTATTCTGATAAAATCACCAAATTTTGCAACATTTAAAAAGTTTTATGTCATGTTATAAAACCATATTTTATTGTTAATTTTACTAAAGGCATTACAAAAGCATTACGGTTAATATTACTAAGCTTTTCAGTGTTCCCACAGAGTCAAAAATGCTGTAAATTTTACCACATTCTGGTAGTTTTGGCCATACTTTTTTCAATGTAAGTAAAACCATAATTTCATTTTGTTTCTTATAAAATTTCTCGAAAATTTTCCTGTGGTCTAATGAGTTGTTTAATCGGATTCTCGTCAAATACGTGGAGCATCCTCTTGCAAATAATTTTATAGCTTAGATGATAATAATTTCGGAAAAATATTATCTATGCTTGTCAATTTACTCATACATAAATTTTATTGTATTGAAAACAGCAAAATATTAATTTTCATGCTTTTATTTAATGATTTTAAGTTCTGTTTCATTCATTGGAAACAAATTCAAAAATGAAAAAAAATTACTAAATATGTTCTAGAATTCATTAAAATTTTTGTTCTAGAATTCATTAAGTAATAACTAAATAAAACTAGTATAAATTTCTATATATTTTTTTAATTTTTATTTATATTATAGCCATGCAATTACAACGAGAAGAATTACCAAACGAGAGTAAGTATTACATCTTCAAAAATTAAACAAAAAGCTAAAATTCAAATTAACATAGCATGGATTTCACTGCAAATTTTTGCTTTATATAAAAATTTTGACTTCTAATATAATTCTCTTTCCATTATTTTTCCTTTTTTTTTTATATACTCTATAGAAAAATCATAAATAATAATACCGTTAATCGTAATTTAATGAATTAGTAGAATTTCTTTTCTAAAGCATTTCACGGATTAATATATGTTCACTGTGGCAAAAGAAGCGAACTATTCTGTATAACATTTGTTCATCTCTATGCTATAAAACTTAATCTTAATGGTTCAAGAGGATGATCTCAAATATGCTAATTAAGTTACGCAGACGATATTTTAAGTTATGAAAGAAGACACTAAAGCGTATTTTCTGTAAATAAACATACCTTTTTATTCTACGGATTTTGAATATTATGACTCCCAAAATATAGGGGGTAGCAGCAATCTGGGAAATATAATCTCTATTGTTTGACCAGGAGAGCGATCCTATGTCTGATCTAAATTTCGAGCAAAATTAAACTTGTCATTAATGGCTTAACATACAATAATATGAATTGGTAATGAAGTCTAAAAACAATAATTAATTTCTATAAAAATGGTTCATACATTTTAAAATTTTTGAAGTGTTAAAAATGTATTTTGATATCGATTGTCTATCAATTTATGTCATGTCTTACCTATAGTCATTTTATACCTATACAGCATAGCAATAGTAGTTATGCACATCTATCATTATAGACTCCAAGCCAAAATACCTTATTTATTCATTCTAAGAATTTAAATAATATTAAAATACTTACAAAGATATAAATATGGCAAAAATCCCTATTATTTTTATATTGAACATAATATAACTTGAAATAATAACAATTCATTTACAATACAAATGTAAAGATTGAAGACACACGTATTGATAACCTATTGTTATCTGATTAATAAAACCACAATAATAGTATTCCTACCCATGAAGTATGCAAAATTATACTAAGTCAAATAACATCTATCATGTTATTACAACTGTGAGGTAGATTGTTCTCAAAGACTTTGGTGGTGGCTTAATACAAATTTTCAAGTTTTATTACTATATTTATTTTTTCCCTTTTCACATGTTAAGTCTGTTATTAAATGAAGAGTGTGCAGATTCCTAAAGAAATTAAAAAGTTCTAATAAAAATGGCATTTTTTTAAAAAAAATTCCTTTTTAATTCAATTAGTAAATTTGCACAATATGAGTGTGATTAACGCAGCATATTTTTACTTAAAATTTATTGACAAAACTTTTTAAACTGAATATTAGCCAGGACAGAAAAAACTTTAATTTGCAACCTCTCTTTTTCTCTAAAGAATGCTGACATCACTCACATATCAAAAGACTTTTAGAAATTTTGCCACTCGGGTTTGCGATGGCAAGCCTTGGAGTGTTCTTTTAACAAACTCAGCTTTTATTCCTGACCTCCCGAGATCAGTTGCGGTTGCAGCTTTTAAACTATTAACGGGACGTGACCGTCTACAGAATCATCTATTTCGCATTGAACTAGCAGATTCACCTTTGTGTGTTACATGTGATAGTGGACGGCCAAAGGCGGCAAAACATTTGGATGAGCGTGAAGCACTGACAGATTTTTCTTGTACATTTTTCAACGCTATTGGTAAGCAAGAAGTTTAATGGCCTAACGACTAATGTAACTGGCATTTGACAAATAAAAAAAAATTTCTCTGAAGAATGTTTGCATCTAATAGAAATCATATTTCAATTTACAATACTATCCTTTAAAAAATATTAAAATTCATTTCGAATCAGACTAAAATATTATAAAATAAAATAAATAAATAAATATGTAAGCTAAATTTTGATTTAAGCTACACGGTGAATTCGGCATCATTGGTGATGTTTAGGAGAGTGATTAAGTACCCTATCTGTAGTAGATATGCCTTGATGTATATTTTTTAATAGTAACAAGGAGATGTAAATGGAAGGATCGAGCATGTTGAATGATTTAGGCAAGGCTGTATTAAAAGTGGTCATTTGATGTTATGATGATGTCCAGGGCACCAAATAAAACAGACCACCCAGAATGACTTTTGATCTAATGATCGTATCTTCACATTCTAGGACTAAATCTTAATCTTTCGAGTGGGTGACCTCAAATATGATTCTTAATTAATGCAGATGATATTTTAAGTAACAAAAATCAGACACAAAGGCGCACTTTCCCTGAATAAGCATACCTTTTTTTTTGACGGATTCATATTTCTGAACCTCATAATATAACATCATATAATATCATATATAATCATATGTAGCCGAAATCTGGGAAATGTGGTCCCCATAGTATGGTCAGAAGAGCGATGCAAAGTTTGGACCTCATAATATAAATTTTAATTTTTGCGTATTTCACCATATCTCGAGAACTTTCTACGCGAAATGAAATTTTTTCGTTTACAATTACAAATCATTTATTCAAAGATATTTTCATGCTAAAAAAAATTTTCAGTAAATATTTATCATTTTCTATTATATTATTTAAGAATGAACAAAATTATTGGAATAATAAGGTATAAAATTTTTATATCTTTTTAAAGAATGACATTTTACGAATGCAAAATTCGAAATTCTCAAGAAATTCTCAAAAATTCAAATTCTCAGGAATAAATTAAAATTCAACCAATTTCACTAAAATTTTACGTTTTGTCGTGTAAAATTGCATATTTTAAGATTATGTAGAACATTCTATACCTCACAATTCAAAATATTTCCGCCAATTATTAAATAAAATAATAAAAAATAATAAACGATTACTAAAAAAAATTTTTTGCATGGATTTAACTTTGGATAAATAGACTTTACAATTCTGTGCACAATTTTTTAAATTTTTTCAAAACCACAAAAAGTGAAATTAACGTTGAGGGGTCAAAACATTGGATCTCTTTCCTAATCAAATTATGGGGTCAAAAATCAGAATTCGTTGAAACAAAAAGTAAGTTTATTCAGAGAAAGTGCGTTTTTGATCGTTTTCTTCGTCTGATTTCCAGATTTAAAATATCGTCTGTATTTATTAATTCGTATATTTGAGGTTATTCGAACCATTAAGATTGAGTCCTAAAGCGTGAAGATTTGATCATTAAATCAAAATTTATTCAGGTAAGTCAGTTTTTCTTAGTGCACTGTGCATTATTGTATATTGTAAACATGAATCTATACAATTAACTTGATAAAAGTATTAATATTTTTTTCAACTTTTTAAGGACAAAACAACTTTGAATATTAAGGCTCAGTTTTTAAACTTAATTTTTTGTATAAATGATTATGTTAAAATTCCTTTATCAGATCATTTGTGAAATAAAGAAAGCAAAAATTTTGTAGTTATGGCAATAGCTTTTAATTAGCAAATTTAATTTTTATACTGAAAAAATTTCTTTTCTAGCTATTCATCTAAACTTAAATCAAATGAAAAATATTAGTAAGTATATGTTCTCATTTGACGGAATAACATTTTAAACTTAATATATTAGTTATTAAATAAGAATCTTCATTTTTATAATTTCAAGCGGAAAACGAACTTAAGAAATTGGAATTACTGAAAAATATTACCATAGGTAAGTAATTTTATTTGTTAAAAAAAGCATTGAAAAAATATAAATTTTTTATTTATTTGCTTTTTAGTAGTTTAATTTTCGTAATATTTATAAAAAAATTATGTTTTCAAAAAAGTTTAACTTTTTGGTACGAATTGTAGTTGTATTTTCTTATAATAATAATAATACTTTCCATGAGATAAAAACATAGTAAATTTAACAAATTTTGTTTTATTCACTTTAGCTGTTAACACATCTATATTTTACTCTTTTTTTAATAAAAATGGAAAAAATTACTAAATATTTATTTAACTGCTTTTAAATACAAAGCAACTTAATTTAATTCGCTGAGACTCATATAACTTCTTCCTTTAATTTGGAGTTTATTTAAATTGGAGTTGGAAGTAAGTGCTTTCTTTTACGTGTCTTCGATTTTAGCTTCAGATTCAAATTTCGGCAAAGGTGAAAGTTCATCTGAAAGTACGCTATAAAGCATTATTTCTAATTAATTTAAAACAAATGCAACATTAAGAACCAAATAATTGTTTTTTACAGCAATGCAGTTACAACAAGAACTGCCAAATGAGAGTAAGTAATAAGCATTCTCCTCAAGCTTTTAAATAATCATTTTAGTTTAACTTAAAAATCAGCGTTGCTCAAAGAACGCTTGCGATTATAAATATTTCATTAAAAATGTGTTACTTGTTTGAATCTATTATCTTTATATTTTTTTCGGGTGTATAATTGTTCTAAAAATAATTTTAGTGAAACATAAAATGCTTCTTTTATGTAGCAATCTTGAGCTTCAACGTAAAATTTAATTAATGCTTGATAATTGATTAACTTATTTCTTTCAAGTTTTATTATGTAAAACAATCGCAATAATATTTTTCTTGCAATAACTTTCTTTCTCTTGTATTTATTCATTTATCTTTTACTGTCTAGTTGCAATCTTTCAAAATATAATGTAAACCTTGATATGAATCAAGTGATCTAAAAATGTCTTGTTACTTCATTTTCATGTTTTTTTTGTAGTTTTTTTTACAATAAATAGTTATAGGTTTAATAATTTGTGAGTAGAAAGAAGCGAATCAAAAATATTAAAAAAAAGAATTATTGCATTTTATTTCTTGAATTTAACTACTAAAATACTTCTCTTTTTTAGCCATACATTTAAACTTAGCTGAAATGAAAAACTTGAGTAAGTGTGATTTATAAAGCAAATTAATCTATTTCAGTAATGAGAATAATATTTTTCAAAACATCTTCATGTTTTATAATAAAATAAAATTCTTTACAAGTTTTTTTTTCCTTATTAAGCGGAAAATGGAATTGAGAAAATGGAGTTGCTGAAAAACATTACATTAGGTGAGTCATATTTATGTGAAACTATAAGAAAAGTACTTGTATCAATTATATATTACTTTTTTTTACTCAATATTCCGCAGATTTTCTAAAAATATAAAAATGATTTGTCATAAATTTTCATAAACCATTTTTAAACTATTTTTAACAACCACTGTTTATAAAATCACTATGTTTTACTCATCAAATATGACTCGACTTGATTTTAAATCTAATCGAAATGTTAAAAATAAGTAACTTTATATTGTTCAATGACTGAAGTGTTCTATGTAAAGATCTTTTTTATCACTTTCATTATAGATCAATTATAAATAATTTTCAAGACACCTTCATTTGAACCTTCATTCATAATTTTAAAGAAAATTCATTTTTTAGGATGATTCGTTTCATTACATAAAAAATCACTTTAATTTAAATGAAGTAAATTGCCCAATGGTTAGAAAATTTGATAAAAATATAAATTAAAAGCTACCACGTTTTAATAATACTTCAGACTAATTATTATTGCATAACTATAGGTAGAAATTTTTAATAACAAATTGGAGTCTATAAAGTTAGTATAAAAATATTATGACTTATTTAATTTGAATATTATTCTATAAAGAGTTTTTCTAATGACACAAAATTCTCTTCGAGTTTTGTGATTTTCATCTTTTTTTAGGTTTTTCACTTAGTTAAAAGATATTGTAGTTGAACTATTAAATTAATGTTGAAATTTTTATACTGTTATTGTTTGATTGAAATTATGATTTAAATTATGTGTCAAACATAAATTAAGTTAAAAATTTAACTGCATAAAGAAAGCTTTTCCAAATAGTGCTCTCTTCTTGTATCATCCAAACTTAGGGTGAATCAACTTAAATTACTATAATGAGTAATTATTGTTAATAATTATTGGTAATTGCTTGTAAGCTTTTCCGAATAGTGTTTTCTTTTTGCATCATACAAACTAAATGTAAATAAAATTAAATCACTCTAATTAGTAATTATTATTTCAGCTATGCAATTACAACGAGAAGAATTACCAAATGAGAGTAAGTAGCAAACTTTCTGGACAATTTTAGATGTTAGATTATGGTTAACTGAACTAGGTAGTAAATTAGATTAATTAAAAACTTTACTTCAGTTATTTATAAGTTCAGAAATACTTGACACAGAACTTAATGCCAAATCTTTTAAAATTTCATTATTAATATATATTCAATAGTAAACCTTAAAAAAATTAACTTAACTTTTTCATTTTATTCTACCAAAAGCAATGATTTTCAAAACTATCTAGCAACAATTTTAGGATGTTATTAAACTACTTGAATTAGATTATCCAAGTTCGAGTCATAGTATCATGTATTCTAGTTTAAAAGGGTTTAATTCCTAACACAATATGATGTTGTCTAGCAACTTATTAGCGTAGCTACTTTCAGTGAGATATTGTAGTTGCAAGATATTGATATTAGAATTTAAGACAACGTTAAGAATCAACTTTTTTTTTATTTCAAAATTGATTACGGAAACCAGACAGTGCTCATAAAATTATTCCAATAATAATATCAAAAATAGCGATTTGAGAAAATTAGTATAAAATGTAAAAGCTATCATTGATTCCTTTTTTGTACCTTGAATTAAACAAATTGTTTCCTTCTATTTTAGCTATTAAATTAAAACTAGAACGGATACAAAATCTAAGTAAGTACATTTTTTTATTCATTTTATTACTTTTGTTTCTAAGCTAATTGTAAATTTGATACCTATCAAAATTGCTTGTAAAAAAACATTTTGTTTTATTTTAAGCGGAAAGTGAAATAACGAAAATGAAATTGTTGGAAAACATTACAAAAGGTATGCTTTTGTCTTGGTTAAAACATTATAGTGTAAGATTACTCACTATATATCAAATGTTTAATTACGATTTTATAACGACATTAATTGTCGTTAACTTAATTATGTTTGTCTTCAGTATTAATGAAAGTTACTAAAATATGTTTCCACATATGAAATTTTCAAATAATATTTTTTACGATTCCTTAAAACTTATTTATTTAGAAAGTTTAACAGAACTGTTATTTATAGATTACATTGAGACACAAACATCAATTTATAAAACTTCAAATTTCTGTCTGTACTTAGATTTAATTGCAGTGATATTTTTTTTCTTGTTTTATTATATATCTTTTTTTTTAAACTCGAAACTAGAACATTTTTTTCGGTGATTATTCTAGTAGAATCCATACATTCGTGATTTACTTGTTAGAAATTAAATTATAATAATTAATTGCTAACTTGCATTTATTAATAAAATGACAAGAAATTTTAAGAAATGAAATTAAACGCTAGCCGGTGATTTTCATTAAAATCTAAATTAATCACAATCAATTATTATCTATTTTTTCCTTTATGTAACAATAAAATTTAATAAAAATGTGAGAAATATATGTATATATTCTTTTATTTTTAGCTATAATATTGCAAAAGCAGGAATTACCAAATGAGAGTAAGTAATATGAATTTTACCAACTTTTCCTTATCATGGGTTTGGGCAACATATTTAAACAATATGTAACTGACTTTTATTGAATCATTGTTTAATATTTTAATTTTTATTAACGATTTTTTTTATATCACCTCCCTATTTTGATTTTCCTTTTCTAAACTTTTGTTAGTAATTAACATTTCACCATTACTCTTTTTTCTTAAATATCCTCCTTTAGTTCACCTCAATGTACTAATAGTGCACTTAAGGAAGATTAGAAGAACGCAGTTTATTTGGAGTATTCAAAGAAAATAATACATATGAATAATAAATAGTATAGATAATACATAATATGGTATTATAAATATTGTTTTCCTAAAAATAAAGTAGTCAAATGAAATCGAGATTTATGTTTATGTTTATGTCATATTTTTTAATTTTTTTCGTCTTTTTATTGTTATTATTCATATCATTTTAAATTACAACTGATTAAAACCCTACTTATATTTTTAGCTATTCGGCTAAATTTAGAAACAATGAAAAATATAAGTAAGTTTGTTTTTTTTTACATTAAGCTAAATAAGTATTTCAAAAGTATAAAATTTTTGAATAATTGAAAATTGATTATTCAGATTTTTATTTTGACATAATTCATTTTTATTTATTTGCATTTCAAGCGGAAGCTGAATTTAAGAATATGGAATTGCTAAAAAATATCGCAATAAGTAAGACTCTCTTTTATATTCAATTAAACTGCATTGAACCTTTTTTCTCGCTTTTTTACCATTAATCTAACACTTTAACATGCATCAAAGGGTAAAGAAAACGGCTTTTTATTGCTATTAAACAAGATTTATGAATAATTTTTTTATCAAAAATTACTTAGACATGCCTGGAATTAACAGAATACATATCTTAGCATAAATGAACGTTTACATAAATCAAAATTTTTAATCATGTATGAAAAAAAAAAAATTTCACTTACTTCAATTAATATTTGTTTTTTTATATTCATGTCAGCCATAGGTAAATTGAATTAAAGTGTCCTTCTAGACCTAGATTAAAACTTAATGGATAATTATGAGTTTTTATTTTTACCTAATAAATAATATGTAAAATGTTTATTATGATTTAGGATTTTTTATGTTTGTTATAATTAAAGTAATTGAATAATACTGCAATGAAATGTTTAAAAACTAAGATATTAAATTTAGCTAGTCTTATAATAAATCAGTTTTCTTGTTTAAAAAAATAACATAAATAATTTTAATTTATTAATATTTGATTTACAGCTATGCAGTTACAACAAGAAGAAATGTCAAATAATTGTAAGTGATAAGTATTAAAAAAAAATTGCTTTTAGAGAATAAGTTAGAGTAATATAGTAAGAAGATAACATTCAACATAAACATTGTATTATTCAGAATATTGTAATTTTTTTTTTAAATTTAATATAATTCCTCTTCACGTTTTCTTAATTTCGTATTTATTTTTAACTGGAGCAGTTTGAAAGATAGCAATAATAAAAATGTTTGTTTTCCCAACAACATAATTTGCATTATGGAGACATTTATGTATCAAACTTCGGATTTTATTTTAAAACTAAATATAAAAATAATTAAATTATGTATTATCTTTATAAGTGTCGAATCAGTTGAGAGCAATATTCTATTTTTTAGAAACAAACATTTCAAAAAAAAAATAATAAAAATTAAATTCGTGTATATATTTGTGTTTGAAATATTGAAATCAAATATATTAAACTAGGAGGCTCTGCCCCCTGTTCGCTAGCGCTCGCCAACCCCCGAGAATTGCTACGCAATCCTATGTGGTTCACACCGTGAACCATGGCTCGCTGCGCTCGCTCGCCAATGAACACAATGTTCTAGCACAAAGACATAGTATATTATCATCAAAGACNAAAAATTGATTTCGTGTGTTTATTTATGTTCAAAATATTAAAATCAAATATATTAAATTTTAAAAACTTTACTAATATAATTTGTTATTCATTTTTTAAAGTTTGCTGTTGTTTTTTACTTCTTGTAGCTTTGTGCCTAAGCCTGAGAGAACTGAATAACATATGTAAGTACCTTTTTTTAAAATCTAATTAAATAAGTAAATTCAATGCCAAAATAATATTTTTGTGGCAATTAGAAGTACCAATGTATATAATTTTTTTTCAAAGAAAAAAAAACAGGATTTGAAACAGCAGAAATAGATAGTGGATAATATTATAAAAATTGTTATGGTTTCAACAAAAATACACTATACGTTTTTTTTGTTTTTTTGTTTTGTTTTTTTTATGAAGTATTTTTATAGATTATAAAAAGAAATGATAACTGTTTAAGTAATTCCAGAAAATGTAATATTTTCTTTCATGTTTTCGATATTAACTGTATATTTATTCATATAAAAATGCTATTAAATAAATCATTTGCATTTAAATGAAATCTCATTGTAATTAATCATCAAGTGATTAGTTACTTTTTTTAATGACTGAGACAAAATATCATTGCGAGTAACATTGTTAAAAGTTAACATGCATAGCTTCCTTCATTGTTTTTACGCGTAATTAAGAGCAGAAATAAATCACAAATTTTGAGACCTAATTTGTATAAGTAAAATATTTTTAATGGGAAGCATTACAAATTTCACTACATTTATATTCAAATTTGTAAAATTTATTAACATCGAGTTAGTAACTTAACATGTTAGAGAAAATTGCTGCAATTCGTTGCTGCATTATGGCTTATATTTCATCCGTATCATTATTTTCACTAAGTAGTAACTCTATACATTTCTATTTTAGTCATGAAATTGCAACAGAAAGAAAAACCGAATGAAAGTAAATATCTGACATATATTACTAACCTGAACAATTTCTTTTAATTTTTAAATATGTGCACAATAATAATTATAATGCTATTTTTGTATGAGTCTAGAAGGTACATCTTAGATTCTTAGAAGAAATTGAATTATTTGACTCTAAATGAGAACCTAAAATATGTACATTAAATTTTTGTGCTCACTTATTCCCTTATTATCAGATTATTAACTCTTTCAGTATTATCGAAATGTTAACAATTTAATTTTAGCATTTGATTGTGAACATACATTTTTAATAAATTGAAATCGATAAGGAAAATTCTTTATAAATAAATGCTATAGTATATTTAACTCTGTTACACAATTTTTATGACAAATTTTGGACATTTAGTTAACTGAAGCAGCATATGCAAAAACCAGATTAAAAAGGGTTTCTATATCGAATAATATAAATTAATATAGCTTCCATCGAATAATATACGCCTCAATTGAGGAAATTCTACCAAAATATGAGATGGAGAAATCTTTTTTTCTGTGTAATGACGTTGCTCATTAATGCAACATTGTTGTCTGGAAAAAGTTTAGAAAATCATGAATTAAGATTGAAAATTTCTAGATATTAATACTCTTTTTTAAATTGTATTTATTTTTAAATTTCTTGTCTTTATTTACAAGCAAATTTTTCTGATGTGAAACTGTCTAAATAATGTAAAAGGATCCCTTTATACCAAAATATTTTTTTTTTCTATTCTTGAGGGGCACCTATTTGGAGGAACCGGTTGTAACTGTAAATTTCTTCGTTATATTTCATTTAAAAGAATTTTAAATGTACTGCAAAATAAATCTTATAAAATGCACTGATGTGTTATTTTTTCTTTTGCATCATGATAATAGGCAAGAAAAATACTAAAAATTCTGGTTAAATAAAAACATAACAGCCATATTTTATATAATAAAATACCTGTTTGTTGAAAATTTTACAAAAATTCTCAATGATAAATCCCCAAAAAAATGAAGAACATAATGTTTCTTTATAGTTTAGCATTTTTAATGAAAAAGAATCATTTCCTACAAATTCTGTAAGAAACAATAAACTATTTACTTGTGCTTATAATTATGATAAACTTATTATAAGAGTAAAAATCTTAAATTTATAAAATGCTTTCATTCAAATTTATTTTTAGACAGTTGTTCCTTACATTTTTCACAACTGGTGTAGAATTGAAGTATTCCTACTATACAAACTGTGTCAAGTAGCCATGTTCAATATATTTTCATCACCATTTACTATCTTATTCCTTTCTAATAAAAAAATTTTTTGAAAAAAGAAAATGAAAAGAAAAAGGAAACCTAATCTACTTTTTATGCAGTTCTGTACAACAATTATTTGTTTCTTCCAGAAAACAACTTATTAGAATACATGACTTATGTAGTCTGTTATTACTTATCTTATAACTGTTCTGTAGTTTTAACCTCATGTATAAGTGAAATTTAATTTTAACGGGATCTTTCTTCAACTTTTAACTAAAAGTGAAGTAACTTCACATATATAATAAATATATATAAAAATGTTTCAGTTATTAAGTTAAATCTACAAAATGGTAAGTATATATTTCGTTTCAAATCAATTACTAATGCTTTTAACTACTAATAACTTTTATAAGTTAGAGTTCAACATACATTTCATCGTATATCTAATAAAAATACTGCAATTTAAATTTTAAAAATATATAAAAAAGATAAAAGAATGAGGTCCTCTCTAATTATGATATTTTTCAGTATCCTTCCCATTGAAAATTGTTCATCAATATAATTACGATCAGCATTCAATCATATATTTAATATTTTTGAACCAATATCAAGCAAATAATACGTTTTCAATTTTCATTATCTCATTATGCATTGAAGTAATAATTATGACTCCTTAATCTTCCAGCATGTGGGCGTGTGAAAGAGATTTTCTAGAGATAAAGTTCTTTTTTTATATATTCTTAAAACACATAAAAACCCAATCCTTGGTTATTCTTCCACTTTTCGTTCATTTGCTTTCCTCTGATGTCTGGTATGCATAATATCGTTGAATAATGTAAAAAACTAAAATGTCTGAAAAACTCTAAACACACTTGCTCTAAATGACTATGGAACTAACTTCTTTCTGTCTCATTCTTAATTCCATTTATATTGTTACTTATACAGCTCTTTTTGTCCATAACAATGCAAATGTCAATAGTTAAGTTGAAATATCATCAATTTCATTCATTTTCAATCTGTCGTCACTCGGTGAGGAAATTGTAATTTGATAACTAAATTAATTTTGGGAACAATAGCTGTACCCTCGTAAATTGGTATAACTGAACTTAAGAAAAATATATTGAAATGAGCTCTAAATTGCATTTCATGGTATTTATAGAACTGTGGTATTGCATTTTAAAACACTATCGAAAATACAACGATTCTCAAGAAAAGTGCACGAAGGAAAAAACATATCTCCAAAACTGCCAGAATATGGCAATTAGGCCAAAATTCTAGCACCAAAGTGCTCGGTCATTTTTACCGAAGTGCTTAAGTATTAATTTTGATAAAGTTAACAGTAAAATATGATTTTAAAATGTCTGAAATAGATAAAATTTGGTTGATGAGGTAAAATTAGATAATTTTATTACGATCCATTAGAACTATTTCCTCAGTTAAATTTGCTTTTCAGTTTGTATTTTTTCTTTCTTTTTTTTTACAAAATGGTTGTGTAAACGAACTATTTTGAAAGTCAGAATTTCTTGTAAGCCGTTACTACACAAGCAAAAAATTATCAAATGAAAGATTTGAATACTATATATTTTGGTTTCTAGTACAGAACTAAGGATTTTCTTTACTAAAAATAATTTCTAAAGGTAATTTGTTTTTATATGCACTCATCATTAAAGTTTTTATTATTTTTTAAAGAAAATGGAAAATTGAAGAAACAAAATTTGCTGGATATTATAACAAAAGGTAAGTTTTCCCCCAATGATTTTAACATGCTTACTGATGCATTTATAATGTTTTTATTATATTATCAGGTACAGTTAATTGATAACAATGTAAGGGGTACTTCTTATGATAAATCTACTGAAACTCAAAAGTTTTGTCCTTAACTGCCTAGCAATTTATCCCATCTTAAGCAATTGTCTCACAATTGTCTTAACAATTTTCATGCATTGCAAAATATTTCTGAAATGTTTTGAGAAAATTGTGTTTCTTCCTTTTGACATCAACGTCCGTTTGATATAGGTGTTCGTGCATTGTTTTTTAAGCTTTCCGTGGATGCGTGAATAGTATAGGAAAGTATCTGGTTCAAGGATGGTAGTCAATGTCTTATTTCTTTATTATAATGTTAAGTTGTAGAGAACACATGGTTATGGAATATTGAATCGTACATTAGCTCTGCCATTTTGCCTCAAAGCTGCCGTCTGTTACAAGATGATTTTACACGTTTATTCATTTTTGCAACTTGTTGGTCTTGCATCAATCAATGTGTCATTTTCTGCTGGCATGTGTCCGTCGTGAAAGTACTTGCTTTTCTCCTGAACCCTTGACAAGAACATAAGAATAATCCAAGGGTTCTTCCATTTGTTGAAGAATTTCGCAGCTATCATCCACTTTTCTCTGTCAAAAAGTGCACCACAATCCATTCATCAATTTTGGATGTCAGTACTCGTCTTTTTGATGTCCTTATTCGTTCGGTTACCATCCTCTTATGATTGCTTGTACTATCCCTACACTGTAAAGAAATCAAATTATGGTAAAAAAGTACTGGCACTTCAGATGTATTATTCGTGTACCGTAAAATATCATATCGTAATTTTTCCAGTAATATTTATTAAATTAGTAATTTATCGCTTTTAGTATCATTATTGCTGTGAAAAGTCGATATATCAGATTCTTTGTTGCGTAACGTGGATTTTAAAATGAATTGAAATGAAGTCATATAAATCAATTGGATTTTATACTGACATTTTATACATTTTATATTATAAATTGGATTTTATACTTGAAGTACTACCATTCTGAGTGCTGATACTTTTTACCAGAAGTTTTACAGAGTACCTAACGAATATAAAAATGAGGGAATCTTTATCATCATAAGAACTTGCTTTTTTTTAATACCACTATTTTATTTAAACCCTTCGAAGCAAATGTGATGCCAGTATCCTTCTTATATATTTGTTTCTGATGTCTTTATCTCAAGCAAAAATATATTGTGGTATTTTTAATTATAAAAATCATTTTAATAATTACTAAGAAAATCTATTACATTATCGGAATTATATTCCTACTAAAAGATAAAATCCTAAAAAAGTAGTTTGGAATTTTATTTTCATTCATAATCTCAAACTTATCAAAATTTGTATTTGTATCTTGAAGTAATTTCAAAGATTAATATCTGTTACTATTATATCTAAATAACAGCACAGAAGTGCAAATTTAAAAACTTTACTTTTGACAAAATTTTACCTTTAAGAAAAAAAACATCTGTGTTTAATGCCATATTTCATAACCATAAATTATTAAAATGCTAAACATAATATTTCTTACTTATTTTGACTGAAAAGAATAAAAAATAAGAAAAGACTAAGAAAAATATGTATGAGAAAAATTTTAAATAAAAGGTCAATGGTATCTGTTACGTGACTTATTGCCTGAATCTAATACTTAAACGTAATCGCATACACCATTTAAAACATAAGGAATGAATATTAGTGTATAGTTACTAAGGAATATAACTTTGATCTGTTTTCAAAGTCAAAATTAGTTTCAAGATTCTTAAAATAGGTTTAGATTTCATGAAAGGTGTGTTTATATGCGAGAGTCAAATCCATTTTGTATGCTAAATTTGATACAACACTTAATAAACTACAAATCATAATTTTTTTGGATCAAAAATTTAAATTTAAACCCTACTGCAAAATTCAAAAGTGTTCATATCAAAATATAACTTATATAAATAAAAGATCCAATTTATTCTACAAAATTATTAAAGCCTGGTAACTTTATTATTCTATAACATTTGATCTATACGTTTTTCCTTCACATAAGAAATAGTCTTCAATTTCATAACTGCTTTTCAAATGAGAGCACAATTACACAGTTATTATAAATAAATTTTAGAAATTCAGTTGCACGATTGTTTGTTTAACTTATTAGTGCGTATTTATTTCCCTTTAGGCATAATCCCAAAATTTCATGAAAATTTAATTCTTCTGATATAATTTATTGTTAAGCATAATTTTTTTCAAAACTTTATCCGTTAATAAATACATTAGGATTTTCATATACCTTACACATACAACAGCTGCTAAACACAATATCACTGCTTGCAAGGAAATTATTCTAACCTATTGAGGGAAACGTACTACCACCTAGTATGGCGGGTATTGAATCAATAAAATAAAATTTAATTTCAATGCATTATTTCAAGTTTGAGGAGAATTCTTTAGTTGATTCTTTTATAAATTACAATTGTGCATATTATAAAAAGTATTCTTTATTACAGCTATGAAATTACAAAGAGAAGAAAGTAAGTAATAAGAATAAAGAATAAATAATCTTCGTGCATTTACTTAAAACTCTGTTTCTAGTAATGGTTTATTACATTCTAACGTACATAAAAATGGCATAAAAATTGTTAATAGTACATTCGGTAGCAAAAAGCTTTTTGATACTAAAAATCACTTCCAGGACACAGAATATATGCTTGTAAAATTAAAGATACATATGCTATCAATCAAATACCATCATCACAGATAATAATCACATCCTGTGTCTTGACATGGATAATGATACAAAACATCATACATTTAGGCCTGTCAAAATCTTGATTCAAATAGCAATCATCACAATGTAACCAGCTATTAAGCGTGACATATATTGTAAATCACGTAATAGTGTCAATTATATTGAAAAATGAGCACTTGATAACAGTATTAATAAGAATTTGGGTCATGATATTTGAATTCTTACTTTTATTGCCTTTCATTTTGTTCTCGTTTTCCAATCAGGTTTGATAAGGCGTTTTATTTTTAAAAACACCTTTAAAATCAATGTTTTGAGTTTCTCTCTTGTAGACAGTGTTACTATTTTGAATTTTGGTTTGGAAGAAAAATAATAATTAAATGCACCGAAATTACCAAATGTGATCTTTGAAATACTGAAAAGATTCTTAATAAATTTTAAAATCCTGAAGTAGTTCTGACGTAGTTTCGGCCAAGTACGCAAGCTTTATAGATAGATAGCTGTTGTTGCATTACAAGGCTTCATACGTGAAAATGAAGTGATGTGAAAAGATTTTAGTTAATGTCATTAATATTTTCAGAGTTAGCAACTTAACATAATTTGAACAACTTGATAGAATTTGAACAAAATTGCTAATCTATGTGAATGGCTAAATTACTTGATTTTGCTCATTATTGCCTTCTTAGGGAGTAATATTTTAAATAAATGTCCTTAAAAAAAACTGCGAAATATACTTAACTTAATTAACATACATATTTGTTTTAACTTGCGTTTTTTACAACTTGTAAGTGTAAATTACAAAACATTCTGACGATATTGCGAACTTCTACTTAAAACTTTTAACGTTTATTTAATAATTGGTGTATTAAAAAGGGCTTTGATTTTACAATTAAAATCATAATGCTCTAATTACAGACGTCACTTAGGGACAACTTGAATGAAATGTATACAATCATAACGCGGTCATTGAATTTATTTTTATTAGGCGAAGGAAATGTAATGTTCACAAACAAGCATAAATTTTGTCGTTTAATTACTTTTTACATAGTTCGTATGCAGAATGTAAGTTTAATAGTAATCAAATACGGAAAAATGGTGGCATTTAAAGTGATGATGTCAAAAAAGTACCCAACAAGCAATTCAAAAACAATCAATAACATACTTTTTAATATAATTATTTTATAATTGAGGGTTTAAAAGTTAATGTATACATAATTCATTTGCTAATTTGTGAAAAGAAAAGGCATTTTTTATCCTTATATAATATAATATCCATTTCTCGCTTTTAGTAAAAGGTGCTAAAAAAAAAGATAACTTGTTGCAAAAAATTAATAAAGGTAAGTTCATTATAGCAATAGACAGTTTTAAGTATAATTTTTATTTGATATTAGATTTTAAACCTTCCAAAATGAAACTGCTTTGAAGGAAAGCTGTGCAGTTCCTAACTACAAAAAGTTAAGGAACGACTGGGTTTTAAAAAAATTTGAATTGTAATTATGTGAAGAGAATTGCACTGTAATTAGTACGTTTCTTTGAAGTAAGAAAAATCTACATTCTGTCTGAAAAGATTTAAACATCAGAAAAACATACTTAATTTGTTCTGAGTGATTCAAAATGAAAATTAGAAAAAGGTAAAAAAAAACTGGAATGGGCGCAATAGGCCCTGAACTTCCATAGGCTGTCGCGCCACTGAGTTTTTTTTTCCGTCAATCAAACCATAAAATTGTTATATAATACAATAGTACAGTTTTTAAGGGTTGGCGAGTGACAGAAGAAGGGACGAAGCTTACTAATATTCATGATTTAACAAATAAAATAAAGCCTTCTCACATGGCGTCACTGACAAGCTTTCAGTTGAAGGAATTTGGCAGTGAGGAAATGACTTGGCTGCAGATTTGAAAATTTTGCCTATATAAACAGCTTTGCCTATAAAAATATTCAAGTACACTATCGTGACTCCCTAATGTCATATATTTGCGTAACTTAACCGCTTAGCTTGAAAAGTGGGAGTTATCCGTAAAATTATACTGCATAATGAATAATTTTTAACCAGATATTTTTTTAACCTGAATCAAATTTTAAATGTATGTGAGATTTTGAAAATTCGATTTCTCTGGAACTGTACGACAGATTTAATTTGCGATATAAATGACATTCTATAAATGACGTAAAAATGTGCATAACTTACAATTTAAAAGTTTTTGGACTATTATAAAAAATTTATAAAAAAAGCGAATGTGATTATCTTTGGAGAAACGAATTTTATACTTGTGTGCCAATACCTTTCAATTCGCTTAAAAATTTCTCGAGATAAACAATTTATTTTTTGACATATTTTCTCGAGACTAGAATACGCATAAAGTAAAATTAGCATTATAGGCTTTCAAACTTTTGACCACTTTCCTAACAATTGAAACCATGTTTTCCAAACTTCCACTACCCCTCTCCTATAGTTTGAATGTCAATAATCTTAATCAGTAGATAATCTAAATCCATCCGAGAAAGTCTGATGATTGAATTAAAATTTATTCAGAGTGTTACTTTTTTCATGCAAAAGAATAATAAGTTAGTTTGTCAACAATTACGTACAAGTTATCTATATTCTTAAAAAATTTACATGACATCATCATTAACATGGTATCATACGCATGTCTTTTAGCTGCTCTCTTAAACTGTTTGAAACATGTTTTTCAGACTGCGACTTTAACACATTTTGACTATCAAAAGCCCACATCCCACGAAAAAAGGTGTGTTTATTCAGAAAAAGTATGTTTTATGATGATTCCTTCACTTGATTAATAGTTAAGTTTAGGAATCAGACATAGGGGTAATTCTTTAAAAAGATACGTAACTAATAGTAGTTAATTAACATATTTTTGAAATCATCCTTTGGAATCATTAAGATATTTTCTTTTTTTCTTTTTTAATATTTTTCTTCTTTTTGCTCACGGCACAACTTTAATTTAAGGGGGCAATCAAATTTATCGCTATACTAATTTTTGTCAAATATAATTGAAATTAACCCAAAACATTCAAGAATTGAAATTATTTGCATGCAAGTTTGAAACCACTGTCTCTGGTTTTATAAACTGACTTGATAATTGGTTCCCGCTGTGGACTGATAGTAAAGACACAGTTCCCAGTAGAACACCATCACTACCAACCATTCAACCATCGCTAGTTGTGGTCAGAAAGCGGGTGAGTGACTACTTTGATCAGCCTACTTAGAAAACGACGGTGCGGTTTTCGCTTAAATGTTAAACCATTGAGTGCTCGACTTCGCTCTCAAGTCATCGGGCTACCAAACCAGGGGAGCCATCCCCGCTGTAGAGGATCAAAATTGCGATGGTATGTCTTGGGATCATCCTGTGTGATGTTTCCTAGATCGCCGCTAAATGCCCATTTTGCAACTTCAATGCAACGTAAGTAAAGTACCTACCAGCCTTAATATTTAATTGGATATAACTGCGACTTAGTTGAAATTTAACTAATCAAAAACGGCAGAAATAAGCAAGAAATGGTATGGATTACAATAGTTTTCTTTTTAATAAACCATTAAGCACATAAATTTTTAAAAAAAATAGAGTTCCTTAATCTATAAATATATACAAATGAATGTCTGTGCGTGGGTGTGTCCTTTATAGATTCCTAAACCATCCAATAAAAATCGATGAAACTTGGCATACAGATAGTTTGAAGCCCGAACATTCTACGACAAACCGTTTGAGCTGGATGAGTGATAAACGACATGGAATTTTCTGAATGACTAAGTGTTAGCAGTTGTTTTAAATTTAACGATTAAATTTTTCACATATTTCAAAGATAACATCAATGATAATTGCTAAAGTTTGCAAAAAAAAGTTTATTGCACGTATTTAAGTATTTAATTAATTTATATTCGCTATGTCAGATGAATTCCTTGAACATAACGTGGTATCACGTGTGGTCTACGTCACCAAATGTATACTTTGACTAATACCACATGCTTTTATTTTATTTATATTAATTCGTTTAAACACGATTGTTAAAAAATTACTTATTTAAAACCAACGTTAATGAAACAGAAAAAAAAATATTTATATATTTAAAATCAAAATTAATGGTAAGGTGGTATTTATTCATTTAGGAGAAACATAAAAAATTGCCTCCAATGAGGTTTATTTACGCCAATGATGCTTAATTAATTAAGTTAATATATGCATACTAAAATAAGCTAAAGTAATGGAAGTACTAGAAAGCAAAAGTAATGGAGTAAAGTTATTTATTTGTCTAGAGGAAACTGCTACAAATCGTCCTTCTATCATTGACGACAATAGTGCTTAACTAATGTAGATAATATGCATTAATTGAAAAAAGAAAAGTAACTTAAGAACTGAAAAGCAAAAATAAGGAGAAGAGATACTTATTCACGTTTTGGGTAACCGCAAAAATCTGCATATTAGTATTTTGAAGAATTAGTATTAAAAGAAATTTTTCCTACCACTACTTATAAATATTTAAACAGTAAATTAAAGGACAGATAGAGAAATGGTCATGTTCCAAAATCCTTATGAAGTTCTAATATAATTTTTTTTAAATTAGGCTTTAGTTGGCTGCTGACAAATATGTATGAATTCAAATGTTGAAGGGTTATGTAATAAGTAGCAAATATACTTATATAGTTATAAAATATTATATTGATATATTTGATGATTTTTTAACCAATCAGTTTTAATACCTATACTTTGGAACAAAGTGTTTTAAGGCCCCTCGAAAGGAATATGTACCTGATAAAATCACTTAATAGTGTTAAATTTTAACTATCACGACTTGGCCATGATTACATCATGCTAAATACATCTTATCCTTACATATATATTCCAATGATATGAATTACAAACAATGACCTCAGCTTACTTCAATAACATAAAGCTTCTGAAGATTACAACATATAATATTAATTTTAAAAAAAAGGAAATTATAGATATATTAATTGAAAAACTTAGAACCACAGGTAGGTAACATTTTCAGAGGGAAAAAAAGTTTTATCCAAATTATTTTATTACCAGTTTATTAGGAGGTGGGACTAATAATTTTTTGCTTCACTTGATTTGCCACTGAACAAAATAAAAATCATGCAAGCTTACTAAAAACTAAAATGGATTAGTTATGTTAAGATAAAAGTAAAAGCAAAAACAGTTATGTTACATTCAACATAGCAGTATTGACGCAACCATTTAATGCTATTTACTCTAATTCACTAATTCCCCTAAAAATGTTACTTACCAGGTTCTTCCATTAAGCTCTTTAATTGTGTCGGTATATGCCTTTGAGTTTTGAGCATGATTGCTCAGTACTGATTCTTTTCTTTTTTTTATTCACCCAGTGCGAAGAACGGGTATTCAGCTGATAATTAAGTAAAAATGTGTTCACTCATGGACAAAAAACAGTTTTACTTAAAACATTACATGCCTAGTAATTGACACTTGTCCTTTCTTTTTTAGCCATAGAGTTACAAAACAGGAAACAACCAACCGAAAGTAAGTATTATTACATTCATATAATTAGAAAAGAAATGAAGAAAGTGCTATATTATATCTTAATATAAATGCGTCCCTCTCACAAAAGGACGAGAAATAAAGTTTTAAAAAAAGTTTAAAATAAAATAATTGATTTTTATCTCTATTGCAACAAGAAGTAGAGCAAATTAATATGCCGAGAAAGGGTAAGAAACAAATGTGTATTTGTAAAGGTTTTACAAGTTTCAATAGTCATTCATCAAACATAATGAATCTTTTAAATGAATGAGTGTACACTCCCAGAAAACTTATTAGCAACCTTATTAGGTTGATCATAAAATTTTTGCCTTCAAGTGAAATATCGTGCAAATTTATTTTAAGCATTAAAGTAATAAGGAGATAAATTGAGTAATTTTTTTCAATGATAGCTGTAGAAGCGAAGCAACTCTACAAAAAGTAAAAGAAATTATCAATCTTAATATATTTTCGATAGATTTTTTCTCAATAAATCATATCAAATTCAAAGATAAGAAATAAAAATTATATAAATTCAAAGTTAAGATATAAAATTATTATTTCTTGTATTGGAGTATTAGGAAACTGTTCATACTGCTTTTTATATGCCGGCATACTTGGGAATAAAAGATTTCTGTATTTAGGAATTCATGCATGGAAAATAAATTTTAACCGTATTTTTCTTTTAAATTAGAATAAAAATTATTAATATCTCTAATAACTGTTTTTTTTAATGTTTTAGTTATTCAGTTAAATCTACAAGAAAGTAAGTAAAATTTTGAAACTTAGTTGATTAAGATTTCTATAATTAGCACTTCTATAAATAAAGAAATATAATTGTGAAAACTACAAAATGGGAGAGTAAGGTTTACGGATTGAGGCCAAAACCCTAGAATGATAAAGTCTAAGATGCAAAAACGAACAAAAAAAGACTCTTAAAAGAGACCTCTGAGGAAAGACTCGGACCGAGATAGCCTAGTTGGCAGTGCTCTGAACTCAAGTTCGTGAGAACGAGACTTCGAATCCAGCCAGCTGAAAACTTCCCGTGCAGTAAATGGTGATTGGTCCACGTTAAATCCGTCGAGTCACAAAGTCCTTCATTTTTCCATAACAAATTACACCTCTGGGGGACTTAATTGGAAATATATCGCTCTCTGTTTCCGTTAAAGATTTCAACCTGTGGATAATTGAATGAATGAATAAAGACGTCCGGTCTGTAACGGGTGTGACATAAGGATGTGGCAGAAGTATAAATCTTAACCGTAATAGATGGCGCTACTGGAATAGAAGAATAATCGCACTCCTACTTCCCTAATGGCAGATGACAACAACACCAAAAAAGGCATTTTTTTTTCACTAAAAAGTTCTCTTAAGTTCATTGAATGATTTTTTTGATTTTTTTTTTACCAGATTTTTAAACTTGTTCTGAAAAGGTTTGTATTTTTACAGATATATTTCTCCCCAATTCACAAACAAAGACATTTTTATGATGGGATTTACCATTATTGCAACACTTAGCTGAAGCTATGCAGTTTTCATAGCCCTGGCAGAAGAAGAGTCCCAGCTTATTCGACGCATAGTAATTCGTCCTTGCATGCTAATTGCGCATGGATGAAATGGTGGTGCTTGACCATTAAACTTATTATACCACTTTGAAGATGATGCCGCACTTTTATAATTAAATTTTCATTAAACAAATAAATAATAATTTTGTTTTTGGAATTGATTGCTTTATATTTTGCTTGCAGTTTTCGTGAACGAAATTGCACTTTGAAGTATCCATGTCATTTCCAAAGCGTTAAATCCTATTCCAATTTTTTCTAACTCTACTTTACTTTATATTTTAGTTTCCAAGATTTCTAATTACAACTTCTTTTCATTTATGCACAAACTTTATTATCCTTCCCTTGCGCAAATTATTTTATTTTTTATTTATTTCGCTTTTTATAGATAATAAGAAAACTACACCTTTATCTACTTCATCTGTCCAGACTACAAGAAAAAGTAATATTATTTCAACGATTCCTTCAAAACTTTCAGAGATTTAAATTAAAAAGTTTTGTTAATAAACTTTTTTTCAAACTTTTTATACTATTTCTTTTACTTCATTCACCTTGCTCTTTCAGATAATAAGAGAACAGCAACTTCAGGTAGTTCATTTTTTCAGACTACAAGAAAAGGTAATATTATTTCAATATTTTCTTCAAAAATTAAAATAATTTTAATGAAATATTTTTATTGATATTTTTTAACTTCAATTTCTTTTCTCTTTCAGATAATAAGAGAACTACAGCTCCGACTACTTCATTTATTCAGACTACAAGAAACGGTAATATTATTTCAATGATTCCTTCATAGATTTCAGAAGTTTCAATAAAACATATTTATTAATAAACTTTTTTAATCTTTTTTCTTGCTTTTGTTCAACCTGAAAAACATTTTCTTTTCACTTATGACTTCCAATTTTTAAAACAAAAAGATAAAAATTAGTTTATTTTTTGACAAATCTTTTTTTAACCTGCTTTTTCCTCAGATAAAAAAATAATATGATCATAACGAACAATCTAGACATTATTTAAATGTTATTTACTTTACTTTTCTGGATACATTTGTTAATATGTGCTAACAACGCATGGTATGCTTAATCAAGTGCAAAATACGTTTTAGTATTATTTCAACATCGTTTTTAATAAAATAAAAGGCTAAAACGTATTTCTTTTTCTATTTTTTTTCTTTATTTTTCTCTAAAGTTCAATTTTAGTTGACATGAAATTTCTATTTCTTATCACAAAACATTGATATTAGCTTATCTTTACTGAAACTCGTCAGTCATCTTTATCTCACTGATAATGAGAGAACTACACCCTCAACTACTTGAAAGAGCAAAATTGTTCCTAAAGTTCGTATAACTTATACAAAAAAATGGAATATATAAAACTAATACAAAAATGGACAAATAACTAATACAAAAATGGACTTGTACAGTAGTTCCACTTCTGGTTTTTATAGTTCTTATAGCAAAAATGTCTAAATAGTTAGTTTAAAATTTCACAAATGTTTTTTACAGTATTTCTTCTTTTTTACAAATAAAGATAATTATAATCTCATCAAGTCAGTTACTTCTCATACTTAGCCTTCATCTTTCCACCGTTATCTTTTTCACGATAATTCTTTTAAATTTTGAACTTAATTTTTTGAATTCTTTTAAATTTTATACTGTAATTATACTTGTGGAGAATAGTAGCTTTCGACCATGTCAACCTTCATCTATGAAATGGTACTCCACCATAGAATCGAGTTAACATGTCTTATATACTAGTGAATTGTAGTTGTAATTTTGTAGTGGTAGATACGCTACAGTACTCCCCCACCAGAATTACATCCGTGATAGAATTCCATGAATGGATTCCACTAGTTGAATCATTGCTGTTTTGTGCGAAGCAGGGAGAGCTGTATTAAGATCGCCGTACTTTTTGAGTGCTGAATGTGAGAGGTGTATCAACTTCACGGTCGTAGTCGCTCCTGTGTTGACTGTAGCAGTCGAGTGTACGCAGACCGAAGTTGTGTTTAATCGAGAATGAGTAGCAACAGTGCGAGAGGGTGATTAATGTTGCAGTCACAAGCAGTAAGTCAACTGTTTAATGTGGATCATCCATCGAAGTAGGCGTTACTTTCCAGATAGGCGTGTTCATATTGAAGTGGGCGTTACTGCCAAGGTAGGCGTGTTCGCATTACGTCCGTAGGTCACCAATGTGGGGAAAGTAGTTAACGACAAAGTCAACAGTCATCTATGAAAAGGTACCCTTTCATAGAATCGAGTTAAGATGTCTTATATACTAGGGAATTGAAATTGTAATTTTTGTAGTGGTAGGTACGCTACAATACTGTTATTATTATTTTTTACACTTCACAGTATAAAAAACTTTCGACTGAAAGAAATTCCTCTAAAAAATACAATAAATGTTTTTTTCTCAAACAAAATATTCTTTTTATTGATATTAAAATTATCAAATGTGGTTATAAATATTACTTTCAATTTTAAAGTAAATGTTATGTATAATAGTCCAAATGAGCGATAAGTCATCATTATTTCTTTCATAGGTTGAAAAAATCACACAAAATCATAAAGACGAAACATTTTAATTCGAGTTGTTTGAGCGAGTGCTAATTACCCTTTGAAAATAAAATAATTGCTTAAGTTAGATAACAAATTAACTTTCGACATCAAGAAACGTGTTCTAGCTTCCTTCATAGCAAAAAAATAAGCAAAAACATTTTTTTGGTAATTAGGTTAATTAATATGTTTATGCTGTGTAAAGCAGCGTTACTGCTGTATGTTTGGAATCTTTTTTGATAAGGAACAAGCGATTCCATTAGCTTCGTACGAACGATGCACTAGATATTTATCAACATTAACAGCCTCAAAATGGGCAGTAACTCAAAATGGGTATATATACTACATGTCATTATACACTCAGGATATGAAAAGAAAGAAGAGATCAAAAAGTACATGTCTCACACCATGAATTTTGAAATTAAATCCAGAAAGTTGCTTGAAAGTAATACGAAGAAAAAATATCACGATTGATGCGTGTAGTAGTCATCTTAGTGGAAGATATTTTATTGGCAATAAATATAGAAAATGGTTTAATTTTTTTTTCATTACGTCTATATTTGATGACCGATCATCTTGAGCAACTAAAAGAGAAACAAAAAATCGAAAGCTAGCCTGTGATTCTACGAAGTATTTTCGAATGTATGATGATTCGAATTTAAATGTGATTAATAATGTTATTTTTTTTTTCAAAAAAAATATTTATAAAATCTATACTTTTTTTCCATAAGTTAGCTTCGTAAACCCAAACTGTTCCCTTAAGTGTAGTAGATAGTTTTATGCATTGTTTACATATTTGGCACATCTCGTGAAGTAACACTGATTTTAAAGGTGATCAATTCCAGGATATAGGGGATAGTCTAATACATTGCAGTTAAGTTACTGATCCAGTTCAACCTTGAAATATCTTTAAAAAATTGGAAAATAAACATTTTATCAAACTTTTTTGCAAAAAGGAACTACTTTATTTCTTAAGAAATCACTGCACATAAATCAAAAGATTTGGGATACAAAATAATACATTTTTTATTCATAACACTAACTTTCCGAAATAGACAAAATAAAAAAGGGGAAAATTGAATAAAAACTAAACCAATGTTTAAAAATATAGATTTTTCGCCAAATTATCATGAATTATGTAACCAATAAAACAAGTACATACTTAAGTTTTCATGCCCTGACATTTCCTAGTCAAGCATTCTTACTCTTATGGAGTTAGAATAATCCGAAATTTCATTCAACTGGTATTTACTTTTAAGTTTAGCTTACAAAACAAAAACCATTAAAATTTAAATCTTACTTTTTTTATTTGCATTTTTCAGACAACAAGAATCCAAAATATGACATGTATTCCTCATACAGTGTATATCCATCTGATAGCATGTATCCATCCTATAGCATGTACCAGTCAGATGACATGTATCCATCTTATAGTATGAACCCGTCAGATGACATGTATCCATCTTATAGTATGAACCCTTCAGATGACATGTATCCATCTTATGATATGAATCCATCATATGACATGTATTCATCATACTTCTCATATTCCTCTAGTTACATGTCTTCAACATCAGACATGTATTCCACCGACGAAAGTATGTTAAACGATTATACGTGATACTTCCTAATTATTATACATAATATGTTTTCTCAATGAGTTATATGAGAGCTTAGAATTATAAGAATTTATAATGCGTTTTTCTTATATTATAATATAAAATACTCTTAGATTACAATGAACAGAGAGCAAAAACTGAACCATAATGAATAATTTTTTATCTATTAACGTTCAAAATTCAATCAAAATAGTTTGAGAGGGTGACCTCAAATGTGCCAGCTAATTAGTGAAGATGATAATTTAAGTTACGAAATCAGACACAAAATCGTATTTTCTCAGAATGATTCAGATTTTTGACTCCTAAAATCTAAGGAGTAGCCGCAATTTAGAAAATATACATACACAATGTGTCACGCAAATTTCACCTTATACTTGACCCAGGAGTACCTTTGTCCTTTGGATTGGGTTCAAAATTACAAGGCTATGGGGTTGATATTCGTAAACCAAAAACTGAATCAGCTGTTAGATGGTTATAAAATAAAACATTTTTATTTATGGTTATAAATGAAATATAAAATAATTTTTTTGCTTTTAGATATTTCGTCACACTGTAGAGGTTGGACAGGTGAAATGAGAGATAAATATAATTACTATAATTCAAATAAAAATCTCTGAAATACAGTTAAAGTAGCATAACAAAAGTTTTTGAGTAAGGTCAAAGTTGAAGTTTTCTTTTCACAAGCCGAGGTCTCTGTGGATTGGCAAGTAAAATGAGTGATCAAAACAACCTTTGCAAGTACAATTGAAAACACAACGCAAATGTTTGCGATATATTTCGAAAAAAAAGGCTTGACAATTATTTTCTTTCTATTGCTATTGCTGTGAACTCTAAAATGAAATTTCAGAAAGCAAATAAAAAATATTTATCTTTGAAAGAAAGTTGCAATATGTAGCCTAGTGTATAAAAATGCCAAATATATAAATATCTGCATTTAGAATTTTTGTCACTTTACGTTGATTCTTCTATTGCACGACAGAGCTCAGATTACGTAGAAATCTGAAAAGAACTGAGCTGGAAGTTGCGCAATACCCCTATTATGAGTAAAATAAAGAGCAAAATTATTAAAATCTAAAGAGGCTAGGGTATTAAGCAAGTCTACAGCAAAAAGAATGACCTCTCTTCGTAAGCATTGAAATGAACTTTCCAAGCATTTTTGATGGTCTGTCAACGATAGTGCAATGCCCCCTATTTCTTAAAAAAAGAAAAAAAACTCTAATACATGTTATTTTGTTTTATTCATTTATTATTTCATTTATTTTATTTCATTTATTTGTTTTCATTTATTTTATTTATTTATTTATTTTCATTTATTTTATAAATCAGACCACATGATGTGTTGGATATATTTTCAAAATTCTAAGCAATCATGACCTTATTACATCACTCTGTATAACTCTCTGAAAGGATTTAATTTAATTTGAAAAAGATTCTTAAAAAGATAAATTTGAAAAAGATTTAATTCAAAATGCTCCAATACAATCCACAGAAAAAGCAAAACAGAAAAGCAAAATATTGAATGTCTTCAATTTTTCGTAAATATTTAAAAATAGTGAGAATTTCATAATAATTTATGAAATATTTGATTTTAATTATTCTTCACACATATTTCAGTTTTAAACAAATTAAGCACGTGAAGGTTAATAATTAATAAAATGACTTTTATACTGTCCTAACTTTATGTTATACAAATATCGCAAGTAATTTACATTAAAATTTCAATCTTTACAGGTGACTCATATGCAAATGAAGAAGGTAAAAATCAGAATTATATTTTTTATAACCGAATTCGATTACTTTGAATTACTACTTGAATGAATATCATGTCACTGACTATGTTAGAATAACTGGTTATAACTGTTGAAACTGATTATAAGCAAGAAGTGCATCTTTGATTTCTAATCAAGCATTTATCTTTATCACAGTTTTTAAAAGAATGATAAAAGCATCTTTTTTCAAAATTTTGTGTTTTCTTAAAAATATTTTTAGTCAATAGTTTAATATTTTGAAATTAGTAAATTCTAAATTTCTTTTAAAAACACTCAAATTTAATATCAATATTAGATAAAAAGAATGTCTATTAATAAGCTTACATATCAAAAATTTTAATATGGTAGATTTAAAACATTTCTACATTTTAAATCTCAATAACTTTAATAATATTTCATAAAAGTTTAAAAAGGAAATTACTTAAATATTATAAATAAGCATTACGAATTCATATTTATTTAAATGTTGATGCACAGTTGGTAAAAAAAAAGATATCACCCTGAATTACTTTCGTTCTAATGATCGGATTTTCACGTACTAAGTGCCAATATTAATGGTTTCTGCCGATGACTTCAAATATGCTAAATGTTTAGTGCTAACTATTAATTAAGTTATGAAACTGGACACAAAAACGTACTCTCTCTGAATAAACATACATTTTATTTACATATTTGCATTTTTAATCTTCAAAATATAGGGGTTAGCTGCAATCTGGAAAATGTGGTCCCTATAGTTTGACCGGGAGAGTGATTCGAAGTTTGGACCCCTTAATGTTAATTTCCCTTTTTGCGTTTTTAGTCATGTTTTTAAAACTAATTAAGCAATTCAGAAAAAGTTGCACCTGCTCATAAGACTTATTTCCCCAAAGAAAATTTCATGCAAAAACAAATTTTAATAATTTTCTATTGCTTTTTATTATTTAATAAAATTGAGGCTGAAAAATGTTGAATTATAAGGTATGAATTTTTTATACCATATTAATCTACACATTTTTCAGATGAAAAATCTAATATTTGTAACTGTTTTTATTTAGCTCAGAAAAATGAAAATTAAACAATTTTAAGAAAATAATTTGGTGACACTGAAGAAATACTTAAATGGGGTTATTAATATTAAAATGTAATTAACTTTCGAGGAACTTGACTTCGGGGGCGTAGCGTAAAATTTCATTCATATTTTTTTCGTTAGCAACCAATTGTTAATCTTTTTATTTTTATATTTTTTAACTATAAAATACGATGTTTCCTTTTCAGTCGTCTAAAAATTTATATGTAATTTAGTAAAGAAATTTGAATGAAACATTTTATTGAATGAAAAACATTTTATTCAGCGAAAGTCAAGTTTTATAAAAGCATGCTTCTGATAGAACATGATTATACACCAGATTGTGCTTATATAATGTGATTACATTTTATTTTTCAGTTTGTTTCCTCAATATTTGATACAATTTCAATAATATATATACGTATGCATAGATTTAGAATTATATATTTATCAATTTCTTCAATATATATTTAATAATCATTAATATGAATACGTAGTCAATATTTTTAAGCATCTTAAAATTTCTCAACATCTTATATATTGTCTTAATCTTAAAAAAAAGTTTTTAATCACCTGTCCGGGAGTGTTTCGCTGAACCACTTTATCAACTATTTAATTAAATTTTAGCATTTTTAAAAAACTTATTATTTACGTTACTACTTATAGTATTTCATCATTAATATACCAATCCCTTTTTAGTACTTTAATTTAGGTTTTCTTTAAAGTAACGTTGTTTTCTAAATTATTATCAAGCTTCTTTTTGAAGAAAACTTTGAATTATCGTCTGCTAGCTAAGACTAAAACCTTGTTAAGAAATTTTTAAAAAAACATTCCACTCTTCAAAATTATTTGATGCAAAACATCTGACTATTTACTAAGTATACTATTTTTCCGAAAAATAAATAAAAATTATTGATTGTCCTTTTTTTTTTGCTTTTTGCGACTTCAACATAGATTATGTGAAATAGTGTCGATGTTTTATAAGTCACTACAAAGTGTATAAAGTTACCGAACATAAAAAGCTGTCGAATACGTAGCCAAACTATTTTAGCATCTTAAAATATCTCAATATCTTAAATGACGTCCTAACATCTTAGCTGCGAAATTAAATTTTTAATTATCTGACTACGTGTGATACACAGAACTATCCAACTAATTATTTCATTATATCTTTTACTCTTTCTTAATGATACCATGTAGTTTTTTTCCGGATAATATAGTAAGCTATTTTACTTAATTTTTATTGGTACTTAGAGGTTCTCTTTAAATTGACACTCGTTGTAAGTAACTGCTTAGTTTTTTTAAGTATCAGAACTATAGCCAATTAGTTGAGAAGATTTTTTTCAATGTTAAAATTACTCAGTGAAAAACGTCTGACTGATCGTAGAACATAAGTGCCCCCTTTTCTCTGAGACTGAGCAAATAAATTATTTATATATTTATATTATTGTTTCTTATTTGTTTAGTTTGTGAAAAGTAAATATATATTAGTGCAACTCAAAAATTCACTATTTCTTGCTTTATTTTGTTTCTTTAGTGAACAAATTCGAACCGCAATTTTATTTTGACATTTAAACTTATATATTACACAGTTAATTTTAAAAAAGTTGCTCTTTTAAAATAAGATGTTGAGAAAATTTAGTTTCGTTAAAATTACTTTACAACTTTAGCACGATTCCCAGTATAATATTATAGTATAATTTGTTATTAGGAAAATGCCTTATTTTGTTAAACAGCAAATACTAAAAATTGAAATTTGTTATAAGATTCTAAAGCAGTGCCAATTTTAGAATCATCTGATTTAAAAAAACATGCAATAAAAAATACGCAATTTTCGAACTTATTTTGATTTTTAAAAAACTCACGGCGAGAAAGTTAACATACTTTTTACAGAAACTGTGAAAACCAATTTCACCTATATTTCGTCATAAGAGGATAAGAATGATATTGCTCCAAGGAACCTCGTTAATAATTTCGTTATTTCCAGAATGAAATCTGTTAGATCGAAAAATATTATTCCTTCAAAACTGAAATGAGAAAAAAATTAACTTTTATTATTTATGTAAGCTTATTCCATTTATTTAATGATAGCGTTAGCAAGGTTAAGGATGTGCTATGGAATCCTCGTTAACTATTATACTATAAATGCATTATATCATATAGCTTGAATAATTTAATTTAAGCAAATTATTTCATAATTTTAAGCAAATAAAGGTGTAAAAGTAAACTCGATTGAAATACGCCTAAAGTATACCCTAAAATATATGTAAAATAAACCTTGGAATAGATAAATAAATAATAACTTTTCAAACAACTTTGAGCAGAACGGAAACGCTAAATTGTCTAAATTAGTTACCCTTGTACGACGTATGGCTGCGACTTTTGTTAGCTGTTTTCTGGACTATCGCCAAATAGATAAATCTTTATTGCGACCCAATTTTCGGCCCAATTTTTTCGAGATTTTGTCTACCCCTCTATTTTAAGGGTCAGTAAAATATATGTTTATTCTAAGAAAGTATGTTTTTGTGTCTGATTTCGTAACTTAATTAATAGTTTGCACTAATTAACTAACATATTTGAGGTCACCCTCAGGAACCATTAAGATTGACACTTTAGTTCGTGAAAAATCGATTATTAGAACGAAAGTTATTCAGACTGATATCTCTTTCTTGGTGGACTGTACAGATATTGAGAAAAAATTTAAACTTCTAATTCTTTTTCGCTATTGCTTATATACTTCTTTTCATACTAAAGCTGAAAAAACCAAGCAATATTTTATAATTTTTATTTCTATTTACGTATTATTAGTCTACAAAAATTTTATACGTGGAAAAATCTTGGAAAGAAAAACAAATTTTTTTAACGAAGGGAAAACGTTATTGAGTTAGTTTAATGTAATGAAAATTGTGACATTTTTCTTCCGTGACATTTACGTAAATATAAATTATAATTTAAACACACAGTGTATGCATTAAAATTTCATAAAGAAAAGTAAACAATTTTAATGCATTTCGCGAAATATAAAATGACAGTTTTGATTTGTATTGCAAGTTACACCCAAGTTATAAATTCGTGTGCTTAAAATATTTATTTCTTACTAATATTACAATATCAGTTTTTGCAAAGAGATACAATTTTGTTTATTCAACTATTTTATGCAAAAATGTTTCAAAGCTTGTATCGGTAATTTTGAGTTAATATTTTTTGAGCAGCACCATACAAAATGCTTTTCCCTAATTCAGGATAAATAAATAAACAAAGTAACTCAGTGAAGCACACAAAAATCTATTCATAAATGATGCTTCAACATTCTTTCTTGAGAAAATATACATGGTTTGTGCAATTTTTGGCATAATATTCTTTAAAAGTTAAGTAGTTATGTTATTTCGGTAAAAGCAGTTTAAGCATTTTTCAGTAATATTATTTGTAAATCATCATTACTGTTAGTTGACCAATTTTGTTGTAAATAAAAAATCTTCGCAAGTAAAAAATAAAGTTATGTTTGTTTTAGATAATGATTCGTTTTGTACGCAAAACACAAAACTAATCATCAAATTGATTTATTGATTGAAATTTATTTAGAGTTACTAGAGTTTTTAAAAATATTGTAGTTTAATTTCGTTATTTAATATCTATTAAAATTAAAGTAAGTGGATCAAACTTCACCTTATTACTGATTTCGTATTCTGATTATTTTCACCTTATTATTGAGTTAGTACAAATTTTTAAAAATTGTATTTTTGTATTTATTTTTCATTAATATTTTTATGAAGAGTTTAAAATTGAAATATTATTTCAATACAATACGAAATATAACATTAAGATTCAATATGAATACAGTATACGAAAAAATATTTCAGTGAAAAAATTCGAAATAATAATAATTATTCGTTAATAAAATAATTTTTTTATTATTTTAATTTCTACTTTTACTGGTTTACTTGTAAATGAGTAAATTAACTTTAATATTTTCAAAATTTGTTTAACTAAGTTTCGGATAGATAAAAAGAAAGCAGATTATGTACAAGTAACAATGCCATTAAAAACTATCTGATCACAGTATATTTCATTTAAATGAATTTATTTAAGATATTTATGTTTTCTAATAAAAATAAGTTTTTGACGTATTAATTATCAGTTTAACAAATAACTTGATATGTAATAAGATTTATCTGAACTTAAAATTTTACAATAATAATTATTTAACTTATTGTAAAATGAAAAGTAAATATGTATATATATATATTTAATTTTGTAGATTATACCACTACAACCACACCTGATGGAAATTCCAAAGGTAAGAACCTAGGTATTGATTCGTCCTTTACAAATATAAATATAAAATTTTTCTTTACTGTTCTACTATAATATATATTTGCCAACTACTGAGTTTAGAAATAACCAAACTAAGACCTACCTTCTGCTAATGGCCCTCTGGATCCTCTTAAGAGTTTTGTTTTTCTAACAAATAAGATTGAAATACTAATTTTGAACAGGTAATAAAGGTAAAAGAAGCTTTGTTCTCTTAAAAACAAACTAATGAATTGAAATGATAAGTTTAAATATTTTTAGTACTGATATACAATGCAAAAACTCTCATACTAACCTTCTCCTTGTATTTGTCTCAAATAGAATTTTTCTAAAAAATTCATTCTAAAGGCTGTATTAATTTTAAAAAATTCATCAAATTAAATATTATTTTATAATTTCTTACAAAGCTGTACGGAAGCTCTTGTTTCCGTTAATAGTTTGATTTTTAAATAAAATCAGGAAGAAAGTTTATTAATATTATTTTTAATCAATTAGAAACAAAAACAGAATTTAGCAAACATTTGCTAACACTTTCAAAAATCGTTGAATTTTAAGATCTTCTCTACGTCAAACCAAACTAAAACTCTCATGATCATTTACGCAAAAAAATCTGCATAATTTATGTAAAAAGGTTCATGTAGTAGGCTGTTTTCTTTTCATAAGTTAGAAAAAAGTAGAATGGAAAAAAATTAATAAATCTTTGAAAACACTACATTGTAGCATTCTTTTCCTATGTGAAACCAAGCGTAAACTCTTATATTCACGTTAACCGCACAATGTTTAAAAAAATCGTTAAAAAAGTTTATTCTACTGTTGTTTTATTTTTAATCAATTAGTAACAGCTAGAAATCAATTTGAAATAACTACCATCAAACTAATATTAAAATTTAAGAAAATCTCTCTTAATTGCATTGTATGGAAGCAGCACTAGGACAGAAGATTTTTCTACTATGACAAATGAACATTATGTGCTTGACTCTAAAAATCGCAAAAACTTCAGACGATGAATTCAAAAATCTCTTCTCCTTTCAAAGAAAAGAAAGAAAGAAAAAGAAACTGGGCTTTTCTCAAACAAAATTGCAAATGGTAAAGAAATCACTATTCGTAGAACTAAATTTAATATTAGTAAAAGAGACGTAAACTGTTTTCAAAAAATATCTGCATATTTAATGATAGGTAGATACTTTATTTACGTCGTACTAGAACTATTGGAGAGGGAAATATCCCTGGGGAGAATTCAAAGACATGCAATCACAATTTGATTCTTTAAGGAGGGGAGAGCTCCCGGCATTGGTAGCCCGACCACCTGAGCAAGAAATCGAGCACTTTATTATGGTACAGTTTAACGAGGACCAATACAGCCCACCATCGGTTCCTACGCAAACTGAAAGTGGGAGATCACCCTGCCACTTTCTGACCGCAGCCAGTGATGCACGACTTTGGTGTTCTACTGGGAACCGTACTTTTACGATTAGTCCACTGCGGGACACATATTTGATGAAACTGCATGATAAATGGAAGCTACTTTCTAGTGACAGAAACTCATTTAAGTCTTTATTTAGTTATCCTCATTTGCATAAATAAAACAGCTAAAAGCTATGTCGAGAATTTTAATCGTCTTTTTAATAACATTATTAAATCAGGCCATTAGCAATAAACCTTCCTTCTATACACTATAAATAATGTCTCTCATATTAAAAAATATGATTCTAAAATTTTTTTAAGCACTGCTCTCAGAATGCTTATTATTATTTTGTTACTTCTGTATGAAGATAAGAATATTATGAATTTTAATTTCAATTACTAAAGAATTACTCCTCTCCGTCATTTGTATCAACTAATTTATAATAATGACTGCATTTTTCTTTATAAGACAAGGGGGTGAACAAAGTAGTGGAAACACTTTTATGGTAAGACATTTTATTATATTCCTCCAGAAATACTCAACGAAATATTTTATAACTTCAAAAGTGTTCAGATCATGTAATTTTCAATACAAATAAAAATGAAGTTTAAAGTTTTTAGAGGTTTGAGGAACCGATAATAAATTACAAACTGAAAATAATGCTTTTGAACACCCTATGCCAAAAAATTTAGCAATAGATTTGTAACTTGCGATAGTTATTTTGGCTATTATATGCAATATTTATACGAACTTTCGTAAGCTTAGCTCAAGTATTTATGGATATATGAATATTTTTATAAGAAAAAAAATTTTTTACTACAACATTAAAAATATTCAATAAAGATAAACAAAGTTTTAAATTTATATCGAAATGCCTGCTTTAAAATTTGGGAAAAATTCGTTTAAAACAGCGCAAAATATGAGTAATTAAACTAGTTCATTTATACTGCACATGTGACGGAAAAAATTTTAAAAAATTTCTTAATTTTGCAATGAATCTTAATTAAGAACTAATGAAAAAAAAACGTTTTGAATATCTTAAAAATTTCTAAGTTTTCAAGCAATTAGTAGTTATCGTAGTTTNCTTTATAAGACAGGATTTAAAGGGGGTGGACAAAGTAATGGAAACACTTTTATGCTAAGACATTTTTTCATATTTCTCCAGAAATACTCAACGAAATATTTAATAACTTCAGAAGTGTTCAGATCATGCTATTTTCTATATAAATAAAAATGAAGTTTAAAGTTTTTAAAGGTTTGAGGAACCGACAATAAACTACAAACGGAAAATAATGCCTTTGAACAATCTATGCCAAAAAATGTAGCAATAGATTTGTAACTTGTGACAGTTATTTTGGTTATTATATGCAATATTTATACGAGCTTTCGTAAGCTTAGCTTAAGTATTTATGGATATATGAATATTTTTATAAGAAAGAAAAGTTTTTTACTACAACATTAAAAATATTCAATAAAGATAAACAAAGTTTTAAATTTATATCGAAATGCCTGCTTTAAAATTTGGGAAAAATTCGTTTAAAACAGCGCAAAATATGAGTAATTAAACTAGTTCATTTATACTGCACATGTGACGGAAAAAATTTTAAAAAATTTCTTAATTTTGCAATGAATCTTAATTAAGAACTAATGAAAAAAAAACGTTTTGAATATCTTAAAAATTTCTAAGTTTTCAAGCAATTAGTAGTTATCGTAGTTTTAAAAAGCAAGATAAAATTATAAGGGGTTTTCTTCAAATATAATTTTGTATCGTACTACAGAATTTAATATCAAATAATACCTTACATTAAATGTTCATACACCGTAATTTTATTTAATAATGAAAGTAAACAAGCTAAAAAAAAGTTAGTTTTATGGGGTCCCCAACAATACCGGGTTAATTTTTAATAAATCTTGTTTAATAGTACAAAGTAAAATATGCGGAAAACCCCTTATAATTTTGAGCATTATTTTAAAAAGTGCGAAAACTGCAAAGAAAATTGCTTGAAAATTGCTTTAAATTTTTAAGATGATCAAAATAGGACTTTTTTTCGGAGGCTAAAACCATTCACTATAAAATTGGGTAAATAACATTGTTTTAATTTTTTCCACACTTGCACAGTATAAAAGAACTGATTCAATTACTTACATCTTGTGCAGTTTTGAATGAATTTTTTTCAAATTTTAGAGAACAATTTTCATAGTTAATTTAAAAAGTTTCTAAAAATTTTGTTTGATTTTATTGAATATTTTTAAAGTTCAAGTCTTAAGGAGAGTAAAAAAAATTTGATTTTTTATAAAAATGTCCATTCTCCATGAATATTTAAGCTAAGCTTATGAACTTTCTTGAAAATTATTGCATGTAATGGCCAAAAGAGATTTAAAAATCTCTTGCTACATTTTTATGTCGTAGGATGTTCAAAAACATTGTTTTCCGTTTGTAATTTATTGTTGGTTCCACAAACCTCTAAAAGCTTTAAACTTTATTGATATGTATGAGAATTTGCATGATCTAAGCACACCTGAAGTTATAAAATATTTCGTTTAGTATTTCTGAAGAAATATGACAAAATGTATTAGCATAGAAGTGTCTCCCTAATTTTGTCCACCCCTATGTCTTTTATATACTAGAAATAATGTCTCTATATTATTTTGAAACATTTTTATTCCATTCATAATTCGTTTAGGATTGTTAATAAATTTATTGTTTGTAATGAATCAAAGTAAACAATTTAGCATTTAATGCTTCGACAACATAGAAGCTTATTCTAATATAGAAATAATAGGAGCTTGCAATAATAGAAGCTTAATCTAAATGAAGAATAAATCTTCCTTTATGGTAATTAAATAATTCGCTAATTACTAACAACTATCCTTGGAACTCTAATACTTTTGTTTTAAAGCATAGAAATACAACGAACTTAACTATAAATCAAGCTAATATTTCCATAACAACCATGGTTTTATTTTGGAAAAGAACAATATGTCCTAAATGGATTTCCATATAGGCACTTCAGTTAATAGAGGTTTGCCTTTATGTGGGATGTAGTGCATAGCTTTTAATAAACAAAGAAAGAACTTCTTTTCTATGTACAGATATGAATCATATTATCGTTTTTAATTCAAAAATTCAAAAATGTTTCGTTAGAAGAAAACTTTTGTACGCTATATTTATCCTTATACATTAGGTCAACTATCTTTGCATCCAGAAACTTAAAAACATATAAAAATAAGTTTTAAACTATCATTTTAAAATGTAATCTACATTTTAACTCTAAAATTTTAAAAGTGTCTTTAAATTAAATTGCAGGTAACGAGACAATGAAAAATATGAAGAAGAAGAAGAAAGGTAACGCTTTACTTACCTACATTTATCCTTCTAATTTTGTGAATATATATATATATATATATATATATATATATAGAGAGAGAGGTCCAGAGTTTGGACCCCTTAATGTTAACTAACTTAACACATCATTTTTTCAGAAAATTTTTTTTATGGCGAACTACAAACTCGCCGAATAGTTCCTGAAAAATATAATTTTAAATATACGACTTCCTTAGAATTTAAGATCTCAGGAACCGTATGACCAATTTCTTTAAAATAATGTACTTTGCCATAAAAAAGTGCTGTTTTTTTAAATTCTTTTTTTAAAAAAACTTTGTTATTTTTAGAAACAAGCTCTTTTTAAAAACTTGTGAATAAGAGTTACTTCAATATAAAAGATAATTTTTTTTTGTTTTTGTTTTTAGTTCGAACTTTCAAACTGTTCTTTTTTTGTAATTTTTCTGATTTTTAAACGATTTCTGAAATGTTTTTGACCAATTAAATGTGGTTACCTNTTTATATATATATATATATATGTTCTTTATCTAACTATTCAATTGCCTCTGTTTTACAAAAATCAGTGAAAGCGGCAGAGGTTATTGATTGGTTACGAAAGCATAGCCAATTTTTAAAGAAAACCGGTAATGGTATTTACAGGCAGACGATCTGCATTTATTTCCTAGAAATTGAAATAAAGATGTGCAACAAGGAAAATATTACATATGTTGCCCTAATATTAGAGGCGTATTAAGATGCAATGACCTGGTCACGAAACTAAATTCTACTATAACAACAGTCCTTTCTGCTGCAGACAATCCGAAAAATGTTTTACCCACTGTTGTGCTCAAAACGTCTGATGTGTTGTGTGTCATATTTCGCGATTGAATGCAGCCTACCGTTTTCTTTGTCGTGTTTCCGTTTCGGAGTTTCGAAAATTCACGTGACACATTTTTTAATGACTTTTTTCACTTTGCCTCTAGGATTTGCCATTTAAAAGTTCTTGCTTACCAGTTATTCTGTATGCATTACAGCAAAATGACAACGTTCATGAGTTGTTTTAGTGATTTTGGTCTGCATTTCGTCAAGTATTATTATTAAATCGATTCCATTAACAGTTTTGTTAATAGTTTGTTCTTTGGAATCATTATGAGCTGTTGTTTGAAGAAGAGTTTTTATGGCAGTTATTTGATCATAAGTTTAGGTGCTTCAAGTAGTTAAAAATGTAAACTATCTTGAATGACCATGTGTTATGGAGAAAAACCAAAATCATAAACGTAAATTCTCTTTGCACATGTTCGCTGTTCAATGGTGTAATCGAATTCTTGGGGATGAACAACCTAGCGATGCAGGAGTGCATTTTTGTTTAAAGGGCATACTATAGCGTGACAGCCAGAATAATATTAATTTTACCGAGAACGTAAGTGCGATTTTTTCTGTTCTCCTATACAGCTACTAAATTTAGTTCTGAACAGATTTATATTCCTTCCTAACCTTATGTTGTTGTTTTTTTGACGTATAAAACACTGGGTGAAAATGATTTTCATATATAGATTCTGAATTAGATTGCTCCCAAACCATCTATCGACTCTCCTTAGTGAATCTTTGAAGGGAGATTTCGATTAAAGTTACTTAAAATGGATTGCTGATAAAATAAATATTTTAATTTCAGAAATGCGGCTTTTTGATCATTTTGAAGTTAAAAGAGGCTGTCTTTACAAAAGAGGTCACTTCGACATTTTGCTGTAGTTTAAAAATTTTAGTGTGAATTTTGAACTAAAAATATAATGGTTCGAAAAAAAATTCTTTAAAACATCTAAAAATTCCGTATTTGTATATAAAGAACTTAAACTAAGCAATTGAAGCAAGCATTTTACGGTTCATAACGCTCTGGCAATTTCGGTTGACCAGAGTTTTTTCTTTATGATTTGTTCACGAGCAATGTATTGCATTAAAACTCTATTGCTGCTGAAGTTTACAGTTATCCTTAAGGCAAAATTTCTTTGCTAAAGATTCATTTCATTTCTAATCACCCGTGAGCGAGTTGCATTCAAACCTAAAATGATAAAGTATAATTAGAATTAAATCTACTCCTCTTGACTTATAGAGATCTATATTTTAAAAACTGTATAAACAATACTTTACATACTACTTTAAATCAAATCAATCATCTTCTATAATTTATTATTTTCTTATCTCCTGTAAATGAAGCAAAAAAAAACTACAATTTTCATCAATTTGCATAGAAAAATATTCTTTCGAACATTCTATTCTAATTTATTACTTTCTTATCGTCTGTAAATGAAACAAAAATACAATTTAATTTGGTCAAACTTTACCAATTTTCATAGAAAAATATTAATTCATATATTCCTTTATAATTTATTATTTTATTATTTCTCGTGAAGGAAGCAAAGCTACAATTTAACTTGGACAAATTTTATAAAGGTAACTTGTACTGCACGGAATCAAGCCTTTGCATCTATGATTTTGCTGAATTTTTTGTACCGCTATATATATTTAAATTTTATTTTCGTAAATAGCATCAGTATTTATATAGATTTGTCCTTAAAGCTGATTATTACATTTCCAGGAAAGTCTGCTTGTTTAATTCACTGTATCTAATTCATTTTTCTAACATAAAATCTCTTTTTTTTTAAAGGTTTGCTTGGTAACATATTAGGTGGAGTTGGAAATGTCTTACACAAATTAGTGAATGGCCTAGGAATGACTCTTGGAGACGTGGTTAAAGGATTAAAAAATCTGCTTTCCGATCTGGGAGATGTCGTAAAAAAATTACTTTCAGCACTTGGATTAGCATAATGTTAAATAAGACTTTTATAATACGGGTACACTTGTTTATTTTATAGCCATCGTGTAAAAATGTTTTAATCATATTGTGTTATTTCTTCAAGAATATTTCAAAACATTTTTCAAGATTTTTTCAAAACGTTTTAAACAATTTCCAAAAAAAAGAAGAAAAAATAAAACCAATTTAATTGTGTAAAAATAAACCCAATTTCTGGAATAATTATTCCTCTTCATTTGTCATTACTCATAAACATTCCTCATGCTGTCCATTATTTTTTATAAACATTTGGAACAAACAACCAGAAACATTTTTATTGGATTAAGCAATATGTATTAAATTATGAGACGTTTCAATAACATGCGATATTTGGTCTATTTTCACCCTAATTTTTTTAATCTATTTCAAATGCTCTAAAATTACTTTTTGGTTAATATTATTTCTTAATATCTTATTTTCCACAAAACTTATCTTGTTCATCAGTTTAAAAAATTAAACAAAACTGAATTGCTTAGTTTTCAAGAAAAAACTGTTCAATCAATAAAAAGGTTAATCAGCGATTTTTCCTTCTAAAACAAGAGAATCAAATCTATTCCTTTAAATGGCTAATCCAAAATTATCTTTTAAATAATACATAAAAGGGAATATTTTATTGATAAAAGTTTTATTCAATAGCTAAATTCAAATTGCCACAAATTCAATCTATTTTTCAAAACGTGTTGCCCAACCTGCCTAGATTACTCAGGTTTTATTTAAAGTCATATGACTAATATAGGGCTTCTAAAGTTGTTTAAAATAGTTGTAAGAGTTTTTAAAAGAAGAATTTCATTTACAAAAGATTAAAGAAAAATATCTTTCTTCTAAATAAATTTTTTTTACTGGAAATTAATATTTAAACACACTTTTCCTTTGAAATACTAACTCTTTGTTATATCTTTTGGTGAAGGATAGTTGCTTTATTAATTGATTTTTTTAATTATATTTTTAATTATTAATTATAATTATTATTATTATTTACGTTTTTAATTTATTTTTTTTTATTTCCAATGAACTGCAGAATCGGTCTTGCCGATAAACAGAACTAGTGCGTTCTCCAGAGGTGGTATCCACTCTTTCAGGATCACCACAATGGGTGAGATACTGTTGGTCATGTTAATTTGGACGTCTAGTTTTGTCACACTAGATTTCAGCACCGAGACTCTATTTGCGTGTTAAAGTGCACTAGGAATTTAATTTTGCCGGCAATGCCAAGAGCCAATAATGCACTCCAGGGATCTTTTACATGCCGCATAATCAGACGACATGGCCGCTGAGAATTTTCTGAATCCCGAAAATCCGGTGTCTGGGCCGGGGATCGAACCAGCGGTCTTGGGCTCAGAAGGCCGACGACAAACCAACTGCGCCACCCAGTAATATTTTAAGTAATATTTTTAATTATGGATAGCAAACTTGTTGTTTGTAAAAAATACAATTTTCTGCACCTTTGAGTATTACCAGTGGTTTATTAAATGTAATTTAAAATTTTATACAAAATTAAACCTAACAATATGTCTTTAAATTATTAGTTTTGATCTAATAACAAACTTTAGTAAGCAAGATGAAATAATAATTTTTCATTTAAACTGCAAAACCACTTATTTTAAATTTTATCCATAACCCGTTTTTATTATAAACCCATTTTTGTAAACCCTCTAATAATTAAGCTTTTAATGATAAACTTTCTGGTAAGTGCTTATTTATACGGATTTCGTACAGCTCTTATAAACTGCTCTCATATGAGAATTTTCCTCTAAATTCATATTTCGAAATCAAAATCCAAGCAATACTTAAACTAAAAAAGCGAGACTTTTTAATACGATTATTAATAATTGTCTCGAGTAAGGGGCATTTGGAAAAAAGAAAAATATTTAAAATCTATTAATGTAATTTGGATAACTGAAAAAAATTTAAGAAAGCTGTTTCATACATTCTAGGTTAAGGTTCTAATGTGACCGCTCGAAATTTTAATGTTTGCAACTCCTCAATTCTGTTTATAAATATATTTTAAATACCCTGCTTTTTCCAGATTTTATTTTAGTCTCGCATCTATTTTTTAATATTAATATAGTTTCTAGTCGATATGCGTGTATTTCCCAAAATTTGTCATGTTACCTTACAAATTAATAATTTTTGGTCTTGCGACGTTGTTAATTAAATCCAGACTTCTCATATAGTAACATAGTTTAACAACTAACGATTTACGCATAACAGTTCATAATTAGCTAAAAGTATAATTAACTAAATAAAGGCAAAACAAAAATGTGTCCATAGAGTTATGGAATGCAATGACAAGGTATCTACATCTAATGGTATCTCATAATAATAGGCATGTATTTTATTTTTGCTTTTAAAATGCATCTAAAGTAAACATTATTTTTAAAAGCATGAAAAAAAGAGATCTAAATATTCACAGTATCTATTTCAGGCAATATTAGTGTTAAATATTCATATGTTTCTTAAAAAAAATCAGATTTTGAAAATTGTAGCAGTTATGCATATCACCTTCATCAAGTTATTTAGGCTGCATTATGTCAAACAAAACACTGTTAATTTCCTAATTAAACATTAATTTCCTCACTATGACGTTATTTCTTGTGGAACATTATGTAAATTAATAAAAAATAAAGATATATTCTTGAATAGAAAGAGTTGCATCAGTTAATCAATAATTTGTGCAATTTTAGCACAATTACGTTTTCCGTGGCTCCATTCTGCTTAATAAAGAGTCGGCCATGTCTCCTATCACGCAGCACGCTATCGAAAACTTTTGTAGATTGTACCCCTAAGATCAAGAAACTAATAATAATTTTTCAAAAATGTTTTTATTTAAAACGAAAATGCTGCAAGTAAAAGGACATTAAGTTTGACTGCAAAGAGAACGAGATAAAATTGAAATTTAGGTTTGTTTATCATTATATTAACATAATTTCATACAATTATACTGCATATGATCACGAAATTTTGGTATTAATATATGCCATTATTCTACCTTATATTTTTTTCAGCTCATTCGGTGGAAAATATTTCTTTTCCGTATCGTTGACCAAACTAGCAATTTAGATTACAGATTCTCAAACTTTATCAGTCACGAAGCATCTTTGGAAATCTAAATTTAAGGCCGAGCTTTAAATTTTATTTCTCAGCAATATATTGTATTCAGTAAATTTTTTTAAACGACAAAATAGCGTTATTGTGTTCTTATTTAGGCTATCAAGGCATTAGGTTTCACCATTAAGAAATACTTTTGGAATAATTTCCCAATGCACGAAGCAAAATCATAGTTAAAAACTGAAATTATAGTCATGTAAAAATGGCAGATCTATAATTGACATGTTGTTAATGTGGAGCTATTACCTATACCATAAATTTTTACTTGGTTACGCTAAACACAAATTTGACTAGAAAAATATTTTTTTTTTGTACAATGGGGTTATCTTTGCCTAGTGTTCGATTTATATTATAAAGGGTTGCTTTTTATTAAAATTTCGTTTGCCAAATAATAGACGAAAACTAACTTATTGAATACTGAATATGGTTATAAACATATTCATATAAATATATTGTTTTTTTTTCTTACACGTCGGAAGCATAAAAATCATATAACTCATATATTTTTTTCACGGAAATATATTTGTTTAAATTTGTTTCATTAACTTTGTTTTTGCATTTTTAAACATGTGTCCTAACTTTTTGCGATGAATTGAGTACTCTGAGAAATTCAGTATAAGAGCCTCTAATATAGATCAATGAGCGTTACTAAAAATGTTTGGAAATAATTTTACCCAAATAGAGCAGTGTTTCCCAAAGTGTGGTACGCGTACCCCTAGGGGTACGGGAACAGTTTCGCGGGGGTACGCGTTCTTATGCGAAATATCTTGCAACAAACGAAAATTTCAAAAAATTTTATTTAAAAACAAACCTAGTCATGAAAATTTACGATTACGTATTTTTCTATTGGCTATTTTTTGTGGAGTTACCAGTTAATAATGAGTGGTGTCAACAGCCAGGTGTGAGTTTTAACTTTTGTGCAATTTTTTATAGTAAAAAATACATTTATTTTGTTATTAGTGCTACACAGAATTACAAAAAATTTAGGAAGGGTACACAAAAGTCATAAGTTTGGGAAACACTGAAATAGAGGAACGGAGAAAATATACATTATTTCGCTTAATATCTAAAAATAGACGCTTATTTCATTGAAACTATTTTGTCACCATTTTCTTCAAAAATATTAAATAAGGCTAAGACAACTCCTTTAAAATTTACTTTTTGATTGTTAAATAGAATTGAAATAAAAATATATGCAACTACTCAAACTTTATTTAGGTGAAATGAATTCCATTTTACTTATGAAATTTATAATTTATTTAATCTTGTGTTATAAATTGATAAGTAATAAGTCCAATATACTGAAGCAAATAGGAAAAAACTAAACGGAAATAAGAATTTGCTGTAATTATCAGTCAGAGAAAACCCATTTCTTGCGGAAGTTAAATGTGTTTCTTCTGATTTGCTACTACTTTGACTTGAAGGCCGAGAAGAAGTAGAGATTGACCCTGCATTTTTTACAACAAGCCACTTAGCATTTTCGGATTCTTTCTTATTCCTATTATTGTCAACAATCTGGGTTACCTCTTTTGATTTCTGCAATAAAAATAATTTCAATTAATAATACTTTAACACAAAAAACTATTGTAAGTATATTTTTAAACTCAATTGCCTTATTAAATTGTTAATTTCATGAATGTAAGGAAAAAAGTATTCTTTTGAAATCTTCGAAAATATTGTAATGAGTTATTGATATATTCCAATCTTCTGAAAAAAGACAATCATCTTTTTTGAAATATTGCATTCAATTAGTTCTTAATCAGAGAAACAAAAATATAATTAAAGACCTGCAAAAAAAGTGTGTGTACAAGTAATAACTATACACAAATATAGTGAAGTTTCTTCCTTAATATTAGTCTATTACTTGACATTTAGGTCAAAAAAAACTTTCGTTTTTGAAATAGATATTCTATTTTCCCAATAACTTTTTTCCATACATCATCTGCATTTTCCCCCATAAAGCCACAGACTTGGGCATCTTTACAAGTTTACCTTATTTAAATTCATCTTCAATTATTCATTGAAATAATTAAAATAGCCATCTTTTACTCACGTGCGGAGAGTTTTAACACTAGATAATGCAAAAATTAAAAATAAAAATAATAAATTAATTAACCAAGATAGAAATGTACTTTTTTCTGTATGCCACTTATTAAAAGAGTTTTTATTCCAATTAAAAAAAAATTTATTTCTACTTATGTTCCAAATCATTTCATTTTAATTCTTATTCTTATCAAATTTCAAGCTTTTGTATTTAAAACTGAAAAATTCTTCATAAAAATTATGCTATCCTTATCACCAAATGAAACTTAGTATGAATCAGAATTTCGACTACATTCCGAGTAGTTAGAGTACTCATATTCCAGCTGGAGCTAATGACTGATGATAATAGAAGCTACAATTATTTTCAAAAATTAATTAAAATTTAACACTAATTAAGCAAAATTACTAATTCAAATCTAAAAGTAAAAAGTGATAAAAATAAAGTAATTTTTAGAATTAAGTTTTAAAATTTACTAAAATGTATAAAATCTTTAAAATAATTTAGTCAAACCAAAGACCGAGAATTTAGGGTGCATCACTAATGTAATAAACTTTTGTCACCTTCAAAAATCCCCCACTTCGTCTTTAAAAAGTGATGACCCCTTACAAATTTCGTCTGGCAAAAAAAAACAATTATTTTCTCCTCAACTAATACTGGGGAATAAACTCTTGGTCCCTTTTACACAAACCCTTTCTCCTGTCTGATTCTTGTATGGGGAATAAATTTGAAATAATTTTTGCTCTTAAAGCTGCAGAGTTTTAAGAGTAAGAGACTCTTGATCCTTTTTATACAAATCCCTTCTCCTGTCTGATTCTTGTATGGGGAATAAATTTGAAATAATTTTTGCTCATAAAGCTTAAGAGTTTCAAGAGTAAGAGACTCTTGGTCCCTTTTATACAAACCCTTTCTCTTGTCTGATTCTTGTATAGGGAATAAATTTGAAATAATTTTTGCTCTTAAAGCTGCAGAGTTTCAAGAGTAAGAGACTCTTAGTCCCTTTTATACAAACCTTTTCTCCTGTCTGATTCTTGTATGGGGAATAAATTTGAAATAATTTTTGCTCTTAAAGCTGCAGAGTTTCAAGAGTAAGAGACTCTTAGTCCCTTTTATACAAACCTTTTCTCCTGTCTGATTCTTGTATGGGGAATAAATTTGAAATAATTTTTGCTCTTAAAGCTTAAGAGTTTCAAGAGTAAGAGACTCTTGGTCCCTTTTACACAAACCCTTTCTCTTGTCTGATTCTTGTATGGGGAATAAATTTGAAATTATTTTTGCTCTTAAAGCTGCAGAGTTTTAAGAGTAAGAGACTCTTGATCCCTTTTATACAAACCCCTTCTCCTGTCTGATTCTTGTATGGGGAATAAATTTGAAATTATTTTTGCTCTTAAAGCTGCAGAGTTTCAAGAGTAAGAGACTCTTGATCCCTTTTATACAAGCCCCTTCTCCTGTCTGATTCTTGTATGGGGAATAAATTTGAAATAATTTTTGCTCTTAAAGCTTAAGAGTTTCAAGAGTAAGAGACTCTTGGTCCCTTTTATACAAACCCTATCTCTTGTCTGATTCTTGTATGGGGAATAAATTTGAAATTATTTTTGCTCTTAAGGCTGCAGAGTTTTGCTTGAATGACATTCTTAGTTTTTTTTGTTTTCCGTCCACATGTACAAGTTTAAAAACGTTGCATATAAATGTTGCAACAAATTTCTAGGGAAGGTAAGGCTCATCATCAGGATTAAAATTGCAAAAAAAACCATGCCCGAAACTGTCGTCATGCGCGGGTAAGGACGCTTCCCTGATACGACCTGTTTAGAAGCATAGTTCGAAATAGAAAGCGGCTTTAACGGCAGATGGTGACAGTTCCGGGCATGGTTATCTATACAATTTTGTTTCTGATGATGAGCCCTAACTCCTCTAGATGTTTATAGCAAGATTTGGTGATCTCCTGTTATGTATAACGTTTTTAAACTTGTACGTTTTGAAAAAAGAAACTAAAATTAACATTTTAAAAAACCGTAGTTTGGAGAGAGAAACCGATTGCAGATTTTAAATCAGTGACGTGTGACGTAAGAATATCCAAAATCTGTTAAGAAATCGCATGCACCAGAATGCGAAAAATAATTTGTTTCCCAGTGTAATCTCTTAAGAACAAAAAACAAATTGTTTTCTCCTTCATTGCTTCTCTGCGTTTGAAAAATATTTTTCTTATTTTTGTTTATTTTAAAGTGATAATACTTATTTAAATTTGAAATTTTCTTACAAATAACAGTACATATGTGGAAAAATCACTTACTTTATTCGATAATTATTTTGCTAGTCATATAATCTACATTAAAATTATGACATCAGAATTGGTTTGTACATCAGAATTGCGTAGCAATGGCAGAAAGTGGATTACTCTACGTCAATCTTAGATTGCCAGACTTACCACTAAATGTCACCATCATATGGAGGAATAAGACGAAACCAATACCATATTTTTCTGACTATATTTTATTTTTACATATCAAAAGGAATTTTTTTAACTTCTGTAATAGCTATTTTTTAAAAAAGTTCACTTACTACCTTTCCTCGGCAACTGAAGCTTTTCCCAAAGCACATATTGTAACTTATGGCAAACTCAACTAGTGTAGAAAACACCATAAATATACATACAAAAAACCATATGTCCATAGCCTTTAAATAATTTACAGCTGGAAGTTGTTGTCTGTATTGATACACCTGTAAAACAAAGCGTCATAAATTATTACTATTTATCTTTTCTTTTTTCATATAAAATAATACTGCTCTGCATAATTTTTCGAGTTGGCCCTTTTGACTGTTTTTTTATAAATATGAGGATCTATGTGTTTTTGTAATACCCATTCAGTTTTACATAAATATAAAATTATTTTCTGATTGAACTGCTATGACTTTTGCTAAAATTATCAAGGGAGAAGCTTCGTTTACTGAAAAATATAAATTTATGAAATAATCTGACTTGAAAGAATTTATTCTAACTCAAAACTGAAATTATTTTCTTCATACAAAAAATATTATAAACATGTAAATGTTTATTAAAAAATAAAAATTCCTTATTTCAACACTATATTAGGACAAATGGATGCATTTATTTACGTTATTTTTAGATGCATACCACATATAAAAACAGCTTAGAAACGTGGATTTTCTGATTTTAAAATGAGCGTAAAACGGACCTTCAGTAGAGAGAATATTTCACTTGATACTTAATTAAGGATACATTTGTTTTATGCTTATTATTACGTATCGTGTTACGTCCGTAACAACTAGCTTTTAATTTTTAAAAAATTGTTTTTTTAAAAATAGTCAACAAAAATAGCACACTAACATTAAGTCAGTAAATATAAATAACACCAAGTGATATTCTGACAAAAACTATTTGAACTGTTTGATATTTTTAAATTTAAATTAAGATGCATTTAAAGTTCGCAAACATGGCACTTCTGTTGGTGGAATATTCTAAAACTTTTCATTAAAAACTTTAAATAATATTCAGAAATGTTTCAACCAAGTTTATTTTCCAAATTCATATATTTTAAGAGTAAAAGTTTCAAAAAAAAATTTAGAAAATTATATCATAAATTACGTTAAATTATGTATAACTAACCGTAACTAAATTTACGTACAATTTAAGAATTTTTTTTTAGTTTATTAATTTTGATGTACTATATCTCACACAGAGAGTAATGTTTGAAAAAAAGTGACTAATTTATTTAAATATTAAGTATTGCTCCTTTTTTGAGAAAAAATTATGAACCTAATTATTACCTGAGTAATAAGTGTCAGAAGTGATGTAACACAGAGAGCTACTCTTGCAGGAACTGCGTCTACTTGCAGCCAAAAACCAACAAAACTCATGATCACAATCATAGTAGAAGGTATGAATGTATTAATAACACTTCCACTCAAAAGACGAATCAAAGTAAACTCGGCAATCAAACTTGTATAGTTACCTATAAAAAGTATAAACTTAAAAATTTAAAGAAATACAGACACACATACAGCATTTAAATATATATATATATACTCTTGTCTGATTCTTGTATAGGGAATAAATTTGAAATAATTTTTGCTCTTAAAGCTGCAGAGTTTCAAGAGTAAGAGACTCTTAGTCCCTTTTATACAAACCTTTTCTCCTGTCTGATTCTTGTATGGGGAATAAATTTGAAATAATTTTNAAGATTTATATATATGTATATATATAAATTGTTTTAAATTATAAATTTTGCAGAAGCTAAGCTAACAGCTATATTTTAACTTCTTCAGGACCGTGATCACAAACACGTTATCACGTGATTTCCTCCTCGTGGTTCACGGTATCATATATGAAACGATCTTTTTCTACTCCAGTGGCACAAAATCATGCTGACATACTACATTCTTCTTTCGCAGGTACTATACTGGTTAATTAGGGTACAAAGAAATTAGAAATTTAAAAAACGTTATTGTTTCGAACTAATTGCTTTGATACTTTTAAGATTGTTAAGTTATCGAAGTTTAATGCTGTACAAAATTTACACGAAGATGAACTTGTAATTTTTTTTTAATATGGACTTTTAAAGTCATTTTGTTATATCTCAAAGCATTTTTTTGCAATCGGAAAATATTTTTTATTTTTAATAATTTTTTATGTGTTGGTTTATTACGTTTTCGAAATTTCTGCACACACATAAAACACTCCATTCAAAAATATCAAAAATATTTAAATTGCTTAGTATTGGTTCTGTTTTAATCATTACCAAATATATCATATTTTATACCTACATTAGTATATATTACATTAGTATTGGTATTTATTGCATAACCCTTCAACATTTAAGTGTTGTGAAAAATATATTTGTCAGTAACTACCAACTGAAGCCGAAATTTTAAAAAAAAGTAGAATTCTTATCAGAACTTGATATTGATTTTGGAGCGTAGTCATCTCAATCTAACCTTTAATTTACTGCTAAAATATTTATTAGTGAAAGAACAAATTTCTTTTAATTCTCGTTAATTAAAATATTAATAAACTATCGTTGCTGCCACTGGAAAAAATATTTTGTGAATCTACGGAATATGTAGAATTCTTATCAAACCAGCACCAGTGACTATTTTTTGATCAAATAGAGCCATTAGCCAGCAAATATAGCTGATTTTATCTTTGAATATATGAAAAATTGAATCCTTGAATATAAAACAATGGCTAACGTTTAATCAATCAGAAAATTCTTTTTTATTTTTTGCTCAGCCCATTCAAATGGTTCGTCATAGAATGTTCTCATGTCGACAGTGACCTTCCTCGTGCTTTGAACTATCAGTATGCCAAGTTTCACAGCTTTCGGTCGGTTGGTTTAGGAGTCTATGAAGGACAAACACACGCACACACGACATTATTTTTTATATAGATAGATAAAATTTACTTCGTTCATTTCAATTCTTTTTCAAATATAAATAGCTGCTAAATATAATAACCGGGAAAAACACAATAACTTTGAGTTAATGGGTCACACAAGATTTTATTTATTGTCTTTTTGTGTTGAAAAGGAGCAAAACTTTTTTAAATCATATATTTCACTTTAGTACCATTTCTTAACATCAAATGAAGTAACTTACCGGAAGTATACGTCACGGTCTAATTTCTTAATATTCGAGATCTACCTGATGTCTTCGTAGAAGTTCAGATAACAGATGTCTGTTATTTTTGGATTTTTTTATTTAAAATAGGTTTTTTTTTAAATAAATATTTAATAATGTGAGGTATTTTTCTCTTATTGTAAATTACAGAAATTATTGATTAATAATCTTCTATGTTTATATAGGTAGAAACATGGAAATTTAAATAAATAAATATTTAATAATACAACGTATATCTCTCCTTTTGTTATTTTCAAAAACTATTGATTAGTACATTTCCATATTTATAAAGGTTGCTTTTAAAATTAGTAAGATACAAATTATGCATCTGTGTATAACAATGTTAAAAAAGATAGCGTGATTTAAAATCATCATTAAAGCTTCGAATTACTTTTCAATACTTTTTTACATACATAAATATCGCACCCGTGCAACAATAGCAATAACTCGAAGAAAGAAAAATTTCGAGATGCACAAAAATATGTCCCCAACTGCTATTGATTTATCAATAAGTCATTAAGTTGAAAGCGACATTTTAAGAAAACTTAATTCACTAAAGTTGAAACAACTTGCGTGATCGATAAAACTTATTTTTCTATACCTAATGGTAGTTTTAATTTTAAAAAAAAGGAAGTTAAGGTTAATAGTCTTAGTCTAGTTAATAGTCTTGCCAACAATATTTTATAATGCAGTTTCAATTTGAGTACCACATCGAAATACCGGTGCTTAAAAATAAGATCATTTTCTAGTGTGGGTCAATTATCTTCAAAACTACAGGATATATGATAATTTTTAGGAAATACGTTGAGCATACGTTGAGCATACGCAAGAGCATACGTTGGTAAAATGCAAATAAAAGTAAGAGATTCCTCCCCGTTCTTGCTAATGCTCACCTATCCCCAGAACTGCTTATAGATTCCCTTGCGGATTGCTTCGCTGGCTCATTGTTACGTCACTTCCGTCTAGCTTCGTATATTGTTCGGAAAACTTATTTTTAGAATAAAATTTTGGGTCATATAACTTCTCGCTATACAAAATTTTAAGTGTATATTTGATTTATCGTTACCCAACTCTAAATATATACATTTCTATATTAATTTGAAATTCCAAAAAGTTTAAAAAATTTTCTGGATTACATAAGTGTTTAAAATGACAACAGTTACAAGTTCTCTTTTTAATCGCAGAGCTGTAAAATGTATAAGGACCAAAGAAGAGTATAAGAATAATCATAAAAACGGTTTAAAATTAAAGTGGTATTCGATATTTGAAATAAGTTGAATAAAGTTGTAAAATGTTTAAAAATATTAAAAAGATCACACTAATAAAGCAAGCGAAAAATAAGGTATTGTGCAGTGTAAGTAAGGTATTGTGCAATTAAATGCCTGAAAGAGATTATTCATATTATAGCAGCATATGTGCATGCAAAAAAAAAAATTTCAATAGAATTTTTAAACTCGCCTTGCAGCTCTTCGTTGCTATTTCAACATGTAAAAATGAAACCATTTAGATTCAAAGGAATTCGTTTCTGCTTTTTACTAACACGTGAAAAAAAAGTTCCGTGATTTTCTTTATTTATTTATTAAATGCTCGGTTTTGTAACCACGTACACATAAGCGTTTTACATAATATAGATACTTCTTTAGCAGGTAGCGTGATACTCGTCTAAACTCGGATGGTTTGAAACAGAGGTCACAGAATTAAACAAAAAATGGGTTACTGAGAGTTTTAGAACCCTCTTACAGGTCTTACAAAGTGGTTAATTGCTGCAAATAAAGCAGTTTAGAAGTTCCAACAGCAAATGTTTCCAATATTCCAGCTACGCTCTTTTCTGCCCCTAGAAGGTTTTCAAAGGGGAGTTGCAAGTTATAACTCCCAAAATATCTCAAATATGCTTAATAAGGTTTATGTTGAAATACTTGGCTGCCCAGTCCCTCTGGTAAATATTTTCCCTTTTCAAAAATTTGTCAACCAGATGAGCTCACATTGTCCTTATCATCCATTAAAAACTAAGACATGACTAATTTCACTCTTAAGAAGCAAGCATTGGTCTTCAAATCATTATCCGTATACCTCAAACCAGCTAAGAGTCTCTAAAACATGAAAGAGTGTGCGACCATTCTACTCAAGGCATGCCCAGACCATCAAACCACTGCTCTTATATTCATAAATTTCTCATATTTCAGGGCAGATAGTGAGTTCTTAATTTTAATGGTTCTAATATTCGCGTAAAAATAGGATCTAGGGGTCCACTCTCTGCTCCCCAGTACTCAATATATTGAGCTTTTTGTCATGACATGGAGTGATGCGTTCTAGAATTTAATAGTCTCAGCAGGCTTCGCATTGAATGGCGGCACACCTCTTCATGTTTGAAAATGGTACTTTTTCCAGTTCGAAAGTGAAAACATTAGTCCTTGAGCCCTATGTTTGTTTCGCATATGTACCTTGTTTCTCAATCAATGGCGACAAATTGAGAACACATCGAACACATCTGATCGACTATTTTCTGGAATGTTCAGCCAAGACTTCAGATCAGAACATAAAAGAGCATATTTGAGAACTTGAGAGGTTCCAAGAAGAGCAAGTTAAACAAGTAACAAGTTAAACAAGTAAACGTTCCTGAACAAGTAAGAGCAATTGAAACTTCGATATGATTTGATATTCGATTTATTTCAATATGAGATCGTGTGGCAAGACCTGCATGTTTAAAAGAGAAGCTATATACTATCTAAAATAATTGTTTGTTCTTTTTTATTTTGTAACCTTGGATCACACCTTTTGACCTCTTTGAGTATTACGCTAGATTGGTGAATGTGCTTTATAGCTGTATAGTGATTATTTTATTTGAATCATATGATTTGTATTTTATTTGTGGTATATACTTGTATTATCTAATCTACGTTACATACCAAATTTCATTAGAATCTCCATTAAATTCCTTCAAATCAGTTCTATGTAATTTCATTTTATAAACTATTGAGTTTAATTTTCAATAGGTATGATATTCAGGGAGTTGAATTTATCAGTAACGAACAGAAAATTAATTGTTTCCAATAATATTTTTAAGAAGCATTTTAACAGAAAAATAAATTAAAAATAAAATTCAACCACAAAAAATACATTTTTACAGTCCTACATTGTGAAAAAATTGGCGTTACATACCTTCAGACAAAGTTTCAGTCATGAAATAAGCTTTTGGTTTGCTTACGTGAAATAATAGTAGTTCAGGCTGTCTGATCATTTCACAAGATTTGTACGCATTTTTGTATGGACTGTTCTCATTACCAACCCAACTCAACTGTGACACGTCATCAGAAGTCACTGAAATAGAATCCATGCAGCAACAATAAATATCAGAAAAAAATATCTACTTGTTGTCATTCAGTACAGCAACGATGGGTTAACTTTTTCATCGAATGATCTAATAATAAATGTAAAAAATTTATAACCGGAGAAGTTTATGTGTTTAACTCTAGTAAAATATTATACTAAGGAGGAACCCTTCCCGGTTACGTTTTTGAATTTGAATCAATTATCCCTTTTAGTTTTTCTTGTCAATAAAATTCAGATTCTTAAAGACTCTAAAGCAGTTTTAATTATTATTCGGCTTAAAATTAAGAATAGTTAATGTTTTTATTTTAAAAGAACATTTTGTGGATTTTTTTCAAAACTGTAAATTTCATGTCAGATGGAATTTTTTATTTGGAATTTATTTTCTACCTTAATCACCTAATACATCTATACATACAATCTACCTAAATAAACCAGAATACATATACTTTGCTTTTGTCAATTTAAATGATATAAGTAGCATTTTCCTTAAAAAATTTCCAAAAAATAATTTCTTCAATAAAATTTCGGTGTCTTTTATTAATTTTTGTAACTTCCATGAGTGATAGCAAATATTTTTTTCTAAAAAAACTGTGCAGCTCTATTCAAAATTAGGAACTCTTCATAAATTAATAAAAATGGACCACTATTGTAAGAAAGTTTTAAAGATTTTATATTATATCAACTTTAAGGGTAATGACACTAAATATCTTTTCAAGTATTGTTTTTCTCTTAACTGTGTTGTTAAAATCTGTACATATTTCTTTGCTAGTTTTGCAATTCCCTATACTATCACCTTGCTATTTCCTATACTACTGACATTTTTAATTTTCGCAAAATCACAAGCGTTTTTAAATTTGAATTTGCTTTTACTTTATAAGCATAAGTCAATTTTAGAGAAATTAATCAATTCTAACATACTAACACACTACTTCTATAAATCTCGTATTTCCTTAAAAGTTTTTAAATTCACATTAATTTCAGATAGTTTATTTTATTTGCTCTCAAGAGGAGCCATCAGTTATCAATTTAAAATGTTTGAATTTCAAAACATGTACAATAAATATCTATAAAACTTTTTGTGTAGCATTTGAAGTAATTACATATAGAAACATTAACAAAACACTTTAGAGTGGCATTTTCCTCTGAATACTAGTAAAAATTGTTTTAATATTTTTATGAATCCCAGTTCAACACATATCTACCACATTTAAATACTCAATATACTTGCCACCCTCAGTTTTGGCGAGATTATAACTATAGTCCAGTTTTAAGCAGACTGTAAAAATTTTCCGTTAAAAAAATTCAATAATTCTGCAGCTTCCCTGCAAAAAAGTTTTGTTCTCTAAAACTACAGCAATTTACAATTAAATTAAATTGTAATCCGTCAAAATGAGACATTTTTTTTGTTAACAATTAAAATCTGAAACCATTTGTATAGATTGCATCGATTGAGTACATATTTTTTCAGTTTTGAATATGAAAGACTTTGGTAACAAAGCAGCAGCGAGTAATTCGATGCATTGAAACAGATGCCGACCGGTATGTTTGGTATGCAAGAACTTGTCCTTATACCAGGAAAGTCTAGTGTTTGAGTCCCGCTTCGGGGCGTCTAAACTTATCGATGGAAAAAAATGAAAATTCACAGTCGATTCCTTCAACACCTCAAAAATCGCGCTGAAAATCAAAACAATGGAATAATTGAAATCTAATCAAAATTTTATAAATCTGTTTCACTATTCAAACCAGAGGGTATACACAGCTACTTTCATGCTAAATTTCTCAGCTATTCCGTGATTAGCCGGAAATATCTGATACGTACAAATATTTTCCGTAGTGTTTTGTAACAGAAATTTTTTGTCAATGTGCTTTTTTCCGTAAAAAAAAAAAGATAATCTCTGACAACTTTGCTGCCATAAATTTTACGCAGTTTAACCGAATTTTTTTCGCAGTGCGTAAATGAAAAACAGCAAAAAAACTCCCACATAGAATTAGTAGACGTTTTCAAAACATATCAAATGATTTAAAACCTCTCTTTGATATAATGTGACGTTAATAATTTCAGTTATCAATAAATGAGTATAAATATCTTACAATAGAAATCTTTCATTTATTCCAAAGAGTGTAAAAAGTATATGCCACGGGCGAAAATGATACAGAGGGTTCATATTTATATTCACGGTTTTCAAAAATTTATAGCAAGAAAACGATGAAGGGGTAAAAAATCTTTTTGAAAATTCTGGAGATAGGACATATATTTTTTTTCTAGAATTTCATGTTTTAGTTCAAAACTTTTTCAACAAACAGTGAAATGAATAGCAAACATTTTTTATCAGAAAAAAATAATTCAACATCATATCACAACATGTCAGAGCGTCTGATAGTAAACGTTTTGAAAATTGAGTAATGCGTTTTTTTTTTCCTATTAAAAATTCTGATTTGATTTCCATTTACTTTTCTTTTTTTGATTTGCGCGCTTCGTAAGTACAGACGTGACAACCAGAAAAATATTAAATTGAACCCAGGAATTCTAGAATGAAAATTTATTGTTCTTTGACGTGAATTTCTGAAATTTGTTTTTTTTTTTAAATTCTACCAGTTTTTCTGTAAATTTTTAAAAACCGTCAACTTAATTTAGGACACCCCGTAAATATTGCGTTTAGGAAAAAGTTTCATCAAGCATCAGCTGTGATTCACTACCGGGTTCAAAACTAATGTAACCATTATTGGTTATACTATTATTTATTCATTTATTTATTTATTGTTAAAATTAACTTTTTAAGAAATGAAATTTCTGTCCGATTATCCAAATTAAAAAATTAAAACAGATATACATTTCCGATAAGGAGACATTCCTTGAATATTTTTAAGAAGAAATTTATTTTTAATACAACATAATTTTAACATGCTGCTAAATTTTTTGTAACAAAATTTCAATCCAATGAAAAATGTTAACTCAATTTTACATTAAAAAGTTGTACCAACAAAAGTGGAAATTTTTAATCCCAGAAACGTAATTTAATTTTATTTAAAGCCACAATTATATTTGAGATTAAAGTAGAAATGTTTGAATTATGTATGAAGCAAGACATCTGAGAAATGCTTTCCGTCCTTTCTTTTACTTTGTTGGTACATTTTCATCTTTTTAATTAAACTTCTAATTATGGTTTCACATATTTGTAACTGGATTTTAGGCTCCTTCTCATCTGAATATGGTGAAATTAGGGGCAAAAATTTTTTATTTCGAAAAAAGTATTAAAAAAACGTCAAAGACATTAAATCACTCTATCTACTGATGACCATTTTAAGTTTTTTTGCCAAAAACGGTAATTGTTTATAAATTCAATAAACTAATTATGACCTGATTATGCCTCCAGGTTAAATTCCACTCTAAGAAAAAATCATTTGTCACTACATGTTTTCAATACCTAACTAAAATATGCATATTTCATGATAATAAACATATTTTATACTGAATTTTATAAAAATATGTTTTATACTTACGTAATGAAATGAGAAATTTACATTTCTGAATATCAAAAGGGTAATCTTGCAAATACATTGGGCAACTTGCCCGAAACCAATATCTGAAATTATAATTTTCTTTCATCAGTAACTACTGTTTAAAAACAAAACTTTTTTGGCACGAAAAAAGAACAATTTATGATTATTTATTCATAGTAGTTTCTTGCGTGCTCTATTCACCAAAAGAGCATAAGATAAAAATAAGTTACTTTTTTACGAATTTTTCAATAATGCATTTAACAGCAGAAATACCAGAATCTTAGTCATTGTTTATAAATATGTAGGTTTTATTATTCGTTTCAGATATTTAATCTATTGTTATTAAAATAGTTATTCTTTCACAATTATTGGGAAAATATTGTATGCTGACAAATAAAACCCCAAATTTAGTTTAATTTTCTCTTAGCGTGTCTTATGAAAATTAAATCAAACTGATTCAGAATTGATTTTGACGGAAAAGCAATATTTAAAAAAAAAATGCTTAAAATTTTCATTTTCTTCAAACAGTCTTCTCTTAAGTGCTTGTGAACATGTTTTTAAAACAATAAATTTCTCAAATATTTAGAATAATCAAAAATATTGCACATTTTCCACAAATCTTCTGATACCTTTGAATTTAAATTAAAATATTTCACCTGAAATTCAGATCAATAGTCATTTTTTATACCCAATTACTCGCAAATACTCAATTCTTATACCCAATCACTCAATTATACTCAATTTTTATACAAAAGCAAAAAACTTTTTTACCCTTCAACCATTTACAAACAATATTACTTTATTAGAAGCTCCTTTCGCTACAAGAATATATAAATAGGAAATAACAATCAACACATTTCAAGTGCTCAAAAACAGGGGTACGTTTTCAAAATTTGCCAGACGTGGAGGAGAAAAAAAAAGTGATTAGATGTATAAAATGAAAACTTGCCATATCTATCGCGTCATTTATTAAGAATTTGAGAAATCATCGATCATTGACATTTATGGAATCGTTGGCATAAATTCAATTTCTACAATATTAAATTTATTTTCACCCCTTTTACATCAGGTAATCTTAATGGTCTGCAATCTGTTTTTTTTTTTTTTTTTTTTTTTTTTTTTTTTTTTTTTTTTTTTTTTTTNTTTTTTTTTTTTTTTTTTCTTTTTTTCTTCTTCATATGAATGCTTATTTTCTGTTAACTACATTAGTTCCTCCCTACCTCTCCATAACTGGTGGAAATGGATTTTACACTGATGGATTTTACCCTCCCGGCAACTGAGGTTTTCTGTTCTATTTTTCATTTCCGTCTCGGCTACAGTGGATTTTTCTAATTTTGTTTCTCACTTTTATTTTTCCCTTTTTTCGTTGGCAACTTTTCATTTTATACTTTCAATCACTTTTGTTTCTTCTCATTCATGTCTGGAAAAAATGGGCACCTGTTTTCGAACTCCTGAAACATGTCGACTGTTAACTACTTTTTTATATTTTTGAAGCAAATGAAGTTATTAATCTAGTAATATCTTACCGCTTTAGTTTTTAATCTAGTAATATCTTACCGCCATTAGGGATTATTTATTTAATACTTACAAGCAAACTTCATAAATAAACTGAATTTTGTTATTTTTATCGCTGCATGCAAAAATAATTGCAATTGAACGAGAGATGTCATGCATTTACCTCTTCGATAAATAAATGGACCCATCAGATAATACTTTTAACAAAGTACTGGTGGATTCTTTTTCAAATGTTTTTATTTCTTTTGCTGTTTCATAAAATATGTCTGGTGTCCAGATATAATTAGTGCAACCTTCGTATAATATAGTTGCTTTCTTCTGACTCTTAAATTCTTCTAGATTTAGTCTGGTATCATTCCAAATATTTGTAACGAAAACGTGCAACAAATAATCCTAAAATAACAACAAAAAATTACTTCCACTCAAACATATTCATTTAATGTAATAGTGGGAGTAATCGCATCAGGTGCACAGAATTAAAATATAGATCATAATTACCCAGGTATGTAAATGGATACACTATCTGTAATTTTTAATTGTTCTTAAAATGAATTTTAAAAAAAGTAAACAAAACTTATACTTGGCAAAGAAATCTCCTTTATCCTTTTTCCGATTAAGCTCTAATCAATTAAAGAAGATTTTAAAAAATGTATACAGTGGCTCTCAAAAGTGTTAGTACACTTGCGACTTTCTACAAAATATGGTTCTACACGGTAATTAAAATGAATATTTTAGTATGAATATTTAATTACTAGATTTATGTTCTGTTTTCAGCAAATCTGCATGTAATATTTTAAAAACAAAGCAAATTATTATTTTTTAGAAATCTATAATCAAAAAGTTTACATTCCATCTCACAAATCGTTCACTTATAAAAAATCTCCACCTATTAAAATATATTCTACTTTTTGTTAAATAAAAATTTAGTAGAGCATCATTTGTCATCCTTTTTAAAGTCTGCAAATAGACTTAACTATTATTTATTTATTTATTTGTAATTTCTGCTTCAAAACTCATCTTTTTTTTTTCATTCATACAGTTTTCAGTTAGTTTTTCGTTTTAATGCCATTTTACTAACTTTCAGTTATCTTCAAATATATTTTATTGGGTTTAAATATGGCAATTGAGGCAATGCGTTAATAGCTGGTGGTCAATTATCGAGACACCAGATGCGAAAGTTGAAAGATCTGAGCTTGCGATGGTGTGTCTTCGGATCATCCTCAGGAATATTTTCCAGACCATCGCCAATAGCCCATTGCGCAGCTCTAGTGCGACGTAAATAAAGTACCCACCTATAGCTTTATTTCTTTTATTATCTTCATCACCCGAAGTGTTTTCAGCGTCCTGTATTTCCTAATTTGTTACCATGGGCTATTAGAATAAGATACTCTCATTTTCGCATAGTATGCATAGTTCGCATTTTTACACCTATTCAATTGGTGGAAAATTTGCTTTTCTTAAAATTTTGAAGATCAATTGGAAAAAAATAGTTTTTTTCAAAAATTTCAAAACTAATGCTAAATTTAAGTGACAGATATCTAAATTTCGGTATTTCCAATCCATTTCTAATATTAAAAAATATTTTTTTCCTTTACTTGCTCCTTATCGAAGTTTTTACTATTTTATTTTTGACAAAAATTCTAACAAAGGTTCAATTGAACACTCTATATAAACTGAAAAAATTACATATATGATCTGTAAAATTATACTAAATTACTAATTTGCAATAATTTTCTCTCAATTTTTTAATAAAGCGTAATTTATTTAGACCACTTGTTATTCATGAAGCACTCAAAGTACATTTAGCTCGAAAAACATTTCTCTAGGAAACTCGATTCTCGATATTCTGAAATTCTAGGCAATAAAATTAAAAATTTACGAACCATTTTCCCTTCATTTATTTCTCCAACGTCTATAACTTGAAACCAGGTAAAAATAGTAGTGTTTTTATCTGAAATTAATTATAAGCATAAATTACTTAGTCATTTTGTAAACCTAAAGTAAATAAAATCAAATTTGTTAAATAATTACCATTATTTTTTGGTGCAATGTGTATTTCGTAGTTGTCTGGTACTATGTGCCCACATAACTCTTGACATGCGACATTACAGACACTAAAAAGTGAATAAATAACATCATTCTCATAACATACATATATATATATGTTACGGTGAATGACCGAAATCGGCGGTTGTTGACTTTCACCGGTGAATGTTGACAATCACATA